CTTGATCGCTGGATAATCCTCCAGGCCCTTCTCACCGTTTTAGGAGGATATGATGAATTACGGAACGACTACCAATATAAAGTGAGGTGCGAGAGTACTTCTGGATTCAGTACTTCTGGGGCTATGCACTGACACCCCAAACATCCAAAACTGAGACGCCCGGAGGTCAGCCTGACCTCCTGGCTGGGACAGGGGTAGGAACATTCCCACGGTCATGGGAGTGTGATATTCGGATTCCCACGATAATTCTGCACAGATTTAGGTACCCGACGGAATTGAGCCTCAATTCCGTCCGAACACAAGGATAGGAGCTAAGCTAACCGCGTACCTGTTAGGTTTCTTGAAATCGTAACTGTACCTCGCAGAGCAGTCATTTATTCCCGAATCAGCGTAGTATGCCGTTTGACGTTTAAACGGCAAATGGTTTAGATGCGGCCCGTTCTCGCACGGCCGTCACCGTCTAACTGCCGTTGCCGTTCTGCCCCGTCCACAACACGGCCTGTCTCAGAGACAGCCGTAGCCGTGTACGGGACGTGGGGAGCCCTATCATGAACATTTTCGCGCCAACGTTCAAGCTCTCGGTTCATGGCTTGAATCGCAAACACAATTCCAATAGTCGTCCTCGACGAATCACTCTCACGTGGGGTTAACGCGAACACTCGATGCATTATTATACAACGTGCAAGAAAGACAATCCATCTCGGTACCTTTCGGAGTTGTTTATGGAACAGTGTGCATTACGCCTTGCCCTCGGGTTTCCTTCCCCCAGCGGATGCTCCTTCTGGGCCCTCCGACGGCCCACTCTGCGCACCTCGCTTTCCCTTGTCGTCGCGCCATTCAGGCACGTTGCCGTATCGATGCTTCTCAGCGTCGGAAGCCTGACTCGATTTGTCGTACCTGGATCGCAGCGTCAATACCCGCGTACTGCAGCGTGGACCGAAACACTCACGGTTGACTCTGGTTGAGCGACTCATATTCAGGATCACCGGGACCTGCTTGATGATACTTCCCACTCTGGGTCGTATCCTTCTGCCCGGACCCCGTGTTTGGTACATCGGTGGCAGGCGACGACGAATCGACCTAATTGTGACGTTAGTGTATTACTCGTTTCATGCACTGTGAGCGCACCTTGAATGTTTTCGTACCGTCTTCGACTAAGGTATTGACATCTTTGAGGTACGAGTCTGCGTTGTGTTTGGCTTCGGCAATCCGCGCACTTGTATGAAGAGTACGCCACGAGGTCTACATCAAGGTCAGCATCAGTCGGAATCCGCTGAAGAACAATCCAACATCCATACTTGTTCGCTAGGCAGAACTCGAGCACTCTGGCGGTCAGTAGCGCCCAGAGTACGCGCAGCAGTGTCTGCACAGGCATGGTCACTGTAAACGAGCTGTTTATGACGAGCGTTTACGACGACAGACCTAGGCTCCGACCAACAGCGCTAGTGCTGAACTTTCTTGCCGTTCCAGTGCCTGTCACTCCTCTCCCGCCGCCCTGCATGCACGGTCAGTCGACAGGGTCGTACACGGGACTGGATACTTTCCTGATTCTGTTTAACGTCGCCCGAGCCGGTTCCCAATCCTAAGCCCTGCTTGATGCTGCTCCACACACCGGGCGCTTGAGCCTCCTCCTCGCTTCCCTTGCGACTGGCGCCTGAACCTGCAGCGGAGGCGCCTCCCACCTGCTCGGCAAAGCCTACTCCCTCCTTGTTCCCGCTTGTGTCGTCACGCTGGGCTTGAGCTTGGCGGTTAGGGGATGCCGCGTCCATCGGGCTGCTGGAGTTGGCCGCTGCTATGCTCGAATGAGAAGCAAGATCCTGTAGAAGATGACTCAAGCGCACCTTTCCCGGACTTCGCGCTCTCGCTGTGCACATCCTGCGGACTCTTGTTGTCTCCTATTGCTGCGTGGCCTTGGGACAACGAAGGGTCACGGCCGTCCGAAGGACGGAGGCATGGTGGCGACGTCCTATAGAACCTTGCACGCAGAATTGGGGCGGACCGCGTCAGGGTGTTTCGCATACGAATATGAGACATGATAGATGTAGGTCGGGGTAGTCGTTGAGTGTCGTGTGCATCGTCGCTGCAGTCGCCAACCTTTTGGACGAGTTGCAAAAAACGATGACATCATGGTTCAGGCGACAACGTAACGCCGATCCCGGGGCTTGAAGTGCGCCACCCTGACAGGAAGCTGACGACGATTCACCACTTCAAGTTCGAACTACTTATTCGCGATGAGGGCCGGTATTAACTCGCCCGCATGCGTATGAGATTGTCTTCTACAATTCCACTTCTATGGACATGATTTCTTCCAGTCTCCAGACGAGGTGCAAGGCGAGGGAGAACGGCATTCCAGGGATTCCAACCGAGGAGCTATGACAATGTCATAGTAGCATTGCTCGGACAATAATAACAATTATACTGTCTAGTGAAGGTCGTAGCCAACCAGGCTTCTGCGACCGACGATTTCGCCGATCTATGACGAACAACGGCATCAGAAAACAGATAGTCCGCGACCTGCGGGGCAGATAACGCACCTTGAAGACGCCATAAGCCTCAATACCATAAACCCCGACCTTGACCCATTCCCCGTTGGAGAAAATAGTACGCCAGTAGGTCGGCGAGGATGCCCTGTGAGCGGAATGAGCAATAGCGCGATGGTATGGTAGCAGAAAATAGTTGCGGAGGCGACCGACGGAGACGTTAATGAAGACAAGGAACGGACCGTGACCACAGCGTGGAGTAGGCGGATTGAATGGCGGACAAGGAGGTGGGCGGTTGTAGGCGCTCCGCAAGGTAAACCTGCTTGAGGAATTCGCGAGCAACGGCAGTGTTGTAGAAGAGCGGCTGCTTGTAGGCTGTGACAACGCGTGTATGATCAGGCCAGTGTCGTACGGGGAACCAGTGTCAACACGCACCACCTAGTAGGTTACCAACTCGCTCTCCCAAAGGTCCCAGTGCCTTCTTGCCGGCCTCAATTGCCTTCTTGCCTGTCACGTTCGCCGTTGCGAGGAAGTCCTTGGCCTGCGACAGCGTGTCAGCTCCTGCATGCGGCACAAGAGGAACAGGATAGATATCCAGGTGCGTGGAGCAGAACATGGATATATACAGTTTCCGTTCGGAGCACGGAACGTGGATGCAATGAGAACGAACGGGGTGCAATTAATGCTTACCTTGGCCTGGGCGTCCTGCGCGGCTCCCTGAGCCTTTTGCTGGGCCGTCTCGGTAGACGTGGACGCGAACCGACGAGTAGAGGACGCAAGATGCCTCCTCGCCGTTACCCTTAGAGCGTTCATAGCGAGAATTTGAACGAGACCTGTAAAAACGGAGGACGAAGTCTATGACGAGGACCACAGGATTTCTGCAGAACGCAGCGGGGCGTAGATGGCGTGTGAAGATTTCCTCCAGCCCGCGTCCCCCCGATATCCTCCGCGACTTCGCTGTCAATGCCAACACGACCCTGCTCTATGATGCTTTGGAAGTTACAGTCGGATTCTGAGTAGAATATGTGGGCAATCTGATTCTCTGCAACCTTGTGGTATCTTGTGCTGCTATTCACGTCGTATTGCGTATCACCTTACGTGTAAGATATTCTATTGAGCTCAATGTGGGTAGGTTACATCTGATGCTCAATGGCAAGTCCTTCACGAGCGCTTCTCTCGAACAGGCACGTCTTACTGCGAAATGTTAGTGCGCTCCTGTCCATTATCGTGCTCTGCTACTGCAACCTACTAACTTGAGCGAATGCTCTTGACGTTCAGATGCCGTTTGCTTTGACCAGCACCACGAGCAGGTTCAGGCGAAGCTGAACCTTGCTGGGCCTATGTTGCGTGCGTGTCGTATCATAATCCAAATGCGGCATATGTTATTTATACGTTATCAGCGCTTCTGGAGGCTGCTATCATGGGCTCCGCCTCTAGCTCTTCCATATGATCCTAAGCAGCAAGGCGATACCGGGTCCTTTGGCGGGAAACATGACCCGCTTGAACTGCACCCATCCCTTGTCTAAGAAGGCAAGGTGAGGCACCACGCGACAATCCCGCTATCGCGGGCCTCCGATAGCGCGACGTTCCACATCCATTGACGACGTACCGCTTCGTTTTGCGCCGCAAGATAAGGAGAACGCGTCTCTCGTGACGCCTCGCCCTCTTCGCGAGCGAAACACAACCCCGATTAGGACAGAGCATACTATTATTGCTTTCGTCGCGCCCCCGGGGTCGACCGCATTTAAAGAGCGTCTCGTACGCCTTGTGATCCGTCCGTCTCGCTCGCCATGGATGCCGACCCTGCCTACTCAGTGAAGCGCGTTACTTTATCTGCAGTGCCCTCCTTGGACGCCGATGATAGCAGTGTCGAAAAGAAAGACGTGGACATCGCGGAAGTGAGCGTAGAGGACAACAGCGAAGAAGACCCTAGCATCGGCAACGAGCCTCCTCTCAGTGTCTTCGAGCCATTTCCTGTCGATCCCACAGCTCCGGTCGAAGAGCAGCAATTCACGGTCCGAGCCGTCTTAACGGGATGTTGTCTCGGCGGTCTTATCGCTGCATCCAATATGTATCTCGGTTTGAAAACAGGGTAAGCCTATGTTGCTGCTATTTCTTTCCACGACCACTCATCGCACCTTTGCACAGCTGGACTTTCGGGGCTTCATTATTCGGTTCGATATTCGGTAGGTTCCAATGCTAACCACTCATTGTAACTCGTCTAAAACTCACCTCCGAACGAAGGTTATGCCATTTTGAAGCCGTTCTCTCGCATCGCACCTCAGTGGCTAGGCGGAGGCTACTTCGGCCCCAAAGTGTGTTTTGTCAGGAAGTTCGATTGGACGTATCTGTTAACACGGAATCAAGGAAAACGTTTGTTGTATGTCTGCGGCAACCGCGGCCGGATCTCTCGGCCTCATATTTGCAAGCGCTATTCCCGCCTGCTACCAGCTTGGTCTCTTGTCGAGCACCCCGAAAGAGGATTTTGGCCGACTTATCACTATCACTCTCGTCTGCGCATACTGTAAGCCATTCAGTCCTTCCGAGTGTAGTCACGATTCATGCCCATCAGATGGAATGTTCTTTGCGATACCGCTGCGCAAGTTCTATATCCTCAAGCTCAAGCTCGTTTTTCCATCCGCCGTTGCTACGGCATTTACTATTCGCTCGCTTCATGTTGGGTGCGCGAATCTCCGACGTTTGAAGCGGATATCCTCGACGCTGATACGCGCACAGCAAGAACGCGGAGACAGTCGCACGCCGCAAGACCATCTGCCTCGCTGCAGCGTTCGCATTCGCCATTTCTCTGCGTGTCACGAGCGAATATGCACCCGGCATTATGTGGGTGGGTAACTGCCTGGAATATGGTGAGGTCGCTGCTGACGCATTCTTGCTAGGATTGGCATGTCTTCTGGTGGATGTATAAGCCAGGGGGCTGGCATGGGATCGTTGCCGCGGAAAATTGGGTGCGTCGCTCCAATCAGTTCGAGGATCGTGCACTGAACGGCGTACGTTCAGGGTTGGGTCTGGGAGTGGACCCCTGCTTTCATTGGCGCGGGAATGTTGTCAGGGATAAACGCGAGTTATTCGTTTTGGGGTGGAAGCTTCTTTGCATGGGCCGTCATAGGCCCTTCACTTGTCGCCACAGGGAAGGCCTTTGGGGAGGCGATCAACCCAGAGAAGTTCCCTGGTTATATCTCATACTACTCTATGGTCCTCGACGATCCGGTCCATCATCCGAGTCCCCGGTACTGGCTCATCTGGCCAGGTACATTGATGCTCATTGCCAGCACGTTTGCTGAAGGTAGGAGCACCTTCCATGCGGATGCAAATGCTCTGATCGTGTCCACAGTGGCTTGCAATGCGCGTATGATCTATCGCGTTGCAAAGTCTGCGATGGAATCTGGTCTGTCGAAGGTTCGTGGCGTAAAACAAGATGATGGCGGGATCGCTCTGGGGAAGGATCAAGAAATCTTCGATCCAGCACCTCCGGAGGAACAGGTACGTACGTTCTCTCGCTCGAAAGGAGTGATCCCCAATGGTGTATTTGGTACAGGTTCCCTGGTGGATGTGGTCTACGGGACTCATAATTTCTATCATACTGACTTGCGTAGTACTCGGTAAGCCGACGTGCAGCTCACACCAACCATCTCTGAGTATTGTTATTAGGCGTTCAGTACGGCCAAAAGTGAGATCTAGTATTTATTTAAAGCCCCTGAACGATTGCTCAATTTATGCAGCGTTGGCATCTCTCTGCTGGCCATCGTATTCGCATGTAAGTCCCGGTATGTTGCGCCGATCTGGAGACTAACGCACTGTTGCAGTCTTGTTCGCATTCATCGGAGCAGAGGCAGCAGGCCGCGTGAATGTCATACCCGTCACTTGTAAGTCAAATATAGCCCTCTTGTCGAGCGTCTCTTATTACGATTATTGCAGCAATCGGGAACGCCTCGCAACTAATCCTTGGCGGTGTTGCCAAAGGCCGTCACCTGCCCATCAAGTCGGCTCAGCTGCTGAACTCGGTGTCCGGGATAGTAGCACTGGGCGCGTCGGAGCAAGCTGCGGACATGTTAGGCGATCTCAAGACTACGCACCTTTTGGGTGCCTCCCCGCGCGTGCAGTTTTATGCGCAGTGCTGCGGTGCCATAGTCTCAATCTTCATGAGCACCGGGTTATACGTCGTATTCAGCACCGCTTACCCATGCATCAACGACCTCAACCTCGCAGCGACCTGCTCGTTCCCGGCACCGGACGTGCAGAGCTGGAGAGCTGTAATGGTAGGCGTTGTACCTTTCTCTCACTCTCGAGGGCAATGATGATTCAGAATGGCGCTGATACATCGCGTTGGGAAGGTGGCGGTCACCGACCCCAGTCTACCAATCCCGCCATCATCAGGATTCACTGCGATAGGATTGGCAGTCGCCGCAATCCTGACGGTCGTCCTGAAATACAACTACATCCCGGCCAAGTACCACCATTTTGTACCCAACTGGACGGCCATCGGCATCGGTTTCATTCTCAACGCCACCACCTACCCGACCGCGATGGTTTTCGGAGCCTCCGTAGCATTCCTTTGGAGAAGACGGTTCGGCGGCCATTTTGCCATGTACTGTTATCCTGTGGCGGCAGGCTTCATTGCGGGAGAAGGTCTCGGTGGAATCGTTACAGCTGTGCTGACCATCGCTGGTGTTGGTGGCAGCAAGTTTGGAACCGCGGTGCGTCTCGGGTTTAGTAGTTCCAGGCTAGGCTCACCGTGTTATGGCAGGTCGGTTGCCCTGCTGGCGAATACTGCGGATAGGGAGGCATTCGAATGAAACCCAGAGACGCGGAGCAGTTTCTGCTCACCAAGAATAGATGTTGCAACGACAGAAGGGCGCTGTTGTAGAATACGACGTTGTACGATGTAGAGTACAAGAATGCAAGCCCATGTTCGTCAAATACTCTACGACCCCACGTAGTCACCTGGGATGTCAACATCCGTCATCGATATGCCCTCGAGATGCTTGCGCTGCTTCTCAGTGGGAGTGAAAAGAGCTCCGCCACGTGCTAAACTTTGACCATCGATCACATGGCCTTTCGCGCGCTCGGAGGCGATATAATGCTGGTTCTTCTCTAGGTCTGCAACAGGTGTCTATGTATGTTCCGAAACGACCAGAGTGAAGGAGAACTGACCGTGAGCCCACATGGCTGCCCCGATACGATTCGAGATAGTGAATACAAGTCCGACGAGGGGGATGGATTCAAGTAAGGCGGCGGCGAATCCGAACGCTGTAGACAGGTACGGTCGTGAGGCTAGAGAATAATTGCAAGAAGAATCGACACAGAAACTCACAGCGGTACTCCCACTTACGTTCCTCCACGAATATGGCACATTGCTCATGAGTCATCTTCTTTGCAGAAAAGTACTGTCCGAGTTGGTCAGTCTCTGCGGAGGACACAGGGCACCATAGAGTCCTCACGGGCTTATGCAGATATGTGGCGGTACCCAGAGCCTTGAACCACGCGGATATGAAGATGCCGACGAAGGGGACAAAGTTCAGCGGCGCAAGGAGCACTGTCGACGCAGATCAGCGATGATTCGAGACAGCGGGCAGAAAACGCACCTCGCCTCACGATCATCCTTGCGATAAAGCTCCCGAACCATCTATCCAGAGACCAGAACGGTTTCGGGTTCGGTTGAGGCGGCCGTAACCATTCCTCGGTGTACGGCTGCCAGAAATCTTTTCCCTTGCCGCGGCTTGCGACGGTCTGTTCCCATACCCGCTCACGAGCGATTCGGATGTTGCGTGACAGGAAGAAGGTTAGGATGGCAGTAACCTGAGACGAGAGGAAGAATACGGCGGCGTCTGTATAGAGTCAAAGAGTGTATCGCTCGGTGGAAAATACACGTACATGTCGGTAGACTGAATGGCATTCGGTAACCAAAGACGGTCTCTTCAGACAATCCGGTGACGCGCGGAGAGTGAATGAGGAATAGTTCAATGAATTTGCGTTGGATGTTGAACGTGAATAGAGCCTTCAATTGAATGAGCCTTTATGAAACCAATGTGACCGCAGCGCTTGAACTCACCCAAATAGTTCCGACCACTCCTCCTCTGACAACCCCATGTTTGCATTTCTTCCACGCCGGGACGTAGAGGGATTTGTCGGTGCACAGCCGATACACGCCAACAACTACGTACGACGGCGGAAACAACAGTCTCGAGTAGGCGCGCTCGAGCGTTGGTGGTATGACGACTTTGCCATCCTCGGATATGCCGAGCCCGTCCACGTTCGCGAGTTTCTGGTTAATTCTGCGGACGCTTGACGACTCATTGAGAGCCTCAACTGGCGTTGTGTGCGCGAACGTGCTCGACGTTGGGTTATCGACCTCGTACGGCGGAGGTGGAGGCGATGGATCTGAGTCCGACATAAGCCTTAACAGCACAGTGAGAGAGTGGCTATTGTCGGGTTCGTGCTGCAAGCAGCTGGTCACTTCAAGCCAACGTAATAGCTGGCGCACAACCGGGTCGTAATTCGTCGTAGCGGAAGCTGTGAATGACGATGACGTCACAATCAAAGCCGTGCAACAACATCTCGGGCGAGGACACGCGTTATGAGTAGAGTACAGGGTTCGAGCGCATGTTTATCGCTTCTCCTTCCTCCTCCGTTCCAGTACTTGCCCGAAGCGATCCAGCGCAACATCCATTGCAGCTCTCATGACGCTGAAGGTGAAACGGAACCAGCCGCACTCCGTATGATGAAAAGAGGAGCCTAACATCGTTCAGGGATTCAACTAGGTCATCTCCATCGTGTTTTGACGATGATACGCACCGAGGCCTATGAATATTCCAGCATTGACGAGATCCATATGGAGATCGCTATCGCGAGCGAGGGGCGTTGACAACGGAACTCCTTCGTCGTTTTCCGAGCGTAAGAATGAGTTTAGATTCACTGGTAGCTAAGATTAGGTTGCTCGCGTCATATCCATAAGATGCAGCTCACCGAATACGTATTGACCTGCGCTCGCCTTTTGATAAGGAATGCCCTTGGACTCGAACCATGAACAACAGTACCGATACGCAGCACCAAGCCGGTCTTGGTTAGTTGTCACGAAATAATCGAGTTTCTCATCGTCAAGGAGAATACTCGACCAGAGTGCGTCCTAGCGGCTTCACTCAGACAAGGTGTAGTCAATGGACGAAAGGTGCGGGAGCGTACTGATGCGGAAGAGACCTTGACGAAACGGGCTAGTGCGTAAAATGCGAGGATCAGATCCCTATTCTGGGACACTACGGCTCCTGATGCTCTGTTAGGTCTTTCCAAGAGAAACTGTAGAACAAGAGTGGGCTCACCGACACGAAGTCCATTAGCACAGAAATCCTTGCTCATCCCATAGAGCATGTGAACTCTGGCGGGATTGCAGCCAGCCTCCTTCTCGACGTCGATAGAAAGTATGGAAGTGAACGGTGTTGCGCTTTCCCCACCAAACTGGGAAAGTGCGTATATCTCGTCGTTGATGAGATGAATCCCATGTTTTTCGCAGAATCTGCAGTATTCCACGATCGTCCCTCGCTCGTAGTTGAACCCCAGAGGGTTATTGGGATTGCACAGCATGACCGCTCGCACTGTTCTCCCCTCTTTTGAGAGCTTAGTGAGTGCGCTTTCGAAGGCCGCTACACTCCCAGCTCCAGCGGGATCAGTGTTCCCGACATCAACTCCGTACATGACGCCTTGACTTCTTTCCGATACATCGTCGTCAAACCCATCTTCATGTTCATGATCTGTCAGCTAAGTTTATAGCTTTTTCGAGCGTACGCACTGTAATATGGCCGAGCCACCAAGATAATGTCGCCCGGTTCGCATAGAAGTTGAACCAGTTGATCTGCCCTGTGAAGGTATGGGTGTCACGCGTGCGTCACGGTCACCGGCGACGCTCACATAGCACCTAATCCTCCGCCGGTGATGATGTGCTCTTGCCTCACGGGAATTGCGGGGTTGAAATATCGTTCGAACAAACGACACAACGCCTTGAACAACCGCTGCGATCCCCCGACTGTATCGCCTACGGAATGTCATATGGGAATCGATGACCGGACAGGAATGCGGCACACCGTATGTTAAATCCATGCCCGCCAAATGTAGATTCGATTGGAAGAACTGACACATTCCCTTCAGTAGTCTGTCGCGAAAGCCAAGGGGGGGATCGGACTCACTTTCAGGTACTCTTCTTGCATGAGGGTCTGCAATTACACTGTCAGCACGCCACGTATCGGAGAGCGTCGAAACGCACATTTTCTGCCAATGCACAGTTGACTATCCCAGTGGGATTCTCTTCCGAGTACTGTATGTCTTTTTGTAAATGACGTTGGCGTACGGCGACGTGCACGAACCTGATTTCTAATGATTCCCGCTATCTTCTCTATCTTCCTGCCAGTGGTCATCGCTCGCTGCCCGCGAATTGACAGTACAACCGGGTTTGCGGGGTTTGCGCTCATATCGCACAAGGGTTCCTTTGCCAGTTCTAGGGCTCAGAGGTGTAGAGACTGTTCTGAGTACGCAGCGCCTGTGCTTGATGCGGCTGTCAGAACATGCGTATCTTCCGATAGTATCGTGAGTTCGGAACCTATCCTTCTATGATGCTGCCAATGCTGTCCAGCTTAACCATTTCATCTCATCCATTCCGCTCGGGGCGCAATTCCTGACGTACGCGTATACTCCAGCGCTCAATACTTAGGCTTCAATAAGGTCCGTACTCCACTGAAGTCGGGGTCATGGCAATACGGGGTTTGTTTCAAGTCCAAGAAGCTAGTCACAGGATCTCACGTTTACTTCTGCTCGATATGATGACCAGTACGCACCGTTGCGGCCACGTATTGAACTCAGAATCTGTTATCGCGTGAACCACCGCCCTGGAGATTCTCAACAATCTACCCAGTGAGCGTTTAGAGGGATGGACGTACATATCAGGTTCGTCTGTTCGCGAAACACAGCGTGGGTATGAAATACAAGCAGCTTCTGATTCAAGTACGCTATGTTGACCTTTTATATTCAAAATCAGGTACACGCGGCCGTCGTGTCCTCGCGATTTGATGAGAATGATGAGCAACATTCAGTATTGAACGATTGAGTTCCTCTGGATTCAAGTCATGGCTATCTTCTCCGATAGAGCGCGGCGCACGAGTGCCTACGGCAAGCTGTGCTCACCATGAGTACCCCCATGTGGATTGCTGGTGGAAACCATGTTCTGGAACACCGTTCATTCTCCGTCGCTACACACGGGTGCTCCTTGATTCGGACTCGTTGGGGATGGTTCGTTTCAGGCAGAACGCTACTGCTCACGGTGATTATCTTCTCAAGCACCCATCGCTGGGTTAGCGATGGCGTGATTTGGAAGATGGGTACGCTTCTGGGCGGAATAATCACCAGAAGTTCCCGCTGCGTTGATCGCAGTGCCCGGTGCGATGATTCTCCCTAAACACTATAAGTCGTCAAGAATGTCTGTTGGAAGGAGCTCCCAGAAAGACCATGGCACTTTCAGAGCTACAGTATACGTTCGTTCAGCTCTTTTGCGCGGTGTTCGTATGGGGTAAGACAACCTACACCTCTTGATAATTACTGACCACGCTTTCACTTCAGGAATGTATACCACCTTGATGATGGTGCTCGCCTTGGTCTTGGCGTAGGTCTCCTGATAGTCATGGCACCGTGATATCTTCTGATCCTGTGTATACGTTCTAGCCTCGGTTCCCGCTCTTTGACCAAACCAAGGTTGGCCATGTTCGGCGTTGGGGTGCTCATGTACCTGGTCGCCTCCTGTCACACGTCCATCGTATTCTCTGGTTTTATCAGTGGCCCTAATAACCGCGACAATGCGAAGCTGCTTCAGTCAACTATCATCCTGGCCCAAATTCAGGTAATCTACACGTCCCTTGGCACTGAGATCTAGACTGATACTATACAGTTCATTCTATACGATATCGTCTTAATATGGCGCGTGTGGGTATGTCCGCATGAATTGCAAGCGTTTCAAGCTTAATACGTTGATTCAGGTGATATGGGGTCATCTATGGTGGGCGATTGCCCCGCAGATCGTCTCCTTAATAGTCTCGTGCGGTAAGATCCTAGCGAAATATCCCCGGCCAGCTCTCATATTTTAAGCAGGACTTACGTTTCAAGTCGCCGCAGCCGTTACCTCCCCTAACGCTCGCGTCTTTCCGGTCGCATCTGCGGCGCTGACGCTCGCGAATACGATTCTGAGTACTCTACTCATCGTTTGTCGTCTTGAGTGAGTTCCTGTGTCCCTTTGAATACCCATTCTTCAGCTGAAAACCCTGAAGGTACATGCAATATAGGATCCGCAAGGTCGCCAGCGGTGTAGCTGCTACGAGTTCCGGTCAGCGATACACGGGCATAGTGATGATGTTTGTGGAGAGTGGTGCGATTGTAACCGCTGCACAGGTGCGGACTATTGCAGCCGATGATCTCAGGAATCCCGTCTTGACGTTGAAGTAGATCATCAGCTTCATTCTGCAACAAATCAACTCCCCTGCCCTTCATGTCGTACTGAATATGCTTCCTCAAATCCTGGTACCTGCATTTTCTCGCGTTTGTTCTGATCCGCGCTCACATGCCTTAGGGTCTTTTCCCTACCTCGATTATTTTGTTAGTTCATCTCGACATGGTACCGGGTAGCCGAGAAAGTCAGCGCTACGCTCAGACATTTACCAGCCATAGTTTGCGCTGGGCGACCGCTACTGGACGTAGTACCACTTCTGCTCCGATTACATGGAACACAGGCAGCGCAACGGCGCAGGGGAGTCGGCTGGAGTTCAAGCAGTTCGCGGGAGAAGAACTGGAGGACCCTCTACCCGACGACGACAATCTTAGCCGTGGGTAAAGTATAAGCACAGGAGGAAGTCTGAGGAAAAACCGTCGTTATTCGTAAATGTCTCGCAAGCGGGGTCTTCATTCTAGTGATGTAGGACCGTGTAGTTTCTCTCTGCCATGGCGGCTGTTTCTTCGGCGCCTGTGAATCCTCAACAGCTCTTCGTGCACCTCCGAACATGCCCACGCAAGCGAGATTCTATACGAATGATTGTTAGAGAGATGAAAGACAAGGTCATATGTATGTGCGCGATTGACAGAATTGATGTAACTCGAGTAAGTATACGGTAAAAAGGAGCGTTTACGATGATGCCGTGATAGTCATTGCTGAGGTGCCGTTTCACACCGAGCTGGATTTTCCGGCGTAATCAGCCCAGCGCAGGTTACTGATCGTAGTGGACTCCGATGCCGCAAATGTTATGGGCTCTTCCGTCTCCTGCTCATCGAAGCCGACTCGGACTGCGGCGGTGATGGTGAACTCGTCGATATAGTCCCCGTGGTGGAATACGCTCATGGGGAGGGGTACCCAGAATAGCGAGAACCATCCGCGATTTCCTACGCTACCAACGCCGTCGCTGTAGTGCCAGCACCGCTCCATGGCAATCCCTCCTTCGAGTTCGATATTATCCTCGGCATCGACGCGCTCGACGCGCTGTTCTGCATAGTCGATGCACCACGCACCTTCATTGTCGGCGCAATCGATAGAAATGTCGAGAATCCGAGGCACAGGCAGATCTGCAGCAGGACGGCTATCAAGATCTCGAAGCGCGAGGCAGCCGTTAAAGAACGCGATTTCACTCAGGGCATGGTTAGCAAATTTCAGTCTTGGAATCAATGTACGGCTTACTCGAGGGGCTGATCCCAAAGCTCCTCGATTCGGTTCTCAAATAGTATGAGTTCGAGGGAATAGCGTTGCTTCTGGATAGCCGCGAAAGCCGAAGATGAGGCGTCCGCATCGCTAACACGAGCGGTACCTGATGACGCTGGCGTAGGTTGCGCCTTGGGGAGACGGGCCCTCATAGCGCGTTTAGCTGCCTCGATCACAGGTTCGACATCCTGGAAGGTCAGGTTACATGGCGTTCGACATGGCAGCATGAATTTCGTCGCACCTTGCCATTGAAAAATGCGGAGTCTTCCATGGGTTCTGTGTTATCGGCGGCGGAAGAACGGCCCAAGTCACGGCTAGCGGTTGAGCGGCTGGCACCGCGCCTGCCAACGACACCGGTAGAGATGTCAGCGACCGGAAGAGCCTGAGCGGTGCTGCTGAGTAGATCGGGCCTTCGAACTGCTCGTGAGGAGCTGGAGGATCTCGACGAAGATCGCTCCAAGGCAGGAGGGGTTAGGACATGCTGACGGCGGCCATCCGCAGTAAGAGCCATATTGAGTGAGCGAACGCTATCCACAGAGTCCTTACGCGGACGAGGATTTCGTGAGTGGTCTAGGATATCGAGTGCCGACGTGGAGTCGCGAGAGAGACTGTCGTCATGGAGTGTATCCGTAGACCCGCGCGACCGAAGGGTACGCAGTGAGGCATCTGAATCCTTCCTCGAAATTTGACGCGGCGGACCGACGAGGGAGTCGAGGCGCTGTCGAATACGAGGAGCATCTACTCCACCAGTTGGCGAGTTCACGCGGATACGCTTCTCTGGAGTTTGACCCTGGACGAGCTGAGCTAGCTCCTTTGCGGCAGCAGACACCAACCCGAGACTGCGAGGGACCGGTGGATTGTCGTTGATCGATATGTCGGAGTTGGTGCGTTCCTGCCTTCTGGTGATTGATTTTTCCGAGATAGACAGAGAAGAAAGGGAGAAAGGTCCTGAAGAGAGTGTAGATTCAAGAGGCGAGGTGGAGTGTCTAGTACTGCCAGCAACAGTATCGTCGCCGTCTATGGAGGAGACCGATTCGACGGATTTTTGTCGAGAGAGGGAAGAACTGGAAATGTTGTATTTGCGAGAAAGAGAGCGGAGAAGGGATGGCTTGCGCCCAGCGCGAGCTTCTTCGACATCTGAGCGAGACAGTGATGTGGCGCCATGGTCTTTGTCCTTCAACGAGATGGACGGGAAGGCGATGGCCGGATTGGAGACCCTCGACGCCGGAGGCATGGCTGCGAACGCGGGGCGCTCACCAGGCGGTCATAAGGATTTGCTCATTTGAGCGGAGCTTCTTTATAGAGCACTGGGGCTCAACCCGAGTTTCGGTCACAAGGCAAACAAGAGCCATTCAGATTACTGTAACGAGATGAAACGTGGCCTGCAATGCCAAACTCAGATGAGCCTTTGCGCGTGGTCAGCCTAACGATTTGAGAACAAGGAGTCCAGGTGCATCTTATCGCACCGGGACAAATCAGCCGGGAGGCACGAATAGTATGAAGCAAACTTCAAGATCATGAGGGATATCAAGTCTCGCAAACAGACTTCCTGTATTCCGTAAGGTTGAATCATCTCGCGACCTGAGGTGTAGCGCCGGCCATTCTGATGCCAGCGGGTTCGAGGAGACGCACTTGGCAAAGAAGAGGAAGGGGTCCACAGGGGTCCACCATTTTCACCCTTGAATGATTCTGGGACCCCTGCTAAGCCTCATCCGCTGACGTCGTGTTCGCCGTTCGCAACGATGACCAGCCTCGCTCCTCGTTGGGTCTTCCGGTGTTTCCGAGCTCTCGAACGACTTGGCGACAGAGTCACAGGCGCTGCGGGACCGTTCTTCATTGCCTTTGCCATCGCGCTATTATCTGTCGGCCTTGTGTGCTTTTGTACGCTTCTATGTCCGATTCCCTTCCAAGGGCTGCTTCTGACGGATCCTATTTTCAGTTGAAATAATACAACCAACACTCTCTTATCCCTGGATAACGACGCCTATATGTACGCTTATAGCACTGAACCTGGTCGCACACTACTTCTATGTGTGCACCGTACCGCCCGGATTCGTTGACGAGCCGCAGAGAGCTCCGGGCTCGGGGATACTTTGGGCGAAGAGGAAAAGAAGAGGTGGTCATAGAGCACTGACTGATGGTGGACTGAACAACGTCGGAGTGAGATGGAGCGATGAGGTCAACATTACGAGAGCGAGCACAACCAAATGCAGGCGATGCGGAGCAATCAGACCCGAGGTGAGCGGTCGCCCGTTCACGGACGATCGGCGAGTACTTATAAACATGCGAGATGAGAGGGCACACCATTGTCGAATATGCAATCGCTGCGTCTTGAAATATGACCACCACTGTCCAGTGAGATTAATCCCTCTACGAGAGCATTCCTTCGTCGACTAACTTACCGGATTCATCAGTGTGGGTATCACGAGATGCTCCATCCAGAATTATGCTGACATTAAGGCAGGGGTCAACCAATGCATTGGCTTGCATAATGAACGACACTTCGTCATGTTCCTGTCAGTCTTTCGTATCCGAGGCTAACGACATCTGAAGCTTATCCTAGTGCGTACTTGGCCATATCGACGATATGTTTCGTTGTTCTCGGGTATCAGAAAATGTGGCAAGCTGTAGGATACGTGGACGAGGTACGATATACCGCCATGCTCTCGTGTCCTCGCTCACAGTAAAATGTGTTGCACATACAGGCAGGATGGCCGCATCGAACACCAGACGTGCTTTATATGATGATATATATTCTGTCGGTGGTGCTAGGACTCGCCGTCGGCATCATGTTCGGCTGGCATCTCTGGTGTGGCGTAGCGGCTGCCGAGACTAGCGTCGAAGCACAAGACCATGAAATGTATCGCAAGGTGGCGAAAGAACGTGGAGAAGTACGTTTGTTATGGTTCCGAAGGTCCTGATCATCACTCACCCGGATCACAGACGTTCGTAAACTCTTTTGATCTTGGTAAACGCAAGAACCTCGAGCTGTTCTTCAACATCGGCCCGGAGGGATAGTGAGCGATTATGGTCTCTTCCATTTCATGTCGGCTGATAAATCAACGTAGCCCGTTGTACACCCTCTTCTTCCCGCTGCGCATCATGCCCTACACAGACGGCTTTCGATGGGCGAGGAAGAAGGGCTACGAGCGGCATGGTAGCCTTCGCGAAGGCGAAGAGCTCACGGACGAGGACGACTTGGAATGATACACCAGTGAGAACACAATTCCTTGCGCACGTTCTTACAGATGACACTTTGCCGGGGCCATATGACGCTCCGGGGGTACACTCGTATGCGCCCTTCGGGAGATTGCTTGATTTACGTCCGGCTAGCCTTGCCCTGTCGATCTCCCGATCGACACCGCACGCGCATTCTTCTCTGAACTTCACTTGCTCAAACAGGCTATAAAGACCATGCTGACGCCTTCGTCGCAGATAACACATACTATGCACAGACCGCAGACTTAGGGTTTGTGCTATCTCATAGTCGACGTCGTACATCATCATTGCAATAAACATATATCATCCTCGACTGCGTCGCTACCTATACGTGCATTCTCATCATTTCTTCGCCTTGACACAGGCGGAGCAGCAACGAGTTGATGAGACTGCGTGATCCGTGATCCAAGTCATATAAATGCATTCGCTATCCTCGAATAAATACCAATAAAAATGAATATCCCAGAATGTGACCCAACGTTCCCTAAGCCCAAGCAACAAATGCGTTATAGTTGTACTGCTGAGGCGTCAGCGTATACGTGAACGCAGCTCCCGGGTTGACGTCCACCACGGCTGCGCCGAGCCGGGTTAAAGTCCCTCGAATACCGCCAGGCGCGCTCGGCACCTGCAACTTCGTCACTCCCGCCGGCACCTCGAACGATTGCACGTTGGACCCTGATGTGAGGGTCACCGTTCCCGTCGAAGACGCGAAGACGACGGCCCAGAGGTTGTCCGACTCCCACTGCGCGTTGGCGGGTTTGCCAATACCGTCGCAGCAGGCAGTCGCGTCGGCTGGGTGAGGGCGGCTCCAAATGTAAATGTGATCCGTGGAGATCGTCGGGTTAGCACCCGTCTTAAAAGCCTGCGCGTAGTATGGCACCATGTTGAGCCAACCTATGGGTGTCTGTCAGCGGCGTAACTAGAATGACGATTATACAAGATCGCGTACCTTGGTGATCGTACCCGTTTTGCCAGTATGTACCACCTGGAGGGGAAGCAGCGGCTGTAACTGGTCCGATATAATGACTCTCGCTGTAATCTGTACCGTAAATTTAGCGGATGGCCAGCTGTAAAGTGCGAGCGGTCGTACCATTCCAGGTGACGATCTCCACGATGTCGACCTGGTCTCTGTGCGCTATAATCTGGTCCCAGCGCGTGTTCCAAAGCCAATCGGAGCTCCTGAACACCTCGTTCTTCCAGGGGTAGTGTGCGAAAAACCACGGGCTGGCTGCAGCCATGAAGAGTTTGCCGTTGTCGCTAGCGATGTAAGATCCGTCGCTGTCGAACGTTTCGTCGGAGCCAGACATCGGCCAAGCACCGTTCCACTAAGAAAAATTGCGTTAGCAGGTTCAAAAGAGAGTGTGCAAGGATTTATGGCGTACGTTGAATTCGCCATCGACCACGGGATAGCTGCCAAACGTGTTCGGATCCGTGAAGAAGCCTGGCACGAATGAGTACGGGGTCGAGACGCCGTTGCGTACAGCGGATGTCCATCCAGAGTTGACATCGCCAGTACCGAAGGTGCAACGTTCGCCTCCGAAGGTGGAGGTGTACGGGCGATCTTTGTACCAGAATTGACTGGGGTGAGATGCGTATTGATTGAGCGCGTGTCCGATGTTCGCGGCGTCACCGGCTGATGCGCAGGGTATGGAGGTCATGTCGAAGGAAAGGAAGAGCTTAAAGCTCGATCCGTGTGCTGCAGCTGCGGCGTATGCATTGGCGATTTGATTTGGCTGCCACGGATCCGACCCGAAATTGAGAGCGAAGGCTAGAAATACTGTGGTCAGTCCATCGCACCTCCCGTCGTGTCGTATACATACCATCTATACCCATAGCACTAGCTTGTGTAATATCATTAAGCCAATCAGCTTGACTGTAAGACTACAAAATGTGATAAGCATATGATGAAGCCACAGAATGTTCGCAGAGCGACATACGATTGTGAATCCGACGATGAAGCTAAAGGTAACAAGGGGGTTAGTTAAGCGAAAAAGGAGGAGCGTGCGATTGAAACGTACTGGGCAACCACCGCCTTCACGGCTGAGGTAGCAGGACTAGCTGCTGAGCCTCCATCTCCGAGCAACTGTCTCGGGATATGCATGATGCTAATGAACGAACGGCTCTGGTGAGCGTAGGGAATGGCAGAGCTGTATATCGTAGCATATTACCGTCACTCGCATATTTATACCTGAAATTACGGAGGCGCATTATCCGTCCATTCCGCGCGCGGAAAGAGAGAGGATCGTGGTTTGCTTAGAGCATCCGCGCACCATGCATGGCCCGTTCTTCATGAAGGACATAGCGGTAAATTCTTCTTTCCATCCAGTCGCGTTCAACTTGCAAGGGCGACGATGGCACATAGATGAAAACATCTAGCGCAATTAGGGGGAGAAACGAACGAGAACGGGGAGAGAACAGGTGGAAGCACCCATAAGGGGTGGCTATACCCTTTCGCGAATTCCCGATTCGGTCGACGCGTTCTTCACCCCTATTTAATCGCAAACGAGAATCCTTGCCCAGGCAGCAGCCCAAGGAGGTACAAGTCGAACACAAGCAATGGTCATCTCCAAATTATGTAGTAAAGGGGCTGCCATGACATAAAATAAGGCAATCATGTTTCGCCTGATCTCCTATCCCAACTTGCATGTTCATTCTAATTTTGTCTAATATTCCCAAGTATAGGATAAGAGTAGAAAGATCGTGATCGTAAGAAAAAGTTCAACGACTGTTGTTACTCTTAAATCCCCATCCTTTTCAAGCCCATGCAACGAAAGCGTTGTAGTTGTACTGTTGGGGATCGGACGTGTATGTGAACGCCGATCCAGGGTCAACGTCGACCACGGCCTTGCCGTCCCGGGTCAATGTGCCCTGAATGCCACCAGGCGAGCTCGCCAGCTGAAGCTTGTTCACGCCAGCAGTCACACTGAACGTTTGAGTATTGCTTCCGGACGTGAGTGTGACGGAACCGTCTGAGGCGGCGAACGCGACGGCCCAGAGGTAGTCTGAGAGCCAGTCGGCATTGGCGGGCTTGCCGATGCCATCGCAGCAGGCGCTGGCGCCCGCCGGGTGGGGGCGGCTCCAGATAAAGAGGTGGTCCGCCGAGACGGTGGGATAGTTGCCAGTCTTGAACGCCTGACTGTAGTACGGTACCATGTTCAGGAAACCTACATATTGCGTTATAAGTAAGATGCATCAAGGCTCACGAACGAGGACGGCTAACCTTGGTGGTCGAAGCCGTTTTGCCAGTATGTGCCATCAGGAGGAGAACCATCAACAGGACCCACGTAATGACTTTCGCTGTAATCTATGCCTGGACGTCAATGGGAGGAATAGAATGGGGTACGCTCCGATGCGTACCATTCCATGTGAGAATCTGCACGACATCCACCTGATCGCGATGCTGGACTAGCTGCTCCCAGCGCTCATTCCATAGCCAGTCATTGGTATCGAACACTTCGTTTTTCCAGGAGTAGTGGGCAAAAAACCAAGGGCTTACAGCCGACATGACGAGTTTGCCGTTAGCGGCAGAGATATATCCGGCATCGCTATCGAACGTGACGTCGTTGGCGGACATGGGCCAACCCCCGTTCCACTGGCAATAGAGTCAAAATAGAAAACAGAAAGGAGATAACAGCGCGCACATTGAAGACGCCGTCGACGACTGCGTAGTTAGCCCAGCCGTTGGGGTCGCCGAAGAACGCGGGAACGAAGTAGTAGTTGGCCCCAACATTGTTCCGCACGGCCGTGGTCCATCCAGAGTTAACGTCACCGGTGCCGAAGGCGCATCCTTCGCCGCCGAAGGTGGAGGTATACGGACGTCCATTGAAGTAGAATTGGTTTCCGTGGTTGGCGTAGGCATTGAGGAGGTTGCCAATATTCGAAGCGTCGCCGCCGGACCCGCAGGGTATCGAGGACATGTCGAAAGAGAGGAAGAGTTTAAAGTCGGAGCCATGCGACGAAGCGGCCGAGTAAGCGTTGGCGATCTGGCTCGGTTGCCAGGAATCTGCTCCCAAATTCAGAGCGAACGCTGAAGACGTTATAGATGAGTCCCCCATCCGCTGCGCAAAAAAAAATCCGAGCCGTACCATCTATTCCCATAGAACTGGCAAGATTGATGTCATTGAACCAATCATTCTGGCTGTACGACTGGAGATCGTGTCAGAAGAGGCGCAATGTATCGTGTGGTGAGAGGCGGCTCACATATGTGTAGCCGACGATGAAGCTAAAAATGGGGAGATTAGCGTGTCGGCCGATCCGTCAGTGTCGATGCCACGAACTGGGCTACGACTGCCTTAGTGGAAGAGGCCCTAGGTATATGCATGGCGGAGGTCGAGCGACTGGAGGGAGCGGAAACTGCAGCAGGTTTCGCATCATATCGAGTTTATACCCTTCACTCGCAGGCACGCCAAGTCAGTTCGTTCAGCGCAGAAACGCATGTATCGCTGTTCGGCGGTGACATCCCTCGAGATGGACGAAGCTTCTCGAAACATGAAGGCGGAGTAAGATGAGTGTGAGGGGTGCGAGGAGGCTCAGAAGCGGGACGTATAGGAGGTGGCAAATCATGTTGAAACCTCGGATGATATGGCACCTTGATGCGCCTAGAGAGAACAGCCAGGGGAGAGTTCCGTTGAGTACCACTGAGCGAGCGTTTTCGGATGGAGCTTGTGTAGCTTAGATGTCTGCACCGCAACCATAGATATCCAGGGAGTTGGGGTATTGTGGGTTTGGTCTCGTTGCATCGCCGAGCGCGATATGGATCCGGTCACAACCAGCTGAGGAGTGTGACAAAGTGTGACAGTCAGGCTTGGAATGATCTGAACCCTGGCATCTGAGACCGTTTCGTTCGTTGGCTTCCGATTTGCCTCGTCCCTTCGACCAGCGCATAATTTCAGCGACTTCTGTGATATCTATGACGCTATGGTTTCAAAACATGGGTGTAATGTGAGATGGTGCTCCGCCAGGAGATTGGCCCAACCGTAAACCTGGACCGGGACGATAAATCGAAACAACATCGGGCGCCGAGAATGACCTGAAACATGCATTCACGAGAAGGATGGAGGTCGTCTCAAAGCAAGATACTCTCTCGCTGGTCTCAGCAACGTCAAAGCGCAAGGCTCTATCGTCTGTAGAGTGTCGATTGATTGGTGATCTCTGGAATCCTCGGTATCCTGCGTCGATAGAAGGGTGACATTGAGCAAGATTGTGGTTGCCCCAGTGTGTCGAATATGCCTGCAAAGAACGTATCGTGCTTCGAGATAGACAGATCGTGAACATAGGAAAGATCCAAGCCTACTTCCGCTACCGTAGGGGGGTGGCTGTACCCTTTCAATTTCTCCTTGGCGGGATTGGCTGGGACCGTTCACGCTCATTGCTTGACGAGCCTGTGCTCAACAGCATATTCTCCCGGAGGCCGCAAGAGTGCTAGCTCCTGGCATGGTATTCGTCTGCTCGTCCTGCTCGCGCGCGATTTCGAGCTCGCTCAAGCCTTTCCGACTTCGACGTACGCCAGCACTCCGCGCGATCAGCAATTCGTCTTCTGCACGAGCAGCGGAGACACCCTTGCCAACGTCTCATTCGTTTGGTACATCAACCGCGCCAAGTAATGATATGAGCAACCTGCCAAGAGCTCGAAAGCTTGTGCAGAACGCGCTCCCGCTTGAGCACTTCATCGCAAACGCATCTCTAGGAGCGGCTGCAGAACCGCATGACCCACCACCGTATCTCGCCCAGAAGCTTATTCCGAAATCGTTCTATCTTGAGGTATATGGCTGTCAGATGAACGTATGCCTTTCGTCTTATGTCATGTCCTCCGCCCTCGGCTGACCGCATTAAAGGGTGCCGATTCTGACATCTTGAACCGTATCCTCGTGGACGCAGGCTACACGCCGTCTCCGACCGCTTCCGATGCCGACATTGTCCTCCTCATCACATGTGCCATCCGGGAGAATGCTGAGTCAAAGATATGGAGGCGGCTTCGAGAACTTGCTCCTCTTCGCGCTCGCGGCGGTAAAGTGGGGTTGCTCGGATGCATGGCCGAGCGCCTCAAACTCAGTCTGCTGGAAGGGAAGGTGGATGAGAAGACGGGGAAGAGGGACGAACGGATGGTCGACGTCGTGTGTGGGCCGGATGCGTACAGGAGTCTACCCAGATTACTGGGCCAGGTAGAGGAGGAAGGAGACGGCGGACGGGGTGCGGCGAACGTTCAGCTCAGTGCTGACGAAACGTACGCAGATATCACGCCCTTGTCTACGGATCCATCGAAGAAGACGGCAAATCTGACGATCATGAGAGGTTGCAATAATATGTGCTCGTATTGCATCGTGCCATTCACTCGAGGTGTGTACGTTGCAGTACCGAGCTTCGACATGCCATTGACACTTCGTAGGTCGAGAACGCTCTCGTCCCATCACCTCGATCCTAGACGAGGTCCGCCATTTATCTTCCATAGGGATCAAGGAAATTACGCTCCTGGGCCAAAACGTTAATTCCTATCGAGATACAACCCCCTCATCGATGGCTCTCTTCTCGTCATCCTCTTCGACCTCTATACCTCCGCCTGGTGTATCCCTTGGCGCCTCCCTATCTTCTCCTGGCTTCAAGCCCGTTTACCGTTTCGATCCCTCCGGCATCCACTTCGCCGCGCTCCTCGACCGCGTTTCGCTCATCGACCCGGAGATGCGCATCCGCTTCGTCTCTCCGCATCCCCAAAACTTCCCTCACGACCTCCTGCAGCTCATCGCGCAACGTCCGAACCTTTGCTCTCAAATCCACATGCCCGCACAGTCCGGATCGAGCAGCGTTCTCGAACGCATGCGGCGCGGCTACACCCGGGAATCATACCTTGAGCTCGCACACCGGATTCGGGCCACGATTCCGGGCGCGACGCTCTCGTCCGACTTTATCGTTGGCTTCTGCGGCGAGACGGATGAGGAGTTCGCCGACACGCTCAGCCTCGTCGACGAGGTCGGCTTCGAGCTCTGCTTCAACTTCGCGTACAGCCTCAGAGAGAAGACGCGTGCGCATCGCCACCTCGTGGATGATGTGCCGCAGCGGGTGAAGAATGAGAGGCTAAGGGCGCTGAACAATGTTTACGAAAGGAGGCGGGACGAGCGGCTGGGCGCGATGGTAGAAGACGGCAAGCCGCAGCTTGTGCTCGTCACGCAGGCGTCGAGACGACCTGGGGATAGCATGTGGATCGGCCGCTCGGATGGGTACGTCCGGTGCGCTCTACCGCAGTCGGCCCTGGTCCCGAGGTGGGACGGCGAGAGGAAGGTGTGGGGGAGAGAGAAGAGGAAAGTGGAGATAGGTGATTACGTGGTGGTAGTACCGAGGAGGAGGGATGCGGGGACGCTGGTCTGTGAGGCCGTGGGCACCTGCAGTTTGGGCAATTTTGCTGCTGAAGAATCAAAGCGACGCATGCTCGCGCAAGCCATGCTTTTCGCGAACGAAAACGCTCGAAGGCGTGTGGCGATGGAGCCGTAATGCAACAGTGATGATGTGATAGATTTATCCTATGTACATTGACCACTATCGATATATGGAAGGGAATCGACCGCGATATACAGTAAATACATACAGATAGCGCTCGTTGAGTCACACATTCGAATCAATACAGGGCGGAAACGCGTTACTATCAAACAGGCGAATAAATGAGAAACTTCTTGGATGCTGCATATGCAGCCTCCGCCTCTGGTGAGAACCGGTGTTCGTTGCGCCAGTGAAACACCCAGAATTGTTCACAACCTGGACAAAGCCATCGCATCGCATGGACCTGCCAGGACGAAGGATACCAACCGGAGTCCTCCCAATCGATGATACCAGATACGTGACCGTTGTGTATCAATACGTTGTACATCCGTAGATCCGCGTGTACGTATCGGATGGGGTCTGCAGCCATGATCGCTCGAGTGTCATGATCCAGCGTTTCTTCGTAGCCTTGCAGGCCACCCGATGCCCCAAGGTAAGCCCATAATTCCGCTGGAGACGAGAAAGGGCCCGATCGTTTTTCAAAAAAGAAAAGGGGATCTGGAAGGCCATGGCCAGATGCGCTAAGCATCACCTTTCCAGCATCTGCCTCAGGTTGTCGAAGTGTCTGTAGTTGTTTGATAACTAAAGAGATCTCCCCTAGGATAGTTCGCTGCAACTCGGGTGTCAAAAGACCCTGGCGCCAAGCATCGTAAACGGTAATTCCAGGGAGACGGGTCATAACCGTGTAGCTAGCTCCTGCGTGCTCGAACGACACGATCAGGCGAGGGATAGGGAGGTCAAGACCTGTGCCATGGAGGAATCGTAGGGCATGGGCTTCTGTACTTGTTGTGCGATTACGGAGTTTAACAATCCAGGGAATACCATGTCGGAAGACACGAACATTCGGTTCGTCAAGAAGAGGCTTGCTGAGGAGAAGGACGAGCCGATACTGTGCATCCGGGTACATCAAAGTGCGCCCTAGTATAGCAGTGGTTTGAACAATAAGCACCTGAAGCAACGAGTTCGTAGTCCGTATCAAGATAAAAAGCCACCACTGTAGAGACATAACCGTCGTGGTCAGAGTTAGGAGATGGTACGAGATGAGGAGCGGCACAAGGCGGTGGATACGGTCGAGTCTGACCCTTCTTCGGGTTCGTATATATAGACCGTTTTCTAAGATCACGTGATACACTTTTCCTGGACCTCATTGATCATACACCTCCCTCGTCGACTGCGCGTGAAACACGTTGAAAGAGCTATGTCTGGAAGACGGCTCTGTTCTCCAAAATAAGACTCCTTGGCTCAGTCTATGTGGCAACATGTCGACAACGTCTTATCTCAGCTGGCTCATTTTATGCCGACTGCGTTGGCGGCCTGAATAGCATTCACCCTACCAATTCGGCACTTGCCCACGTCCTGCGCTAATCCGGCGTCCTGAACATTTCTTTCATTACTCGGCTGCTACACACCGAACCCTACGTTTCGATCCGCAGTAATCGTTTTCGGACAGCATCACTCACCTTCATGTGGTGACCTTCGGGATCGGGTTACACTCCAAAGTAATATGGCGCACGGCTTGCTCTTGGTCGTTGAGTCAGGCGGACATCACCTCCAGCATACCTGTGTGCTGGAAGAACCGTGATATCCCCGAAACGGCTTGCATGTAGGCTGGAAGCTCCAAGAGGTATTATCTGTCGATTTCACCGACGACATGCTTTCTTCCCTCGCAGCTATGCCAAGCTGTAGGAGATGAGCGCTTCCTACCCTTTTCTATTGTGTCGGTTCTGGAGACCACAACTTGCAACCTGACGGGTATAAGAAGCGACTGTTGCTACTCGATACCGCCAGCCAACTCAGTCTTTATCCTCTTCGCACCTAGGCTACATCTCCTCAGCCAACACCATTCACACAATGAACAGCGAGAACCGAATGATCTCTCTGCAGCCCAACTCGCTGTACATCTTTCTGATTCAGATCCTGTCGGTGGACCCCCACTGGTCTCTTTTCATCACAGATGCCGCCGGCGTTGCGACGAGGTATCATTGGTCGGTAGCTCCCCGCCGCAGTCTCAACGAACCCATCGAGTGCTATGACGCCAGAGTCATCAATCCGGTCAGGGAGGTCACGAATGGCGGCAAGATGACTCTCGGCGTAGTCCGAATCATGAGCTACTCTCCACCCCAACCCGGGTTCGATTTCAATGGTCTTTTTTCACAAATCTACCGCGGCATTAGCTACAACACCGTTCAGATGAATCGGCTCAACCATATTTCCTGCTGGGAATGGGTTCTGGAAGCCCTGAACCTGCTTTGGCAGTACAATATTATTGGACTCGACCCGCAAGCCACGAGCAGCCTCGTGGGACCTATCAATGCACTCGGCCGAGAGTCAGAAAGGCTTACTTCTCTTGACGGTATATCGCGCACCTTGTACTGGACGATTTAGCCACCATGTTGGGTTTCTTCTCTTGTTCACCTGTCCACTCCCGACGGCCGTATGAACCAGTCGCGCAAAGATGGGCTCTGTTTTGATGGGTCTCGTATATGTCTTGAACTCGTTGTACTGCAATAAATTTCTTGTCGTTCCTATGGCTCGAGACAATTATGAGATGCGCTAATTGCATCAGCGACTATACCCACCGGTTTATCGTGTTGTAGACAATCACCTTCAATCCCAGTCCGGTGGAATTTTGTCGCCATCTGCCGCGCATTCACGTTCTTCAAGTTTACTTGAAGTAAACAGAGTGTATCTGTAAGTGGTAAAAGTTCTTCGCAGTAGGCAAATATGTCCGCGGCTCTATTACACGACGATCCTCTCACCTCTAATTTGACGGCTCATGCATCGTTATCCAGAGCATGAATGTGCTACACTATCATCGAGGGGACGTGCACAATGTGCTTGTCACATGGACAGGATTGGCTAAAGAGAGCGAAAACGACGACAAATGCCGTGTTTCCGAGCACACGGCTCAAGGCAAATCTAGCGATTAATCTGGCACAAGGCAAATCTGGCGATTGTTTGGTGATGGGGATGGTGTCAAGACGTACCCTGCTCATACGATTGGCTCAACTTTTAGCACACGACTCGGCCAACTTTGACGTGGTACTGAGGATTTTGCGGCACGTTGCAAAAGGTGCATCTATTACTCCTGCATCACACTGCAACTCATGGATTTGCCGTGGTCTGACCCCACGGTACGAAGCCGATCCTTGTGTCCATCTCCTCCACCGTTCTGAAGCCGACCGTCAGCGTCACCTGATAACTAGCATGAACACAGCGCACCTTGTCTTCATCTCGCTCGCCCACGTTATTTCCTTCAGCGTCGGCGTCCTCATGGACGCTCCCATAGTCGCCAGTACAAGAGATACGATGGCCTCTATGACGACCTGTAACGTTGTCTTGGCACGATAAGATCAACCCGTTCGAAGATATACGCTCACGTCCGAAGGGAGGGTTCCCTCAGATTTTCCAATAGCTTTTATATGTGACAGGTCTAAATGAAGTCTTCGTTAGCCCGGTTCATACTATGCGCCCGAACTTGGGTACCAACGTTCGTAAGCTGAATACGCAGCTGTAGGATGCATAAGCCAGTGGACACGGACGAGTGTAAGAAGCTGACCATGGATCAGGCTGAGTGAAGCCAAAACAAGAAGGAGCTGAGCAAACATGCTTTTAGAGCAGTTCTCCCCGCACACTGGTGACCAATAGAGCCTGAGCCTCGAGCAGAGCGCAATATGTGATCCAGCGAGTGGTTCAGCGTGAGGTTTACCTAGGCACAGCCACGCGGGTTGGGACACGACTCCCGTTAGTCCAAGATCTGTGCTACCTCGCGTGCACCGGAACGGCCCGGCGACTCGCCGAGATTCAGTCGCACCAGATTTCCTAGTGTAGGAGGGCTTTGTTACATGTTCCGCACCGGGGTTAATGTACATTCCCAGATACCGCAGAAACTCGGCGTATCGGGTATAGCTGCGACCACTGCGTTCAGTGTCGAGCTCGCCAAATAGAAACCCTATGTTGTGGTTAGGTTTTGGGCACGCATACGCCATCATCTTCACGTTTTAGTCCGTGAGGGACACAGCAATCGGGCAATCAATGACAAGGGGCTGAATGCAAAGGGGGAGAAGTGGCGAAAAGAGACAGTCAGTCCAGCATTGGCGCTACACGCGTGGTCTAGATGTTGATCGAGACATACCCAAGCTCCATCACAGGAAAATGATCAACGTATAAGGCGATGTCTTTGCGTACAGACAGATACCCGCGCGGATGAGCGCTGGCTCGCAGCACAAGGAAAGCACTGCAGGGTACTGCTTCGCACAGACTGCATGCCTAAGTTGTTTTCTGTGTAGTTATGACCCATCTAACAGCGAGAACACGGCGGAGAGAACCGCGAGAAGATTCGCGACGAGGTGTCCTCAGAACTTCAGGGAGTCCGAGAAATGCAGTTCGCTCCGGATGTGATGTAGAAAAATGCCACAGTGGATGTGAGAAGCTGTGATTGCGTTGAGCTCAGTCGCCGAGGGGCTGTTCTCTGATGGCGGTGGGCACCGCCACCAGATTACGCTTGCCTCTTGATATAACCTCGGCGCGCCCGGCGTGCTCGTCTTATATCGACTGCACGAACTCCTACAACAGTCACGAAGGTACACGACTAGACTGACTCTACAAGCTATAACACACGATTACTCTGATACGACACGATGGCGCCCAAACGGAAACAGAAGGCCCTGAAAGTCAAGCACGCCATCGGTAAAGCTTTGCCTGCTCGCCTCGCCGGGATCGCCCCCAACTCAGGTATGCTCGCGCTCGTTACAAGTAGTCGAGACTATAAACAGTTGAAACAGGTGTCGCGTCCAAGAATTTGCAACCAGTGCCCGGGGAGCCACCCCTAGTCATTCTTCGCGTGCAGGTCATAGGCTGCACTGATCTCGTAGGAAAGGATCGTAACGGCTTCAGTGACCCGTCCGTACGCTCTAGATTTGACCTGCGAGAGAAAACTCTCCGACGTTGATGCTGCAGCTATGTTACGGTCGGCGTCCTAAACCAACGACACTCCACTCCTGCGGTCAAGAAGTCCAATTCGCCCATCTATGATCCAGCCGAGGCAACGTTCGACCTTCCGCTTCATCTCTCGCTCGCAGAACGCGTCGGCGCGCTCGAGATTGTAGTTTGGGACAAGGATATGATTGGGAAAGAGTATCTCGGCGAAGTCGCTTTGAGTGTGGACGAATGGTTTCCGCAACGTGGGCCGAAGTTAGATTGGAATTCAGCAGAGGTGTGTAGAAGAGCATATTCCAGGCTTATTCTCATGTGCTCCTCGTTTACTCAGGAACGATCCCTCGCACTCATATCGACTCGCTCCAAAGCGACGATATCCGGCTCGGTCCGCATCAAGATGGGTTTCGTCCGACCAACACCTACCGATACCCATGCGAGCACGAAGATGGTTGATCCCAGCTTGCCATTGGAGGATATCTACACCGAGTTCCTGCAACGTCAGCAATGGAACTTGACATCGGTGCCTCCAGTCAGTTCTCTTGCCATTCCTTCTTAGCGAGCACCTCCTGATAAGCTGCAGACATCAACTATTGGTACGATCCCGTCCGTGTCTGGAGGACCGGAATTCGAGGACGATGGATTTAGCTCTGACGAGGACGACGAACCTACGTCGACCGATCCCTCTGGTAACGAGAGTGCCACAGATAGCGATGATCAAGGGTACGAAACCGCGGAGGACTTCCCGGCACATATCCAGGGTAAGTGTCGTAAAGGAATTGACCTTTGCTATGCGCTGACGGTGACGTCTCTAGGCGGGCACGTGCCGCACGCTCTCAGAGGCCATCGAACGCAAATCATCACCGGCTCGGACGATAATGAACCTACTCCGACCGCTACCGTACCTTCGCTTTTTGCCGACCCAGAGCCGCTTGTGCAATCACCTTCCATGGTCGACCCTAACAAGACGCCTCAACCTCCGTCCAAAGTGCCATCGCAAGCACAACTTCAATCCCCGAGACCACGACTGCAAGAGGAAGGTAGAAAATCGTCACGATTCCTCAAGAAACTTATCAGGAAGGGGTCGTCTATCAGTGTGGCCAGTGAGTCTGGCGCGGAGACGCCCACCGCGACTAAACTCGGTAAGGTCTCGGAATCAAAGCCAAAGAAAGACAAGCGGCGTCGAAGGAAACGCGAGAGCGGATTTGAACTTGGTACAAATTCAGATTTGGATGGGGCCACCGTGATCGCTGACGCGCGATGGCCTTGCAGATGCGGACAATGATATCGTCGGAATCGTAATGCTGGAGATCAACGCGGCCACCGACCTGCCACGTTTGCGTAACTGTAAGTATTTTTCTCGCTTGCGGTTTGTGGCGCGTTATATTGACGACAGTCGTTCACCTCCCAGTCACTCGGATAGGATGGGACATGGACCCCTTTGTCGTGGTCTCCTTCGGAAAGAAAGTTTTTCGTACACGTGTCATCCGTCATTCTCGTGATCCGGAGTGGAACGAGAAGCTGCTGTTCCATGTACGCCGGTATGCTTGTTTTCATCGCTCAGGCGTGCCGTCGATCTGATTCGCGCTTGCTATACAGATATGAGACCAAGTTCAATGTAAAATTCAGCGTGCTCGATTGGGATAAGATCTCGACCCACGACAAAGTCGGGGAGGCAATTTTCAATGTTGGCGACCTCATACGCGAAGAACAGAAAGACGAACGAGGTATATATCAAGGAGACACATTGGACGGTGATGAGGTGAAATTCATTTTCCAAACATCCCATCGATGCTCATCAGCGTCCAGAAAGAGGAGGATATGAAAGACTTTGTTCTCCCTCTTACCCCTGGTGAGGGCACCTCCGGAGAACGTCCCTGGGAGGCAAAACATAAGCCGCAGCTGAAGTTCAGGTGAGCGGCTCCTGTATGATACTCATCGTTTGATCTTGTTCTCAGTAGCTTTACAGGGCGAAGTATCAGCCGTACTCAATTCTGCGGCGCCGGTTTTGGCACGAATACCTTAAGCAATACGATGCCGATGACACCAGGACAATTTCGAGAGTAGAGCTCACGTCCATGCTCGATTCGCTGGGATCGACGCTGTCCGCAAAAACCGTAGACGCCTTTTGGACTCGATACGGGAAGGATTCTCGTGCGGAGGACGCCGAGAACGAACTCACGTTCGAGGAATGCGTCGCTTGCCTTGAAGAATCGCTCCTAAAACCTGCTACGGAGCGCAAGAGGCTCGACGATGTTGACTACAGGCTCGCGGACGGCGACACTGCGACTGGATCCCACGCCGCGAACACACCTTCCGGCGCAGAACAGGCCTTCGAGGACCTCGAGGAGAGTATGGCGCACATGAACTTCGCTGGCCCGCCAGGGAACATTCCCTCAGACGGCGAGCACCTGAAGCCGTCGCAACCTGTTCCACACCCTACTGTCCCCAACTCGCAGCCAATTGCAGAGGTCACCCCTCGCGCCAAAGACGTCTTCAACCCCGTCGAATCCGAGCCTGGACCGATCACGCGAGCCAGCTCACACCAGTCCGGATCATCTCGATCGTCGGGGTCGTCTCCTGACACGTCCGACTCCGATGCCAGTCCCGAGCCCGTAGTCGAACGCGTTATCAATATCCGTAACTGCCCCCTATGCCATCGTCCCAGGATGGGTCGGAAGGCAGAAGTGGACATTGTGACGCATATGGCGTTATGCGCCAGCCAAGATTGGGGCCGCGTGGATCGTATCATGGTCGGCAACTTCGTGACCAGTAGCCAAGCTCAGCGCAAGTGGTACACCAAACTCTTGGGCAAAGTCGGCGCTGGATCATACCAGCTTGGTGCTGTGAGCAGGCTCAATCTACCATAACATGAAATCGCTGACGCCGATTCTTTTCTTGTGAAGAACTCTGCCAACATCATTGTGCAAAACCGCACAACAGGTCAACTTGAAGAGGAGAAGATGCAGGTGTATGTTCGTCTGGGTATTCGCTTACTGTACAAGGTGTGGACTCTGTCATATACCATGATACGAGGCTGATTAAGTGTGTTAGGGCGCTAAGAGCCGAATGGAAGGCGCACGGGGTGGGTCACGATGGTGTTTCTGTAAATTTATGGGGTTCTCACGGCGTGATGATAGCTCGGCGCCTTCTGAAGTCGATGTCCATCAAGCAAGGTGTCAAGTACGACTCACCGGAATCTGCGAAGGACATTTTGCCTTTCATTGAATTCCATCGCCTCAACGTCAACGAGATTCTCGACCCATTGGATTCCTTCCGTAAGAAGCTTAGTATTTACTCCCCCCATCCATAATTCTCATCAATAGCCCTTCAGAGACATTCAATCAGTTCTTCTACCGGAAGCTCAAACCTGATGCGCGTCCCATCGAGTCTCCGGACGACCCTTCACGACTCGTAAGCGGGGCAGACTGCCGAATGATGGCATTCGAGACCGTGCAAGAAGCTACGAGGATATGGATCAAGGGGCGGGAGTTCACGGTCGCTCGCCTCCTGGGTCTCGATCAAACGTGTGTTCAGGTTGCGACATTTGCCACAAGTTCGCAATCGCTGACAACCCTACAGCGAGGAGGGTAGGCAAGAAGCTCGACGGTTTGAAGATGGGGCACTAGCTATCTTCAGGCTAGCCCCGCAAGACTACCACCGGTTCCATTCTCCGGTCGATGGCACTATAGGGCCGATGCGGTATATCGCAGGAGAATACTACACCGTCAACGTCAGCCGCTGCTGTGTTTCTCTACGGCCGATGATGCGCTGACAATCAATGCCACATAGCCGCAAGCAATCCGGACTGCTCTCGACGTCTACGGAGAGAACGCGCGCAAAATAGTGCAAATCGACAGTCCGCACTTCGGACGTGTCATGGCCGTGTGCGTCGGCGCGATGATGGTCGGTAGTATCATCACCACCGTCGATGAAGGGCAGACCGTCAGACGGGGCCAGGAATTCGGCTGCTTCGCCTTCGGTACGTAAGAACTGCTTGATCTACTATCTACGTGACCGCTGAGTCAGAACGCCAGGCGGTTCAACGATCGTACTGCTCTTCGAGAAAGGCGTCGTTGAGTGGGATGAAGATCTGTTGATAAACGGGCGAGCTTCGCTAGAGACGCTTGTACGCGTCGGCATGGGCGTCGGTCGGTCGCGCCGTACGGCTACATCCGCAACGGAGGGCGCTCAACCTCGTGGACTCTCTTTCAACCCGGCTTCGTAACCCAAGCGCACGATAATCTGTAGGATTCGCGTATATTTAATGACGACACCATGATAGGTGGTAACATACGCAGAGGAATACGCTCGAATAGCCGAGAAACTATTAACGGACTGAATAATGGCACGGAGTAAACCTTGCATTACTGCAGACAATTGATTCCAAGAAACGAGTGAGCAACTACTCCGACGTCCAACAGCCGTGATACAAAGAAATATGCAAATCACCCTCCCATGTCCTTCAAGGTGTTCATATAACTGTTCGGTGGGTTCGGAGATATCGCCTATGCTCGCAATTTTTGGTATAAGATATCCGTGACCAGCAACATTCTTTGAGTTCACCGCCGAACCGGGAGCAAGGTTCACGACGTCCACTGGCCAATGAGCGGCGACATCGGCTTACACTGCATGATGCTCCCCTTTGCATCCAACTACTAATATCTTGCAGTTCCCCAGACGTCGAACACAGTGCGGGCTGACACGACGTAAACCTTGCATTACTGCAGCAGATCGATCCCAAGAGACACGAACGAGCAAGCAATATGCATATTAACTATTTCGACGCCCAGATACCCGTAAACAGAAGAGAGACCGACATATAAAGCCCATAACCATGCGTTAACGGAACACAAGCATTGCACGATCAAGCCAGGGTGGCGATGGCGAAGAGGCTGGCCGCCATGATGCTGATGACGCTGACGCCGACGGAAGCAGCGCCGCTCGTAGTTTCGGTAGGGCCAGCAGCAGAGCCGGACTGCGAACCGGTGGCGGCGGCGGAGCCACTGCTACGACCAGAGGTAGAGTGGCCGGAGACGGCGGCGGTCGTGTGCGAGCTGCGAGTGGTGGACTCAATCAGTACTGCGAGGTACTGGGGAAGAACAATTACAATAAATCTCACCCCGATGCAGAGGCCGAGGAGGAGGCGGTCGTAGTAGCAGCAGCAGCGAAGAGGTCCGCCGAGCTGAAGGTCAGGCAATTGGATGACGCGGGAACGCGGGGCTGGTATGGCAGCGTGGAGATGACGCCGAGCGACTCCGGGGGCTGGGTGTAGGTGAGGACCTGGCCGTTGGAAGTGTAGACGCCGGGGAAGTCCTGGTCGTCGCCTTCACAGCTGGTGAAGGAACCGTTCTGGGCGTTGTTGGGCGCGTTGTAGGCGCAGCCAATACGGTCGTAGATGTGCTGGCAGAAGTCGGCGGCGTGGGCGCCCGCGGGGTCGCAGATCTTGAAGCAGAACGCTCCACCTCCCATGAAGCTAGGAAACATGAATTCAAGATTTGGGTGTACCTTCGAGCTGGAAGGGAACATACTTGTGCCACTCGATGGCCTGGATGAAGGTGTTGTTGTCACCGTTAGACGCAGGGAAACCGTTGGAGTAGACGAGACCACCCAGAGGGTTACCACGCTTCAGAGACATGAATATACAACTCATTATGCACCTAGATATGGGACTTACGAAGTCCGCGCCGTGGGGGTCAAGTTCACCACCGAAATCGTCGCCAGCCATATTGATCTTCGTCTGATCGATGAAGCCGACGACCTGGAGGTAGTCGGGAGTCTTCATGAACTGAACGCCTTGGAGGGCACCCTCGGGGATGACACGAGTACCACGACCAGGCTTCGTGCACCACGCAACTTCCTCCTGCTCGGTATCACCGATTGTTTCCGGGCCGTTGGGAGGTGCCCAGAGGCAGAAATCTGAGGAAATCATTAGCTGTGAAGACGCGTAGCTTCCTGGAGGGCGCGCACCATCGAGGGCGTTGATGAACGCGGTCTGGCAGAGCGAAGACTGATTCTCTGTCGTCGAGTTGCAGAGGTTGTAGCCGAACTGGGTCCCACGGACACCATCGTCAGGGTCGGCCCGGTAGGGCTGCACACGGGAAAGCGCCGTCAGTCACTTGTGGGAAAGGGGGTAGATATATAGCATGGGGTGCAGCGCCTTCGTGGAGGCGTGGAACCGCAGCACAACCCTGACCGAAGGCCAGCGAAACATGCCCCCAGGCGTCGTCGTCGACTCCAGCGTGTCACCCAAAGCATCCAGTGCCAGTACAGCGCAAGAGAGGAATTGACGAGAATGAGGCGACTTACGATGCCATCCGGGTAATCAAAGTGCTTGCTGGCAAGGGGTGTGCCAGATGTGTATGTGACGGATGCTCCTTGCGCGCTAACACGGAGGAGGACGCTGGATGCGACGACGGCGAGGGCGGCGAAGTTGCGAGACATCTTGAGGGGTATCAGGAGATAGAAAAATACGAGACAGAGGGGCAGTAGACTGGAGATGAGTCCGAAAACGAGCGGAAGGGCTTAAAGAGCGACAGTGAGAGCTCGCCAGTGGCGTTGGATACTTATGGCGGCAACGAGGAGAGAATGAGACGAGTACGGCCAGTATTTACCGTCGATCAACGCCAAGCCTTCTCACGACTGTGAACACGGGGTTCACTCCCCTTGCTGTCCCCGACTCGCCGTCCCTCGTCTTAGACGACAATATTCATCATGCCCAACGTAGGGGATGATTCTGAAGCTCGAGGGTACGAGAGCCCGACGGCGACTCCGCCTGCGACTCGCCATATCTAATCTTTCCGCTACTTCAACATCTGATATCGCTCCACAGCTCGGCAAAAGAACGGCATACCTTCACCACAACGAGAGACCCATTCTCCTGACCCATTCATCGGTAGTCTTCATAGTCTGGCCGTTGAGCAAGGGAGCTCTTTCATCATGTCGACTGGCTTCTGCGTGCTTTACCCGAGCCTGACTTCATCGGAAAACCCAGACATGTCAAAGGGCATCGAGGCCGTCACTGAAATGCACGACAGACAACATGGACCATGCTGAGCAAGTCGTCGGGGTCGACGTCGACATGGATGGCCCGTACACTGTGGCGTGCGAAGTGACTGGTCTCCAGGGTGTCCAGCGCACTGAGCGCAGGCTTGACTGAGCTGTCGCAGCACATCGTTGTTCAGCATGAGTACAGCCGGTTACAGCGCCAGCGATGTGTCTGCCGTGAAGAGGGGGTTCGACGGGGGCTGTCATCAGCTCTTATATATATACTGCATACTCAAGCGGCGGCCGGATCGGGCAGGAATGTGTATGAACCCTGGTTGGTCAGTCCCAAAATACATTCGATCGGAAGAACCTTGAGATGACGGTCCCTCTAAAGAATGGACTGTAGAGTGGGACGTAAAGCTTCGAAGCCGCCATTCAGCATCACTGCGATCTCTTTCAATGTGTTCCTACTGACAATTCATATACTCGTCATGTTTGCTGTCAGACCAGCAGGATGCTTTTCTCGAATCATTGTCTGCAGGAGAACATTGCGCATCATCCCGTAGGTTGCAGGGATCTATTTTCACGACGAGTTCACGAGTAAAGCTCACGATGACCGGCAAGAAGCGACTTGGTAGGATCCCACTGCCCCAGGTGAGCCGCGGAACCTGCGCCTGGCAACGCGTTCCGACCAGTTCGCAGCGCCCGTCCAGATGCCGTATCCATTTTTCTCACAGTCCTCTTCCCACCAGAAGCGCTGTGGTCTCTCCACAACAGAAGATGATCATCCAACTCGACTCGTTCCATCTAAGGTGTGTTTGTTCGCGCGGAGATAGACCCGCAGCATACTTAACGATCTTTTTCCGACAAAGGCATGCTGCCTGCAATCAGCTCTGATACCTCAATTCCCCTGGTATGGATGGGCGTCTTCCATGAGAAGCATTGCGGAGCGTTCCTTCCGGTTGCGCTTCCAGACACAGGATCTCATCTAGCCTCCCGTGACGGACGCTGCTGGTCGATACTGGTCGGAATCCCTGTACCCCTAGTGCGACCTTTCTCATCGCTGATGATAGGCTTGATCAAAGGTCAAGTATAGTCCAAGCGCGGGATACAGCATCGCACCCTCATAAGTACCGTAGCACATCATCGCATCTTGTGTCAGTGGTCCTTTTCGCTCTCCTGTTCATCCCTACGCCGACTTTTGCCTGCAGTGATCTCACGGCCAGATGATTGGACACGTCCGAGCTTCTGCTGGCAATGGGACGCCCATCCCTGCCGAAGTCGCTCTCATAATCGAGCAGTACGCTCGTGCCATCCGGCCTTCTATCATATTCATCATGATTGGCACTGTCTTCACAACAATTCTTCTGGTTCTGCTCGGTGCTCTCGTGTTCTTGTCGACGCCGCAATCGCGTCGATTAGCGGTGTTCATGTTCAACTTCGGCGCTCTTACTCTCGCAATTGTGACTGGTATTGTCAGCAACCACCTTCAGGTATGTCAACGCGATGAGCTTCCCGCTATATCAGGCTAACCCGATATCAGATCCACGCCATCCTATCCCCTTTGGCCACCATCAGCCCGATTGAGAACGAAGCATGGGTGGCGATGTACTTGTGGCTACCCTGGCTCTCGGAAGCGGTCTTGATCATACGGATAATTGCGGTCTTCAAACAGCGCACAGCGCGTCTGTTGGCATCGGTCCTCGTGGTCCCGATCACGATGAAGATATTCCGTGCTGTCTTGTTCATCATGTACCTTCGAAACTGGTGGAAGGATAGCGCCCATCCCGGAGCGACGAGTGCGAACTCTCGGGCCATCGCCAGCCAGAACTGGATTCAGAAGGCTATTTGTGTTGCTGAGCTGACGGATGATGCGTAAGTCTTGTCACGAGACTGTAAAGACACGAAAGACACGCACTGATGATGACCTAGGTATTGTTCTGCCATCTTTCTTTGGAAGGTCTGGGAACCCTCACGCTCTATGATGCCAAAAGCTAATCAGCGATTCAGTTTGCGGAGTAAGCCTTTTGCTTCGTCAATTCATGGTATACAATGTTGAACGTTTGTGTGCTACGAAGGTGGATTTGGCAGCCGCATCGGCGTACTGTTCTGGATGGCTGCAACGAACTTCATCTTTCCCGGTATGATTAAAATGCGACTACGAGACTGGTCTCGCTAACATGGATTCCTTAGTTATCTTGAACATCATCGTCTTGATTGTTCTATGTGTATCGAACACTGTTGTTGCAGGGTATTTCACCTTGGTGAGTTGCTCTTCCATCCGGCGTATCTACTTGTGGCTCATATTATGCCAGCCCAACACATTTTGCACCGTCATTTTTACTGTGCTTGCTACCGGTATGCATCATTCCCACATGATGCTACTTCTCACTGATGATATTCGTCTATCAGTATGGAGCTCCGGAGTTCAATATAAGGAGCGCCAGGCTATCTCATATAGCCATCGAGACATCAGCTCATCGGACGCGCGAACGGCTTACACTGCATATACGAACAATGATGCGGTGATGATATCGAAACACGTACATATCCTGCAATCGCCCGAGTTCGTGGACAAGGAGTCGGGAAAATGGGTAGAGCACCAGCAGCCTGATGAAATGCTCCTACCAGGGATGGACTCGCCAGATGCTCGATGCATAGGAATAGCCGAGTAGTAAGTATTCGGTAACAAACAGCGCCGATGCCCTGTAGAATCAACGATTCATTGCGGAGTGGGATGACTGAGTATAGGGGACAGACCAAGCCTATAGCCCACCCTATAGATACTTCTCATAGGTGTATTGTACTCTACAAGCACTGCTGATTTGGAACATATTCCAGAGTTTCATACTGTATATATTCGATCAGCTGGGCAGCAAGAGACGGCAACGTGGCCTGAGCAGCACAGCGCCCAGGCAATCGCTCTAGAGAGCCTGAGCACAAAGGAGTAGCCATGAGTGCGTCGAGTTACATGTTGGCGTAGTTACAAGTAAACGGAATGTATAAATGGAATGAGATGAGTATGATGAGTAAAGGGCTTTCCGAAATAGACGGGCGTGAGATAACTGCGCAGTCTGACCGTTCCCCTGTTTAGTTCCGTTCCATGCCATCTCGTACGCATCTGACGGCAGTGCTGGCTATGGAGGTTCTCGTGGGTACCATCTCCACGGACGGCGGTCGTAAAAGCCCCTCAAGGACGTCGACATCGCGAACGGACCGCCTCCAACCGACCTGAAGACGCCGACATGGGCTTGTTTTCGACCTATCCTACGAGCGCGCCGAAGAGCTTGGACGGGCAGACGTTCGACTACGTCGTCGTCGGAGGTGCGATTTCGCAAACTCATTGACATCTCAACGTCGTGCTCATGGAGGTTCACGATGGGATATGCAGGGGGCACGGCGGGTTGCGTCGTCGCGTCGCGGCTGAGCGAAGATCCGAACGCGCGCGTGCTGCTGCTCGAGCGCGGCCCGCTCGTCGACGGATGGGCGGCGCACGTCCCGCTCCTCGCGAGCAACTTCACGACGAAGACCGCGCCGGTCTATCGTCAGCGCACGGTGCCGCAGCCCGGGCTCGGCGGGCGGGTGGTCGACATGATCGGAGGGAAGGGGCTCGGCGGGGGGACGCTCGTGAACGCCGAGCTGTATACGCGCGGCGTGCCGGGGGAGTATAACGCCTGGGCGATTGCGGGGAGGCAGGGGTGGGGGTGGGAGGACGTCGAGCCGGCGTTCAAAAAGTCGCAAATGTGGATACCGCCGAAGGACACACCGGCGTTCATGGGGTCGGAGGGTGTGTACCGCTGGGCTTGCTGCGAAGTTGTCGCTGACGTTCGGTATGCACACAGGTCCGTGGCAGACGCAGATCAAAGGAGACATAAATTTCAACGTGGTGAAAGAGTGAGTGACCCGGACTTTTGAGGCGGCGTAGCTTGTACTTATATGCGTAGGAACTACGATGCAGCTGCGACATTCGGCGTGCCGGTCGTGGCGGACGGGAACGATCCGAACGGGCCCGTCGCGTGGTGTTCGCGACTAGACTCGACGATCGCAAAGGACGGGAAACGGAACATGATTCAAGACGCGTTCTTGCCTCAAAAGCTGGTCAGCGAGAGGAAAGGTCGGCTGACGATCTCTGTGGGCGCGTTGGTGCATCGCGTCGGGTTCGACAAGGAGAGCGATGTGATTCGCGCGACGAGCGTCGAATTCGGTGATGATGCTACGGCGAAGGGCGAAGGGACCGCGAAGTACTCCGTAGTGGCGACCAGGGAGATCATACTGTGCGCTGGCGCTATCATCACTCCTCAACTCCTCCTGCTCAGGTAGAGATCCACACTCAACCGGGTTGATGACGGGCGAAGTTGACGCGGACGACAGTGGCATAGGTCCTCGAGCCGATCTCGAATTCCACAAGATTCAAGTTGTCCGCGACATGCCCGGTGTGGGCGCTCATCTGGTATCTATATCACGCTCTAGACTCGCCTGGTCCCCAATTACTGACGGCATGTCGCAGCAAGACCACGTCAGCGTCCCGGTGCAATACCACGTCCCGCTCGAAGAATCGATCGAAGGCCTGCAAGCCAAACCGCTCTTCGCCGTCGGGCAGCTGCTCAAATACGTGTTCACGCGCGAGGGCATCTTTGGCTCGCAAGTGCAGCAGGCCGGGATCTTCCTGCCCTCCTCCGCGCTCAGCGAGGACGGGACCGCGATCAGGAAGGACGTGCTCGAGCACGCGCACCGGCATACGCCACGGCACGTGCCGGATATCGAGGTGATGTTCCTCCCGGTGGACTCGGACCCGCCCACGAACCAGGGGACGCCGAAGAGGGGCGTGTTTAGCTATTTGTGCGCGGCGGTGCAGCCGAGGTCGGTCGGGTCGGTGAGGCTCGCGTCGAAGGATGCGCGGGATGCGCCGGTGGTGGATCTGGGGCTGTTGAGCGACCCGGAGGACGTGGTGGTGTTGAGGAAGGCGGTCCGGTTCGCGCTGGCGTTTCAGGCGCGGTTGCCTGTGGAGGGGAAGGGGGTCGTACCGATGACGCCGTGGTCGGCGCCGCCCGGGGAGAGGGACCGCGAGGTGGACGAGTGGGTTCGAGAGAACGCGGGGACGACGTATCATTATTCGTCGTCGGCCCGGATGGCGCCCGAGGCGGAAGGCGGGGTGGTGGACGATCGGCTGAGGGTGCACGGCGTGGCGAACCTGAGGATCGCGGACGCGAGCGTGTTTCCGACGATACCCGGGGCGCATCTGCAGGCGCCCGTGGTGATGGTCGCCGAGCGGTGCGCCGAGTTCGTCAAGGCTGCTGCTGCTTCGTCCTGAGCTTCGAGCTCGGAATAATGCGATAACGCGAACCGAATGCAGTATGCTTCGCATCTGGGGTACGCGTTGCGTCATACGCGGTGCCTAAGTATTCTGTACGTGCGCAGTCGTCACGATAGGGTCGGATTTGGGTATTAGGCAAATCAAGGGTTGATTATTCGGGGACGGTAACCTACGGTGACGCAGGTCAAGGCGAACAGTCGTGCATGGTCATTGGTGGTCTGTCGCAGGGCAAGACCATTCTTGACCGGAAGGGAAAATGTCGTCTACGAGCGGTCTCTCGCTAATATCATAGCCAGCTTCCAGTCTGAATGGCCGGTAGCAGTCATACCGATAACAATAACGTTATACGCAGGAATGGTCGTGCGGATGGGGTGCGTTCTTCCGGGGTCATATGCCCGGGCACAAAGCCAGAAGATGACATGAAACCAGGACCCTGTATCTGCTGCTCATACTGCATAGATATCGAGTTCATATGGCCACTGTTCGGACGGCATAGAGTTCGAGAACGTGGCGCCGACTTTAGCTAGGCGTAGCGGCAGAGGGTGGGATTCGGGGCCGAACGATTGGCAAGGCGCGCGTTCGGTCTTTCCACTCGCGGAAAGAGGGCAGTTCTCATGTCGAACGTTCGCATGCCAACAGGTACGGTCGCTATCAATTAGCGCGCCCATCTCCAGGGTGGCTTCCAAGTGCCCGGCGGGCCATGGATGACCAGCCCGCAGTCAACAAGCTTTGGCGCCAGGCCTTTGTTGGAAGTTATCAGACTGAGACACGGAAAAGGCACGGCAAGTGAGACAGGAGTAAGTAGCGACGAGACAGGCGTTGTTTGGCTGCCATGGGCGTCAAAGGTTCTAGGGACCGAGCGGAATCGGATGGCGTCATCTCCGCGTTTGCGAGAAGCGCGACAGAATGAGCGCGGATCTGTAACCGAAAAGAAGGGATCTATGATGTCATATCATCTGACAGGCCTTGGAACGAGCGAGGCGGGGCGAGAATACACAGGAAAGGCCCGCAAGCACACATGGAAGGGAAAGTCGCAGACTGTGCTCGGACGGACGGGGCCGGCGGGGAGGAAACCGGGCGACGCCAGTGGCTGGCTCTGGGGAGGACTGGAGGGTTCTCGAAACGGGCCATGGGCGGTGCGGCCAACGAAGCGCGCGCGTTCCTAAACCATATCAGCGCCTGAGAACCGGGGTGTGCGTCACTTTCTCACGCGTCATGGTGCTCCACAACTCGTCGCACCCCTTCGCCTGAGGAATCACACATCGACCGCCCCTTTTGCCCGACCCGACGCTCGTTCCAATTCCTTGCTCCACGACGACCAACTCCACCGTCCCCGACGCCAACTGCCGTCGACGCGCTCAACGTCCCGAACACACAAAGCCCCTGTACACCACATACCGCCGGCCCCATCGCAGGCTTAGCTCTCACCGAAGGATCGCCTCTTCCGCTCCACCCCATCACTCCCCGCCCACTCCATTCAGTCGCGCTCCCTACTAGACCCTCGGCTCCGCCCTGCTCCAGATCCTCTCCCCACCTTTCGCAGCATCGACACTGCCTAAATCGCCACGATGGCCGGAGATCACAAGTGTCCAGTCTGCCAGGCGACGTTCACCAGGCCGCAGCATGTCGCCCGACACATGCGATCTCGTAAGTCTCGTTACATACTTTCACCCCACCCAGGCCGCGCATACAGTCCCTCCACTCGACTATATGCGCCCGCTTGACTCGCGTGACAAAGCGCGTCAAAGCATATATGCTGACCCTTCCCTTCGACAGACACCGGCGACCGCCCGTACAAGTGCCAACACTGCGGCGACCAGTTCGCCCGCTCGGACCTCCTCTCTCGCCACATTAACAAATGCCACGCATCGGAAAAGCCCCCAGTGACGAACGCGCCCTCGAACCAGCGCAGGAAGGGTGAGTGGACGGACTACACTATTTTCCCACGTTTTTGTTGTTCGCTCGTCGCGGAGTCAGATCCTGCTAGTTCGCGCCGCCCCAGTCTCGGTTCGACTGAAAAAGCTCTAACTTCGACGCTAATCACAGCCTATGTTTAGGTGCTGCAGCTGCATGCCGTGCTACGACCTCGAAACAAGCTTGCGATCAATGCGTACAAGGTACATTACCCTGCGACGGCGCTAATCCATGTTGTGAGTACTCGTAGTTCTTTCCATTCATTTTTGTTCTACCCAGTTCTGTGTTCGATCGTGTCTACTTCGCATTATCGTCACCCAATGTGATGACGTCATGCGAGCCTTGGATCGTTTCCCTTTCCGAATATGTCGACGCATATACTGACCTCTTCCCGTCAGCGAAATGTATTCAACGGAAGACGCGATGTACATATATCAAATTCCACCGACAAACAGCCCCAGCAGGCCCGGGACACATGCCACCTCGGATGCCCGGATCCAGTACGTCCCAGTCGTTGACCATCCGCATCGCATGACTCACATAGAACTCTGGTAGCATCAAACGCGGCTGCGAGTGGAATCAACTTGCCACCTGTAGGATCCGTCGCACTTTCCTCGAACAACTTCAACCTCGGTCTGCCCCCTCTCTCCGACTACTCGTTCGCCGGTCCCAGCCTGTACGCCCAGACAGGCTCCATCCACAATCCCCCTTCCACCTCGTTCAATCCCGGACACGGGAGGGGATACTCGGATGACGCCTTCATCCTCAACCAAACTGGCTACAACCCTGGCCTGAACCCGAACGCGAGCCCGACGATGCACTCATCTGTCGACGCCAACGCTAGTCCGCACGCACCTTACGTTCACCCCGCCGGCCTGGCCGGCGGCATCAATCCTGGACCCACCAACAGCGTCGGCTCGACCGCGCTCCAGGGGCTCTACGGCAACCACCAGTTCACGTTCCCGGCGCCTCCGATGCCTCCGCCCGTTACCCAGACACAGAGCCAGAACGCAGTGTACGGACCCACCGGCGATCTTATGAACCGCGTCGGCTCGTCGTCGCCCACCCCGTCGCTCACCATGTCAGGTTCGACGCGCGATTCCATCGACTCGGGTACGAGCGCGGGCAGCTCCCCGCACATGACGCAGCCGCAGTTGCACGGAATGACGCAGGGACAGCTGCCGCCGAATATCGGCCAGGACGCTGGGATGCGGTACAGGATGCATGCGGAAATGTTCAGGCGACAAATGGTGCAGCAGCAGGTGCAGGAAGCAGCTCAGGCGGCGGCCGCGCGTAGTGGGGGATGTAAGTGATTCCTATTCTCTTCCTTTCCTCTCTCTTATGTTGTGTGCCTGTGTGTACGAATACGGAGCGTCGGTATTTATTGATGTCCTTTTTTTATTGTTGTTAGCTGAATTGATCCGCCCGAGATTCGACTCGAACCCGGCGGCCACCACGGCCACCACCATATCGGGATGGCCACCGTCCTCGGACGACGGTGTTAAGTACGAGACGACGGCCTTCGAGGGCCTATTCGATAACGAACAACAGCATCAGCCCCACGCGCAGGACGGGTACGCGTCGTTCAGGCATCCGAACGGTGGGTTGAACGGCGCGCATCACGCTCGGAACGCGTCGGATGCCAGCTCGGCGAGCGATGCCAGCGCGGCGAGTTCTGCGGGACATTTCCCGGGCGGAGACGAGCGCGCCGGGAGCGTCGCTTCCGAAGGGGGAAGAAACGTCCACCATAATGCGCAGTTGTCGCCTAAAGGTGAGCAGCGCCAACTCGGCTCTTGTTAACAGTACGGATGGTTGACCGTCTTTCTCGCAGTGTATGGTGACGGGAAGCAGCCGGACGGCGTGTCGAACGCGTTCGGACTGATGAGCCTTGACGATCCCAACGTCCTTGCTGGCCTGGCGAACGACGGTCAACCGTTCTTCAGCGGCATGACACCCGGTTCGTTATGGTTCTGGCCCGCGACGACGCCCGATTTTTTCTGACGTCGTCGATCATAGGCGCCTTCGACATGCAGACGCCGATGCCGAACCGGGAGAAGGAGAGGCAGGGGCCGTTTTCCGGCCTCTTCTCGCCGTTCAAGACGCCGCTGAGCACGTTGAGCAGGCAGCTCGGCTTTGACTACTCTAAAGGTGATTTGCCACCATCCTCCTGGGAGGATCTTGTTGGCGAGTTCGTGAATGACGCCGGCGTTGTTGCAGATGGCAAGACGCCGTTGAGCTCGAAGGAGGTGGAGACCAAGGAGCTGCGTGATTTCTGGAAGCAGTATTTGAAGACGCCGTTGAGCGGGGGTGGTCCCCTTGGCCAGCCTAGCGGTACGTTTGTCCCACTTCTCGCATGCATTCTGGTTCCTCATATACAATGTGTAGGCGTCAACGGGGATAATCTCGCTCGACCTGGAGGGCTGAAGCGCGGTCTAAGCCGCGTCGCCTCGCTCCCGTCCGTGAAGACGCCAGCCGCCGCGAACGTCGAACAACCGCCGTATCACCATCACCCCCAGACGCCCGGCGTCGAGCAGATCAACGCGAACAACTACAACAACGTCGCTCATGCCGCCTACGCCCGCGCTCCCAATGGGTCGGACGACCTGCGGTCGTACGAGCAGGCGGTGCTCGCGCGCAGGATGCCGATGCGTCTCAATATCGCCCCGAAAAAGCCGCGCGTGTCGCCCCAACCTCCGTCTCAGGCGACCTCGAGCCAGCAAGGTCACCAATCCGGCGCCGGAGGGAACCTCTCGGCATCGGGTTTGAACGCGACACTCAACGCTCAGAGCCGGCCTTCGTCGTCCAACTCGTCGTCGAGTCTCACCGGCGCGCTCGGCGGCGAAGCGAGCGGTAGCCGCCCGGGCACGTCGCAGGGTCGCATGGGCCCACCGCCCGACACGACCATGCGCCCTCCGGCCGGCGGAAGCGACGACGGCGCGTCCGTTACCTCGGACGGGGATGGTTCTGGTCGGCCAAGCTTCAAGCGGCTCGCGAGCCAGACGCTGGGTCCGGAGAACACGAAGCGGACAATGTTGTCGTATCCGGCTGATGAGGCAGATCCGCAAGCGGGCGGAGAGGAGGGGCAGCAGCAAGATGGGTACCAGGGAGGGATTGATGGCGCGCGACCCATAGCGGGCCTCCCGGACAGGTATAGGAGGGTAAACATTTCGAGCGCAACGGCATGATATACATCGCGAAATGTGGCGTCTTGTTGTTTACTGAAAGTGTTGACTCTGATGTTGTTTCCATGATCTCCCGTTTTTCTTGACTTATATCCTCTCCATGGAGCTTCTCTCTCCCCTTCCCCTGTTCTTATTTCAGGACGAAAGTATGTTTAGTTGTACTTGTATGGTCGTATACTACCGTATCACCTCCGCCATGTAATACATGAAGATGGTCTGGAGGTTACATCTTCTGACACTGCCCAAAGCTATGTGACGAGCACAGATTATGCATTAGATGAGATGGTCTGTATGGCCTGTCGAATCAGCGCGCATCGCAAACATCTAGACGCAGATATTCAGTGAACGAACACCCTATCTCGTCAAGGACGTTACGTACCATTGGCCAGACCAACAGCAGGGTGCCAATGATGGAATATTCGCAAGACAGTGACGTAGTGCAGAACGGCACCGATGATCACACATATGTGCAGGAGCGGGTGAGAGGCACCGAATATGTCAAACCTGCGAAGAGGTTCGTTCAGCACGGACACGCTAGCATTCGAAGAAACCGTAGCACCTTCCAGGCGCCTTGCTCTCTGGAAATCTCTTCGCACTGCATCCCGTCGGTTGTGGAGCACATCTTGTCGTCATGGACGTACTACAGGACTCCCCCAAGCAAATAGAACGCCCAAGAACAGAGGATGTATCGGACACCCATAGTCTCGCAGAGCTTCTGGAACCCATCGCGTATCGCGGCGTGGACGAGAGCAGTGACGTTGATAACCATGAGGGACGTGAAGAGCTATATAGCACCGTTAACATTCATCATAGTGGATTTCAACGTAGGTAGAGGAAGAAAATAGCACCAGCACTCTTGCGGAGGCATGCTCAGGACGGCTATACCGTGGACTCGCGATAGCGGCGGCTGCTCCTGCACCAGCGCTGAAGAATCGGCACCCCACTCAACCTTTCTCGAGAGACGGTACTGACGCACCGACTCCAACAACGGTTACGCTTGACAAGTAGAACAACTGGTAGCGGGGTTCGCAGAACCAGTAATAGTAGTTCCAGGGATAGCTCGAAGCCACTATAAGGCCTTGAAAAATGTTCATCAGAGAGCGGTGTGTCAAACGAAGAACATGACGAACCGATAATCCCGGTATAATCCAGCAACTAAAACCTCCTGCAGAGCTAAGGAAATTATGAACTCCGAGGCATGGATGATTTGGCGCGCGCTTTACGTGGATCGAATGACACTCAAAGACGTGGTATAGCGAGCTCAATACGAAGCACGCCGACGCGCTGCATAAGAAGGCGACAACAGCAACAGGGACGGATGTCGAGGCAACCGAGTTACGAGCTTGACAGTCGGCGAGGTGAATATCTCTAAATATTGTCAAAAAGTATAGGAATAGAACTGAGCCAACTCAACTCGACGACTCCTAATTGCCCGAAGCGGAGCGCTTCGTAGCTGTCTCGACTGCCCTACCGGTGCTCCAGCACGAGCTTCGGGTTGTGGTCGATGTCGAGCAGATGATCATGGACTTCGGTGCTGGAATAGTTTCACCGGCGGTCGCTGGACATCCAAGTGGGGCCAAGGGACTGTCCTGGTCAGTCATTCGAGCCGCATGCTCCATTCGTTCTGACGGTTGCTGCAACAGCCGAACGGTCAAGACGTCTTCCACTTCAAGCCGGGAGTGGGATACGACCTCGACATTCTGGATCTGCTCGTCATGGACGAGGAGCACAAGGGCCCATTACCCTGCTCGAGCACCATTCAATTCAAAGCACATGGTCAGGCGATTGCTTGCGGTTCAAGATCGTACTGACCAGAAGACAAGGTTTGCGAGTTCCCGTGAAACCCGAGGAGCGCAAGGCCATGCTACTCCAGCCCCCTGAAGGTTCGTCAGATAGCGTATGAGGTGTCACAGCATGCTCATGTTATGTTTCGCAGAGGGTGAATATGTACGATGCTCCTGTGAGCCTTGATCCTTGCTTGGGCGCTTGGACACCATTTGACGTGGATTGTCTGTTCGTAGTCAACCTCGAGACGGGAGACGAACGATTCGAAGATATAAACTTGGCTATGTTCCTCGGCGTCGGAAAGATGGTCCAGAGGACACCGACTTCGGTCACAGGTCTGTGGTGCAGCTATCTACCCCCTTCTTCAGCGCTGACTACAATACCGATAGTTTTCATGGACATATATCGTTGTGTGTAGGACAGAAAAGCATCTGCACGGCATTCAAACGCTGCCAATAAGTGTCAGATAGATTACTAAGGACGAGTAACTCGCTGTCGCTTGTGCCTCCTGCTCGAAGTTCTTGCTTGAGTTGAACAGCTTCAGGGATGGGACAGTGCTCAACAAGCAACAGTTGCTTTCTTCCTTCGTGGCAGTATAACATTCTGAGTGGGGATGCGATGTATTAATTCGATGCAAAGCAATGCGATTAGCGACATAGTAGCAATAGCGGATGTATGATTTTGGTCTCAAATCGTGCGGCAATTGATTGCACACGACACCTCGTAACCCTCAGAATCCGGAACCACCTCGGGCACAAATCCCACGACGCGAAGGTCGACTGCGACTATCACGTTCACTCATGGATCTTGGCAAGGATCTCGGAGTCGCGGTAGAGGTAGTATTCCTGTAGGCAGCGATGTCAGCAGGCGGGCGGTCGATTTTCTGAACAATGCGAATCTAGCTCACCTCCTCGCCGACCTTTATTGAGCTACCACCCCAACCAGGAAGGAGCACCCGGTCACCAGGCTTCGTGGCCATGGGAATAACCTTTCCATCTTTGTCCGTCGCACCGGGGCCGACGGCGAGCACAGTCGCCTCCGGGAGCGGGTCCTTGGTCGCCGAAGCGGGGAGTAGGATACCCGACGCGGTTTTCTGTCCAGTGTACGCGTCAGTATACATGCACTTGGAAGGCCGTGACAGTCTCAAGTATCCACCGTCTCAGGCTTGAACCTCTGGACGAGAACGCGGTCGAACAGGGGAACAAGAGACTTGATAGTCTTGAGGGTCGTCTGAGCAGCCTATAGTTCCGAATTGCGTTGAGAACCGCCTTGAAAGGGTAAGAAGCGAGCACGAACCATTGGGAGGAGGGAAAACAAGGAAGGCGAAGTAGGAAGAAGGCGTTGGATGGAGGTGACCACAGTCAAGTTGGCAAGGTGGAAGTCTCTCGAATTTTTGGGAACACCCACGTCACCACAGGTCACCGGATTCTTCCGGTCACTCATCACGTCACGCAAAAGCGCAACTTTGCCACGAGTTGCACACAGCAATAACGTCTCGGGATGATATGTATTGCGCTTGGTTCGGATTATAGACATGCTATGGAACATTGCGAGAACATGTGAAACTATGTCAATCAGATAGCCCTAGCGAGCGAAATGGGTAGCAGGAGGTTGTGCGAGTTGACCGCAGAGTATGTGCGAGAGGGTGGACAAGGATGGTCATGGGTGTAGGTGTTGAATGACGAGAGAGCGTGCGGTGTATCCAGAGAAGTCAAGAGAAAATGTCTGAAATATAGGAAACATTAAATCATCTTATGAAGGAGCGGCAGGGAAGGGACGTGTCCACCATACTCAATCGAGCATCATCGCGTCGTCGGAGGGAGAGAAGGCTGCCGCTACAGAGTCCTCCTCCACCACCATGTTCGCCGCCCGAAACGTAACACCATCATCGCCGTCCTGGTCCATCTCCGGAGTGCCAGTGATCGTTCGAGTAGTCTCAATCTGCATAGCAACCTCTTGTCTTATGGCAGGGGTGGTGTTGTCCTGGGTGGGCGCACCATCCAAATCGCCACGCCGAGGTGCGAGTTGCATCATTGCTCGGCGCAGCGCGTCTTCAGGAGTCATGCCTCTCCTCGGCCAGTCGCCAAGCATTACGTTAGGATTCCCCATTGTTCGAAAAGCGGCGGCGATGGCCGCTGGGGTTTGGCCAGGCAGCAGAGGGGGTTGCGCTGCTTGTCGACGGGTGTCCCTGGCAGTTCCGGCAGTCGTCGTCTGCGTGCCCGCATTCGTAGCTGTAACCTCCCTACTACGTGCACCAGTGGTGACTGTCACGTCGGATCGAACGCTGCGCGTGCTCTCTCCTTCATGTCCCCGACCTCGTCGAGCCCCGTCCCGACCATCCTCACCCGGCTCAGTATTGCCGTTGTGGTGTGGGTCTTCGTCTCCGTCCTTGGCGCTGCACCAGAAGCGGTGACCCTCGCTCCACGCCGTGCTCTGGCACTCCTTCCCGCAGTATTTCGCCTTCCGACACCGCCGGCACTTAGCGAATTCTCGAGGATAGCTCTCCCACCGTCCACAAAGCACTGTATGCTTACTCAGCACAGCACAGACGGGAAGGGGAAAACACTCACTGTTGGCGCATTGACGAATGCCACCCCGACTCTCGTCCTTCCTGCACGCGTTACGCATGATGACCCCAGCCCAGTACTGAATCTCGGCTGGTAACATGGGCGGTGGATTAGGAGATTCGGTCTCTATCGAGCTCGGCCGGAAGGTAAATCGCTCCACCAGTGCGAAAACGTTGGTCATACGGGGAGGCGCAGATGACGAAGCCTGGGCCTGCGACGATACCGCCCCACCGGAAGCGGGGTTGGCTGCAGCAGAGGCGGCAGTCGCCGCCGCTTTGCCCTTGTTTTTCGTCTCAGACCTGAACGCCTTGAAGAAGCCAGAGCCCTGAGTCGTCGTCTGCCCGTCTTTGCCTGTGAAGACAGCAGCCTTACTGGGCTGCGCTGCAGATTCTGGTGGGTTCACCTGCCCGGCGGTGGCCGGGTGGAAGGCGACGCGCGGCTTGTAAAACGCCTGGCGTACATGAGGGTATTTGCTGAGGTAGGCAAGGAGTTGCAAACTAAGGAGAACATCTTCGTCACGGTAGGGTCCGTCGGACTCCCGGTGGTGATGGTGATGTGGGTGGTTATGTGGTGTCGCGGTAGCTGTGGTGTTCGTCCCGGTTCCAGGACCGGTGGTCATGTTGGCGGCGGCGGCGTTATTCAGGACGGGAGAGCGGTTAACGGTAGTGGTGGTGGATGTGGGTGTCGCGTCAATAGTGGCATTAGTAGTCGTAGTGCCGGCGTCGCTGAGGTGTACTGTATGCATCCGTGACGGAGTGGAAAGGGAGGTGTTTGCTTCGCCTGCTGTAGCGGGGAGAGGCGGAACGCTACCCGGAAGAGCGATAGGGACAGCACGAGGGGTCGCGTCCGTTGCCATCCTTCGGCCATCTCCTCCATCGGCAGGGGTCGTAGCGACCTCAACCTCAGGTTCGCTCATTACTTCCGGCGTTTGCGTTCGAGTCGTCTGTGTCCCCATCTCTATCGCCCCAGGGGCCCCAGGAGGCGCTCCCAGGGCGAAGTCGTCGTTCTGTTCCAGGCTGACGATGCCCTCTTCAACTCCAACCCCTACTCCTCCTTCGCCGGCCGTGATAATGATATGAGCGTCCGGGTCGAGATTCATCTCCAGCTCCGATGCGGCTGTATCGTTGACGATTCCGACGGCACGACGAACGTGCTGAGGGGAAATGGGTACTCGGGTGCGATCTGGCCCCGCCTCTGGGTTCGGGCTGGGATCCCGGGACGTCTCCGGGTCGACTTCACTGTCAGAGACCACGCGGGATTGGTCTGACATCTCAACATCGCCATCTTCTTCGACGTCGGGATCAGGCCGCGATCCCGCCGAGGGCCCGCCGCTGCTATCCCGCATCCGATGAGGAAGTGCGCGACGAGTGTTCGAGGCTGAGGCCCGGATGGTGTTGGCACGGCTCGTTGCACGAGCTACGGCTTGCATCGGGGGCATGTTCCGTGTCACGGCGTTGTTCGGTGGTTGATCCCATACAGGGCGGGCTAGGATGGTACCGCTCCTGTCGCGTGTAAACACTTCCACGGAGCCAGTGGGTGTGCTCGATCCATTCGGAGTCTCAGCATCGGATGTAACGCCTGACGTTGTACCAGATGATGCTGAGGATAAAGGTTCTTCCACCCTAGGCGATATAATGATAGTCTCGCTCTCCACCGGGGCTGCTACACCACCCTGCATCGACTATATTGCATTTCCATCAGTTTTAATCCCAATGAGGAATGGCTATATACGCACGATTCTTTCATACGTCAGAGCAACTTCCCTCTGCAAAGCGCGCGCCAACGCCACAGCCTGCTCCCTTTGACGTTGTTCAAGCTGTTGCTGCCTTCGAGCTTGTCTCTGATTTCGCGTCTCCCTTCCATTGCCAACTATGCCGGGCCCGACAGCAAAGCCCTTGCTAGCCAACCAAGCTTCGAGTATTCGCCCGACGACATCCAGCGTCCCAGCCTGCACCACACGCTGACGGATAGGTTCGCTGCCTCTGACCCCGATATTGACCACGCATTGGAAAGCTAGGGAGAACCGGTATGCAGCGTGTTTGTCGTACGAGCTTGGGTTCAGGACAGGTTGCCGTGGAGGGGTGGTGGCGGTTGCCAGCGAGAGTCCATAGATTAGGGAAGGGTTCGTCGGTGGTGGCGGTGAAAGTGTAAAGTCAAGGAGAAGATGCACAAGTCGCTCCAGGCCTCCGTCAACGGTCATGATCTCCCGTATACGAGGGGATGTGGAGGTGAGGTAGGTGAGATGAGACAAGGAATTGAACAGAGGTAGTGGCGAAGTCGTATCGAGCGCTGCGAGATGAGAAATCAGTATTTGCGAATATTGGGCGGACTTGATGAGAAGAAACGAATATCTCTGGGCCCGAAAGACGACCCCGAGGTTCAGTCGAAACACATATGCGCAGCGGGTGCACTCGTGATAGTTTGCCACAAGGCTGAAGTCGTAACCTCGGATCCCAACCATAGGTCAAGCGACCTCCCAATAGATATTGCAAACTCTTGCAGACCCAAACGAGATAGAAATTCTGAACAAGATGCTCACCTCGTCGATCATAAAGTTGAGATGATATGCATACACACGCCCTGTTCTGCACAGGGAACGCGAAGTTGGATTCACGCATCGCTTCACGCGCAGCCGATTAGCTTGAACGTTCCTCTTTATGTCAACACCCGCAAGTGATCTGGGGAACGAGGTTCGGGATCCGGCTCCGCTCGGACTTGATGTCGCAAGACGTGTTGGTGGGCGGTCGCGATTGCGACGACAACCACGAGGAGAGTGTGAAGAGCGTCGGAAAGAGGTAATGGAGATTAGCCTGATCGGTGATGATGAACGGAACAGCGCACGACGAGCAAGAGGTCTCGGTCGTCGAGGCGTACGATGGCGGCAAGGGGATGACTGGTCTGTGTACGCGTGTTTACAACAGTGGCAGCGATGACAGCACAGCCTCTTCGGAGCACCGCGCAAGCTCTTGTACTTGCCCTCATCACCTCAGGCATTCGTAAGCCATCAGTCAGACCCCCAAGCGCTGTACCATGCCATCCAACATCTGCGAAAGACCCACGGCACAAACAAACATGTAGGGCTCACGGCTGGCCATGAAACCGAGACGCCGCATACCACCGAAGAGTTCACGAACTTGAAGTCGAGCTCCGAGCCCGTCACCTGCCCGCTCCTCACGTTGCTGATTCACGATCAGACGAAGGCCCGCAGTATTGTTGAATAATGGACTCCGTTTGTCCGCCGACTCTGCACGACTTTTACGTTGCAAGAGCAGTGCAAGTACCACATCGGTCCATCCCATTTACCGTTGTTCTCGAGGCGCAGGCGCGAACGTGGTACAATCCAAGTCATGGGCGGGTGCGTGACCCTGTAAAGTGCGCTGGCTGCACCCTGCGCAAGTCCGATTCGCTTAGCTCCCTCAGGAGACTATATTCCGTTCACTCATGCTTGGCATGTTGCAGTGAGATAAGAACCGCCCTTGCGCAGGCGCTCGGTGTTCCGTGTTGACCGCTAGCAGGCATAGGTTAGGCAGCAAATAGAGACAGCAGACCTATGTTGAGCGCATCTTGCCAGGATCGGGGGATTTAATATGTGGTCGGTTCAGTGACTCTTACGGTATTCCCAGCCTATGAGATTGAATTAAAGCGCGCGAGCGGTGTTCTGTCCAGCATCACCCACCTTCTCGGTACCCTTGATCAGATCCAGCGCATCTCCCGCTCCCGTTCCTTTCCTCTCTGCAAGAGCGCCTCATTTTGATTCCGAAGCGTCAGCTGACTGATCGGTATACTTTCGAGCAGGTTTCTCCCATGTTGTCGCGTCTTCGCACGACGCAGTGGCTCGCGGATTTTGAGACTACACGGCACGAGGTACGTACAGCATATAATCAACGTCACCCGCCATTCACGGGCACTAATCACCGAAGCAGAGCCGAGTATAAACCTGTGGCATTCTCACTGCAAACCAGGATTCCCCTATCCTCATGCATACAACAATGCAATCGCTAGCAGCCCTGGCGCTCGCTCTCCTCGCTCACGGACGCATCATCGACCTCAATTCTGAGCCGTTAGTGCAAGATCTCTACGAGTTCGTGCTCCTTTGGAGGTTATATGCATGAGGCCCGCCTAATCGTGATACAGCTATGTCATTGTCGGAGGTGGTACAGCTGGGATGGTGATATCCAGTCGGCTATCTGAGAATCCATCCGTTCGTGTCGCAGTACTCGAGGCTGGCGGGAGTGGCATCGGCAAGTAAGCACATCCCGACATCAGCGTTGACTGCTATCGCCACGTTGCTGGAACCAGCATGTTTCAGCGAAAACATATCCTGCCCGGGTCTCATTGCAGCCGTCCTGGGAACGCAAGTCGATTGGAACTTTAAGACCGTGCCCCAGCAATTTGCCGCTAACCAAAGCATAACCTGGCCACGGGGGAAGGTCTTGGGTGGTAGCACGGCGATCAACGGGCGAGTGTTGACCCGCGGATCAAAGGCTGAATACGATGCCTTCGAGAAGCTTGGTAATCCAGGGTGGAACTGGGACTCTCTGCTGGCCGCAGTCAACAAGGTGCGGCAGCTTCCTAGTTTGTCTCTGAATGTCGTCGCCGTGTGATATCAAATTTTACCGCAGGCAGAGCATCTTCACTTACCTTCCCAACATCTCGAAGACAAATACCGTTATCAATTTGAACCTAATTCTTACGGCACGGACGGGCCGCTGGACCTCACGTTCTCGCCCTGGTGGTCGACGGCTGTTGAGCACGGCTTCTTTCCATCTGCACAACTACTGGGACATCCGCTACTCCCGGACGGCAACGATGGGAATGCTACCGGGCTGCGTTTCATTCCCGCACACGTTCATCAGACTGGCAGGTGTGTACAAAGACAGATGCTCTTGCTCGGTTCTTAGGTACTTGATCATCTAATACAGGAGGACCACTGCTTTTACCGCATACTGTGAGTCCAAAGTCGGTTTTAGATGGGTGCGGAATATTGACTTCGTCGTGCAGATGATCCGAGTCGCCCAAACCTTGATCTATACACTTTTGGTCGGGTCTCCCGGCTCATCTTTGCCGGGACCGCGGTTCCGTTAACGGCCACTGGAGTCGAGTTCATCTGTCCCAACGGGACGATCGGCACGCTGCGGGTTTCCAAGGAGGTTATCGTGTCCGCCGGGACGGTGCAAGCGCCGCAAGTTCTAGAACTGTCAGGGATAGGAGATCCCGCAGTGCTAGTGCCGTTGGGCATTGATGTTTTGTACGCTAACACAGGGGTTGGCGCGAATCTCCAAGACCATGTCATCGCGAACTCGGTTTGGGCGTTGAAGCCCCAGTATTATTTCCAGACATACACCGCGCTAGAGGAGAATGCGACCTACTTTACTGAGGTTGGGGGCACCATGTTGGCTTTTCCTGTAGGCTGCCCGACTGATTGCATGCTCCAGTCCTTGAACCTATGGGCAAAGCACGGAGTTGGGATCATGGCGAGTTCTACACCTCAGCTCCAATACTCGTCGCTGTCCCAGCTCGTGGATGAAGACGGGATGGAAGAAGCGCGCAAGCTGCTCGCATCTAAGCCCTCCTGGCTATCAGACGCGCAATTTACGGTGCTGAAGAGTCACATTCTCGGCGACAACCCAATTCTTGAATACTGTCCCATCCCGGTTCAAGGAAGCAACGTTCCGGAGCCTGGAGTTGGCTATCTCCTATTCCAGAACGCGATGCAGCACGAACTTTCAAGGGGCACAGTTCATATTAACACCTCTGATCCGCTGGCTGCACCGGTCATCAATCCAAGATATCTAGAATCCGAGTTCGATACCTGGCTCATTGCCCAAGGTAAATCATCTCCCTAGATGGCAGACGTGATCGACATAGATGCAACGCTTTTACAGGGATGATGCACTTGCGCAAAATTACTGAGCAGAAGCCATTCCAGGACGTCCTCGATGGAGAAGTCCTTCCTGGAAGTGAGTACATTTTCCGATGGAACCCTTATAATGGATTCCAAACTCAGTTATCCAGCCTCTGTGCAGACGCTAGACCACTATCGAACGTTCATCAAAGCGAACATTGACTCCGAGTGAGCGAGCCAAGATTCGGCCGGTGCTGCGTTCCGGCTGATTCGCTGTGCTCCAGATGTTAGAAGTTACACACACTATGACCGGATTTGGCTTATTGAAATTACCTTGCGCAGATCATCCGATAGGAACCGCCTCCATGCTCCCCGAATCGGACGGAGGGGTTGTCGACCCAGAAGCTCGCGTCTACGGCACAGCAAACGTCAGAATTGCGGACGCGAGCGTGATTCCTATGCACATCTCCGCGCATACGACGGTCAGCCCACAATTTCCTCGTTCATCCGCACTGATCCATCTGCGTATTTACCTATAGAATATAGTCTACGCATTCGCAGAGCGCATAGCGGATATCATCAAGGGCACTTCCTGATTGATCAATTATGCCGGAAAGCGCGTCCCGTAGCGGGAGTAATTGAACACAATGGAAGAGTGTAAGATATATATTTACTGAATGTATCTCCGGACCTGTGCACGTAGCAAACGTTCATCTGTTGTGGCGGCATACGGCCATATCGAACGATTGGCCACCTCGCGTGAGCGACTAGAAGTTTGTTAGGACGATACATCGTGGATCCGCAGTGTTAATGTGTTCGGTATGCGTGGGCGTCGTGGAGAATAAACAGCAGATGTAGGATGCTGTTATAGAGCGTATGCAACTGGCCTGCTGGAATGGCGTGGTCGTGGGGGCCGGTGAGTTCCATGTCGAGCGGAATGCGCTGTAATCGCCATGCTGTCATACACGAGGCGCGGGCGCGATGCACCCTGAACCTGGTCCGACGCGCGATTGCGAAATGCTGCCTGCGCTGGATTGGCGCTGTCGACAGGACGCCGATCAATCCGGAGCCGGGGGGTCCGTGAACATGGACACGAAACCGATGAAGACCACAGCGCTGACAACGGAAAGACTAACGCCGACCGCGTACGCGACGGTCATGCCCGATATGTCCTGATGCGTGAGGTGGAAGACGAAGAAGGCGCGGGCGGCGCCGAGACCGGGCACGGTGCTGTTGCAGTAGCATGTATCGTAAACGTTGGTGAAGTGGAAGATACAGCCGACGATGAATCCGAACGCATTCACGGCCGCGAGGAAATGGCCGACTCTTCGGAGGCCGACCGCGAAAACGGCGCAGACTTGTTGGGTCGTGCTGTGCGGTCGTCCGAGGGGATCGGCGGCAGGATACGGAGAAGCCGAGTGCGCCAAGAGACTGGACAGCATGAGTAACCCTAGCACCACCGTGGACAGGCCGCCGTAGATCAGGTACGAGAGAGACCTGCATCCCCATCCCTGACAAGCCGTGAGTGAAGGGCAGCGAACAAGGCCACGTGACCAGTGCTCACCATTGCAGGGGTGAAGTAGTGCACGATGATGGCAGCGCCCGTAGTCGCCCATTGCAAGCACACGGCTGCCAATGTCGCAACGCCCAACCTTTTCCAAATCGCCGGTCCCCATTTCTTCCGGGAAGGAAACGGAGAGAGGAGCAGACGGGCCTCACTACCAACACGATTTCTCCATGTCCCACTCAGTGGCCAGGCCTGGTTATGGACAGGGAACGCGACGCTATCGAAGGCGGGAGCACTGGCAGGAGGGGAGTTGTCGTGGACGGCACGATTCAGCTCCTCTCGGACCTGCTCGACCGCTTCCGTCCACGGGAGGAATCGGGCGTAGTTGTATACGGGTTGGCTGGCCTTCTCGTCCGTGAAGAGGGAGTCGTCCGAGGCGGTGACGTCGAAAGCGTGATCCTCGTGCGGTGCCAGTGGGCGTACGACGCCACTCTCGTCGTGAACGAAGGCGTGCTCGTTTGCGTGAACTATGGCGCTTTCCACCCGTTTCTGATTGCACTTCGGCGAGATGAGCAGCCAGCCGGTGACGACCGCCACTAGCCAGCACCATGCTGATCCGACGGCTTGGCCCCATGAGTTGAATCCGCCCTCGATATCTTCGAACGAGGCGATGATCGTGAACGCGTACGCGACGAGCACCCAGATGATGGACGCTGCGGCGGGGACATTCCAAGTGCTGGCCTCCGCGTCCAGTTTCTCGTCCAGCGTCTGCCAGAATTTGTCGTTTTCGGGAAGTCGTACCAGGGAGGACAGAAGATTTGCGTTTGTGGAGATTCGCAAGGCAACCTGCTGGAGGCCGCTTAGGACGCGGACGGCGTGGCGTTTGTGACGATGCTTAACACTCTGGTATCGTTCGGCGATCCAGTACCCGTTGAGCACAGTGAGCGTCAACGAGTAGGTAGCCAGCGCGGGAGAGCCCACTGCGCAACCAAGGGGTCAGTCATTAGTCACAATTGTGGTGCATGAAAACGGAGGCTCACGAGTCAAGATGGCTCCTTTGATGTTATCGTACCGATTTCGCGCTCCAAACGGGATTTGCGAAAGGAGAGCGAGCCAGGGGAGGACCCAGTTGCTGAACTGCTGAGAAAAGACCGTCCACTTGAATGCCTCGATCCCGGTGCCGCACCTATCAACGCAGAGCTTGTACGAGATCGCAGTGAGTTTATTGATGTCCGTGACGGCATGACCGTGGTTGTCCCGCCATCCAGACATGGTCGAGTTGTCTTTTTTGATGTCATCGAAGCATTGGTCGAAGTTGGTGAATGAGAAGGCACGAGAAGCTATGAGGCAGATGACGAGGAGCAAGAGCCGGGCGTGCATGTGTCTTGACGTCAGGCTGGCTTTGCGGGAACCACGAAGGTGGGAGGGGTGATGCACTGCAGACAGGTGCTCGAATCCTTATGAAGATGGACGGAGCCCGGGATTATGCACGTTTATGTCGCTCGCACCGTCGGCGCCGGAGCAAGGCACGGACGGTCCAAGGGAGCAAGCTATTGTAGCTATACAGCCCAAGCGCTCGTGCGCCAATCCCAAAGATGGGTGACGCCATCCGCTTGGCGGACACGCACAACGCGGGCCATGCCATCACCGTGCACGCTCGTTCCCTTCGCATTGTACTCTATTGCGAGTGGTTTAGGGGATCCTTATAGCACCGGGTAGAGCACTAACGCTAGCGCGATGCCCCTTGGCGTCGCGGATCTATCTCTGCACAGGGGAGCAGCACCATAAGCCACATGCGTAGATCTCGAGCCCTAGCAAACGATAATTGAGATGTCCGTCCGTAGGTGCGAGTCTGGGAGACGCAACCACAACTTACGGGACGCCCCGCGCCACCATGAATAGCATTGGTATGAGTACGCCCTTGCCGTTTCTCCGCGCTGGCTCATGGCACTGGTGATGGTAAAGGGGAAGCTGTATGGCTCCTCATCGTAGGCCGGCGCAGTCAACAAGCCATAGGGACGTGGGCGGACTTGACACGACGAGCGGAGCGGCGTCCTCGAACGATTTCATCCTCTCTCACGCCGCCGCAAGTCACGCACGGCACAGAACCGGTGAAAATCCCTACTGATGTTCGATCCCTTAAGGGGTAAATTTTGACCAATTTCGGGGGTGATCAACTAGCCGCAAAGGGCTAAAATTCGGGGAATCGCATGAAACATGGTCCCAAAAGGGCGATTTTCGGGGCAACGGGCCAGTCGGGCAATATACAACGTTATGCTACGCTAGACTGTTGTCGGGTGTCCTAAACGAGGTGCTGACCTTCAGGATCATATGCCGACCTCGTTCAGTGTCAGCTGTCAGATGTCCTCGAGGCTCCCCTGTCCTCTTCAGATCTCACGATCACCTCCGTCTGCTACTTCAATAACAAAGGCGCCGTGAGTACCTGTCGACAACTTAACATCAGACTTCAAAAACGGAGAGCTTGCACCTTCAACGATGTCAATGAGTTGCCAGACGTGAACGCGACAATGTCCCGTAGTCAAGCTTTGATCATGAGCATCCGAAAAGATATGGTTTCGCGGGCTTAGCTAACCCCCCCTCGCTGGCGGGTCAAAGGGGAGGTCGAAGGGGAGGATTGCCATTCTGGACGGGGACCCACGCCCGGGGGGCCAAACGACTTTTTGGGCCGGGGAACGAGGCGGCGCATTCTTGCGATCGTGGAGGCAGTCGCTGATGCACGATGAGCGCTGCACACGCAAGGGTGATGGAACAAACATACTGCAACCAATGTCCTGTAATGGGAATTTGTGGTACCGATGAAACTTGTTTTCGGGCCCCGTTGTATCGAACCCCGCCGACGACGAAGCATTTTCGGGCACGCAGGCATGTAACATTTTGGCCTATGACCCTACTTTTTCGGGGAACGGCATCGAAGATTTCGCCCGCAAGCGGGCGGTTTTCGGGGATGCCGGGATCGAACCTCGACCAGGATTCTCACGGCACCCTTCTACGGACGAAGGCTTGGTCAGGGAGCCGGTCATCGCGCGTTTCCTCCGCGTATATGCGCATACATCAGCCATGGCATGGGGCGATTCAGCAATCCCCGAGCTCGTCTCAGCGAGATAATACACTTGGTCATTCTATCACGCAGGCGGAGGGCCAATAACGCGCTGAGCGGCCTAAACGGACAAAGACCTGCTGTACCTCAGAATCACCCAATACGGCATCCTCCAGCGCTGCCTTGACCAGGTCCTTATCGACGCCGTGCCCCCCGACGTAGATCGACGAAGAGCGTCTGTGCTCGTGCAAGCAGGAAGGGGCGGGCTTGAAGCGGGAGCGCGAAGCACCACAAATAACACATATCCGAGTTTTCAATCGGTGAGTCGCTTCCTTCTCTTCTCGCGACGCCCGCCAACCATGTCCACGCTGCCAGTTGAAAGTGCTCGCCCAGGAGGATGTCGCAAGATATTGCCGCTCACGGAACGAATGATACGTCTGCCGTCACCCTCAACCAGGCCCCTACTCCGGAGGCCGGCCCAAGTCGGACGAGTGCGAACGACGAGAAACGGACCGCAGAGAACGTCGTCTCGAATACTGGGGATGCGGAAGACGAAGGCCATGGGCAGACGCCCTCTGTCCGTTCACGTAACACGTGGAAGAGCGTTGGCCTGGTCACGACGTGTACGTTTGCCATGATGGCCAACGTGAGTATGACTTCCGGCACTCCTTCGCGAGTCAAAGCTGATTCAGTGCCCTTCTTTAGGCGTCTGCCAACACCAGTGCATCCATCGCATTCCCTACTATTGGGGCCAAACTGCATATACCCGAAGCTCGCCTGCAATGGATCGCCTCCGCGTACTCCTTGAGCAGCGTACGTCTACCGCTGAGCCACGAAACGTTTTCCGAAATCCCTGATTATGATATCGTGTCTAGGGCTGCTTGCTACTCTTCTTCGGGCGATTAGCTGATCTGTACGGTCGGAAACGCGCTTTCCTAGCTGGGTCGCTGTGCATGGTCGCCTTCAGCATCGGATGTGCGCTCGCGAAAGGCAAGTTGCCATCACATACGTCGATACGCACCACACTGGTACTGACCCTTGATACCGAACGGCAGACGAGATTACGCTCGATGTCCTTCGTGGGCTCCAAGGTTGCGGTGCTGCCGCCACTATCCCTGCTTCTGTACGTTTCCGGCATTGGGAATGTTGCTGGTTCAGTGGTCCTCATTTGTTGCCAGCTTGGTATCCTCGCACACGCTTTTCCGCCATCCCGGGCGCGCACGCTCGCCTTCGCCACCTTCTCCGCCGGCTCGCCCATCGGTGCCGCTTTCGGCATGATCATCGGCGGCGTTCTCACCCAATTGACAACGTAAGCAGCAAGTCTGACGCGTGTCTGCGTGGCTTGGGATGACGGCTCCGCTGACGCGTCGATTGTTGCCCAGCCCGACATGGCGGAGCACGTTCTGGTTCAGCACCGCGTTCGCGGCTGTGTGTCTCGTCGGCGGGTTCTTCTTCATCGACCCTGATCTGCCCAGTACCGAGAGTGACCGGAGGGTAAGCGCTTTTCTGCCTTGTCTCTGTAGGCCACTTCTCTGATCACCTTGAATGGCTTTCTTAGGTTGATTGGATCGGCGCCCTCTTGGCTACTGCCGGCTTGGTCTTAATCGTGTTTGTTCTGAGCGATGGCGAGCTGGCGCCTGATGAATGGAAGACGTCTTGTAAGTACACGACCCTCTCCCCGTGCCCGTTCATCCCATCCCCGTCAAGCCTCACTGGGTCGACAACTTCTAACAATGGCACCTCTTTCAGATATCATCGCCTTCCTCATCCTAGGCGTAGCACTTATCGTCGCTTTCCTCTTATGGCAAAGATACCTCGAGCGCGTGGCAGACAATCCCGATCCGTCAAAGGTTTGGTTGTAAAAACCAGGAGCATATCTCCCAGCCTGATACCCCGCCTTGACAGTCTCATGCCCGCAATCGCTGGACGCCGCCGCCGCTTATGCGTGTCAGCTTATGGGGTCGTGCGCACGGCAAGTTCGCCGCGATGCAGTTCGTGGCGTTCCTCAACTGGGCCTGCTTCATCGCCCTGCAATTCTGGATCCAGGTCAGCACGCAGCCGCCCTCCGGGCGTCGTTTTCGGCCGTGCTGACTCGTTCTCCTCGTCAGCTGTATTACCAGTCATACGTCGGCTTGAGTCCGATCCTGACCATGGTGCGACTCTTGCCGATGTTCGTGACAGGCGTCATCTGCAACGTCTTCGTCGCGCTGCTCATCGGCCGCGTGGACGTGATCTTCCTCGTCGGTAAGCCTCGCGACCTCTTCCCGCTTCGCGCCGTAACAACGTGCCTCCCGTTCAATCACAGTCACCGGCACCGTCCTCACCAGCTGTGGCGCGCTCCTCTTTGCGGTCATCGTCCCCTCCGCACCGTACTGGGCCTTCGGCTTCCCCTCCGCCGTCATCTCCGTCTTCGGCGCCGACTTCGTCTTCGCCTCCGGCACGCTCTTCGTCGCGAAAGTCGCGCTCCCGCACGAGCAGTCGCTCGCCGGCGCGCTGTTCCAGACGATGACCCAGCTCGGGACCGCGTTTGGGCTGACGATTTCGACGATCGTGTTTAATCGCGTATTGAAGCGCGAGTCGAGGGAGAGGGGGGTTAATACAAGCGGGGTGGACGCGTCGGCGGCGCCGAGGCCGGCGCAATTGGAGGCGTACAAGGCGGCGCAGTGGACGACCTTCGGGTTTGGAATGCTCGGTGCGTTGCGAAGGTGTCGTTTATGTCGGGACAATGTCGCTGATGAAATGTCGTCGTTTAGCCACTGCGCTTGCGCTGATTTACCTCCGCAACGTGGGTATCATTGGCGCATCTCATAAGAAGAAGGGCAAAACCGCACCCGAGGCACCTGCCGCGGACGGCAGCGACGCCGAGAAAGCGCATGCATAGCGCGCGTGCCCAAAAAAATTGAGGATTTCAACATCCTTTATAATAGACAGGGTACGCCATTTTCCGGCGTTTTGGACTCTTCTGGTTAAACTGAGCGATGGCTTGCAGGATTATACTATGCGCAGTGATGATGGTATTCTCGTGTGCTTCATGTACGACAGCTTCACGGAAACATGTTGTTCCCATTATGGATATGCTGTCCGTGCTCCCATTCCCGATCTTGAAGAGCGCAAGATAACAACGGCACCGCATGCATAGAAGCGGTCTTAGAGAAGCGGTCTTTGAAGGTCCATGTTGACGCTACCTTTCGGATACCCGTCTCTCTGCCCCTCCATCCTACTCATGCCGTACCAGCTCATTGTCCTGAATGACAGCAACGAGAGGCGCGGTCTGACCTCAGGCATCTCTGAAGATAACCCCTCGACGTTCAGGATTCCGATTAGCTATGGGCAGCCAGTGGACACGTGTTCCTCCCACGCTTCACTTCCATGCTGTATAGTTAACAGCATCCCGCTGCTCGAATGGGAGGAGCTGTACAGATACAAGAGCCCGCACGACCCCCAGGCGACGCCTCGATGCACCTTGACCATCAACCATCATCTCCTACACCATGAGCGTCGACGCTAGTCGTGCTACCCGGTTGACGAAGGTCTTCAACAACGCCTGCAAAGGGCAGAAGCTCAGCGGACTGGCTTATGTGCACTTCTTGCAGGCTATATGCGTCCAGCCGTCACCGGCGACGTGTCTCAATGCGATCGTGACATCGCCCAATGGGATCACAACGTTCAAAAACGCGATTTGCTCCGACATATCGCCCGTGTTCTGCAACGGGCTCGGAGCAGAAGTCTTGGCCTATTTCTCGTCTCCGGACCTCACCGCCATCGCTGGAGGTGATTTCCTGAGACGAGTTTGCGAGGCAGTGGTGGATCCACCCGTATTTTGGGACTCATTCATCACGGCATTCAAGAACGGCAATTTGCAAGTGAAGGCTCAGCGTACATTCGCAACGTTTTTGCTACGCCTTCTTGAGATCCTCCTTCCGGATGCAGTCGCGTCCTACCGCGAACTCGCACGCGACCCCGATATCATCACTCCTTTACTCAACTCCCCCGAAGCAGACATTCATGACGTTGCCGCGAGGATTAAAGCCATCGCCGATCCCTTCGACATCGGTTTCTCGGCCGCAAGGACACAGGATGGTCCAGGTGGGAGGCATGATAACGATAAAGTTGATTTCCGCCGGATAGCCATCGTTCCGACTATACAGGAGATCCGATGCAAGAAGATGCCTTTCCTTCGGGCTAGCGACGAGCTCGAGGATCCAGTGACGAAGAAGACACGACTTTTGGACTATCTTGATAGTCAATTTCGACTACTTAGGGAGGACATGCTCTACGAGGTGCGCGAGGAGCTGAATACGCACTTGAACCAGAAGCGCATGAATTCCTGCGCCATCGACTTCCTGGCCCTAGACGACGTCCGTTACGTACCGATGGTGGCCGCGGATGACGAGCGGCCTAGGGACCCTTGGCGTAAGGAACCTCGGAGTAGGGACCCCCGGCGGTATCCTTGGGCCATCTGTTTGAGCAGCATTGTTGATTTTCCACAACTCGCGAGGGTACATAACGACTATCATGCGCGCAAGCGTTGGCTCGATGATAAGAAAAATCGAAACTTCATCAAGCACCAGTCTTCTGTGTTGCTGAAAGTGGACGACGAACTGCTCACGCTCGCCAACATCCATCGCGACGTAGATTACCTCGCTCTGAACCCTCCCGTCATCATCCTCCAGATTCAAGGCGCTGCCAACATATCCCGTGCGCTACTGAGGCTCAAACTTGCCAAACGAATCTCCATCGTACCTGTATTCCTCCCGTTATTCGCGTACGAACCTGTCCTCAAAGCCATCCAGCACACGTCACACATTCCGCTTGAAGAAGAACTTCTAAATTGGTCGCCGTCCGATCCGCCGAGTCTGGTAGACAACGGCACGGAGAGTCTGGTGGATGCCTTGCTCAGAAACCCTACCAGAGATTTGAGAACGATCCTTGATATTCCGATTAGCGTCCGCCTTGATAAGTCTCAGGTCGATTCGCTCATTCTTGGCCTTACCCAAAAGGTCTCCCTGATTCAAGGTCCTCCTGGGTAAGTCCGCTGTGCTCCTCTGGCACTTCATCAATTGATGCGGTGCTATAGGACCGGGAAGTCGTTCATAGGCGCTCTCCTCGCCAAGTCTCTCTACGACTTCTCCAGTGGCAAGATCTTGGTCGTCTGCTATACCAACCACGCCTTGGATCAGTTCCTCGAGGATCTCATGAAAATTGGCATACCGTCGTCCGAAATGGTACGCCTCGGGAGCAAATCAACTCCGGCCACGGAGCCGTTGCTTCTCCGCAACCAGGGATATTCTTATCGACGCAGCCCTGACGAATGGGATACCATTAATTTTTACAAGGAACGGATCGCGGACTGTGACTACGACCTAGAACATGCCTCATCGCAGTTTATGAACACCACCTCCAGCCTCGAAGGCCTTCTGGATTGTATCGAGCTCCACGACGAACGGTTCTACGGTGCTTTCAGGATCCCAGAACGCGTCGACGACATGCGAGTCATTGGGGTAAACAACAAGGCCGTTGACTCTGAGTACCTCATACGACGGTGGGATCAGGGTAAAGATGCAGGCGTCTTCAGAAACGAGCCCAACGTCGTTGAGACGGCCGACGTCTGGCGCATGTCGGTGCCTGCACGCCAAAACAAGTTGAAGAGCTGGCGGGAACGAGCGCTTCAGGAGCAAATACACAAAATTACGGACATGGTGGAGAAGTACAACATGTACGTTCGGGCCCTGGACTCGATGTTTGCGGCAGGCAGGCATGAGCCTCTACTCCATGCTCGCATCATCGGTTGCACGACAACGGCAGCCGCTATGTACCGGGAAGCTCTTTGTGATGCTGGCCCAGAGGTGTTGCTGGTCGAAGAGGCTGGCGAAATCCTGGAATCACACGTGCTGACGGCTTTGTCGCCGAAGACGAAGCAACTCATCTTGATTGGTGACCACAAGTACGTGTCTCATCCACCCGAGTTCACGGGCCCGTCTGACGTACGTGGATAGGCAATTACGACCTAAAGTGAACAACTACTTGCTGACTGTAGAGAAGGGCGAAGGTTACGATTTGAATCGCTCGCTATTCGAGCGTCTCATCCTCAAAGGTTATCCTCATGAAGCGCTAAGCCAGCAACACCGAATGAGGCCGGAGATTTCGTCCCTTGTGCGAAACCTTATGTATCCAGATCTCGTTGATGCGCCTTCGACTTCCAGTCGTCCCGACCTCAGAGGCTTCCAAAGCAACATCGTGTTCGTTCACCATGAGCACCCGGAGGGGGAACTCAAGGACCTACAACCAGAGCAGCTGGGATTGGATGTCGGTCGCAAATCGAGCAAGATCAACCATCACGAGGTTGAGATGGTTCTCAAGATCCTTCGATATATTGATCAACAGGTTAGTTTGAGGTGACCTACGCCGTTCTCGCGCTCACGGTTGAGTAGGGATATCGGAGGGATGAAGTCGTCATCCTTACGCCATACCTAGGACAATTGCGGGCGTTACAGACAGCTCTGAAGGACACAAATGATCCAGTACTTGCCGACCTCGACAACGCGGACATGATCAAAGCGGGTCTTATCTCCTCCGTTGTTGGGGGAACGTCTAAAGCTCCTATTCGGCTGGGTCAGTGCATTTCAGTCTTCGAACATATCATGAAGTTAATTGATCTTCATTCTCGTAGCCACCATCGGTGAGCAGCAGTCATCTTACAATCGTCAAGAGATCCTTCACCTGTTATCTAGACAATTACCAAGGAGAAGAGAGCGACATTGTCATCGCCTGCCTAACCCGCAGTAATGATCGGAATGACATCGGGTTCATGTTCGCCGAAGAAAGACTCAACGTCCTGCTTTCACGCGCCCGCAACGCGCTCATTATGATAGGAAACTCAAACACGTTCCAGAACGCGCGGAAGGGCAAGGAGGCCTGGAAGAATCTATTTGATTCCCTCAAAGCGAAAGGACACTTTTACGATGGTGTGCCAATCCAGTGCGAGCGCCACCCATCGCACAAGAAGATTCTTCGTGCCCCAGAGGAGTTCGACCAACACAGCCCCAACGGCGGATGTCTGAAACTTTGGTGCGCGGGTACTATCAGATTGTTTTGCGAGGTCCGCGGACTGACCATAAGTTCAGCGGAGCGGGGCTACGGTGCGGACACAAATGCCCGTCTGCATGCCACCACATTGTCGACCATTCGAAGGTGCCATGCGAGAAGGTTTCATCTTGGAAATGCAAGGAAGGTCATGTTGTGAACTGGGTTTGTCAAACGGGAAAGCCTACCGCTTGCGGGTTGTGCGATCGCGCACGGAAAGAGCTTTGACGAAAGATCCGTGCTAAGCTCGAGGAGAAGTACGCTCAGGAGATGGATGCTGCAGTAGATGTCGCGCTCGCCGAAGAACATCGCAACGCTCTCATCCGGAAGGAGAGAGTCTCGAAGGAAGCTGTGGTTGGCGAAATCCATCGAAGCAGATTATCAACATTAGATGATGTCCCCGAAGGACGGCCAACTGCATCATCCAATGCAAGCCATCCGAATGCCCCCCGCTCCTCTCCTTACATGCTGCCTTCAGACGCCAGCTTGGATAATCGCCTCGCGATCGAGCGCCTCTTGCAATACCTCACCCCGGAGCGGTGCTTCAACATCATGAAGAGCTCGTTGGCCAAGAAGTCAATTCGTGTCGACGAGCTAGACGACGAGTCCTCTCCAGCCAAGGAACGCGTGCTGACGCTCATTGGGAAGCTGGTAGCTCTTCCCTCGTGGGGCAATCTACGGGATATGCGAACGCTCGTCAAGTCGTTTGTATCAATAGGAGCGACTGCGACGCGAGGCGGCGGACGCGGAGGCGCGGCGGCGGCTGGAGCAAGCGAGGCAGTTGGCTGAGCGTTTGAAACAAGCGAGCAAGCGCGTATCAATGCGGCGCGGCAGCAGGCGGAGAGGCAGAGGCAGGAGGAGCAACGGAGGCAGACGAAGCTGCGGCAGATGGGCGTGTGCGTACAAGGTTTCCAATGGATCAAGCAGGCTGGGGGTTACCGATGCGCCGGAGGCTCCCACTTCGTCCACGAATCGGCACTTCGGTGATGTATCCGAGAATCAGATCCTCGTATTAGACTGTCGAAAGTGCTATGATACAAACAATTTACCAGGAGACAACGCTAGTGTACAACAATGTGTGTGCTGTTCAGACCCACGTCGCGCACAGTCGATGTCCCATGAAATCTCACAGGGCTCAGCTCTGATTAGAGCTTCTCCTTGAACCGGCTGCCGGCCCGACCCCGCGAGTTCTCTTCCTCATCCGTAGCAGGTCCGCCATCGGCGTCCGCATCCTCGTCGGTGCCAGGCTCCGCATCCGCGTCGGGAGCGGCGCTGCTGCTCCCCTCGACGAAGCTCCCCGCGGGGACGTCCTCCGCCGGCGGCACGTGGGGGGAACGGCCCTCCGGCGCCTTCTCCTGCTGGCGCTTGCTGGGCTTGCGCGTCACGCCGGGATCGGTGAGCTGCACGCCCTTGGACGAGCCCTTCTCGTTGACGGCGTATCCGTTCGCGCCCGTCGCGCCGTGCGAGTAGCGCGGGGGCTCTTCTTCTTCTTCGTCGCCGGTGCCGGCGTCTTGGTAGAGGTCGGCCTCGCCGTCCGCGTCCTGCTCGACACCGTCGCCTTCATCCTCTTCTTCGTCCTCGACGCTGCTTCCGTCCTCTTCGTCGCTCTGTTGGGACGCCAATGAGCACGGTGGACACGATGAAGACAGCGCTCAACTCACCCCCTCTTCACTTTCGTACCCGGCGGCGCGGACGGCGGCCATGACGGGCCCGCCGCGCTCGACGCTCTCGCTGGCGACGAGGTAGCGGCTGCAGAGCATCCTGAGGTCGTTCCACCACTCCATGAGCTCCGAGTGGTTCCGGGCGCGGAAGGTGTAAGCCTGGGTGGAGGAGCGGCCGAGGGTGGACATGCGCTTGCGGATGGACGACTTGCCGGTCGACTTGTTGAGCGGGGAGAGCTCGATGTGGAACTTGTGCGAGCCCGAGAGCGAGGTCGCGGACGTGGGCGGGCCGAGGGTGCAGGCGGGGAGGAAGAGAGAGAAGACGGGCTGGGTGCTCTGGCGCGGGTCGCTGGGTGGTAGAAACAACAATCAGGTTATGGACGGGCGATAGGGGAACAGGGAAGTGCGCGCGCACCTAGATGCGAATTCGTGAAGGAAGCCGGCGGGGGTGAGGACGTAGTACGCCTCCTTGTAGTGGCGCGTGTAGCGCTTTTTGCGCTCGAGGTAGCCGGCGTGGACGGCGACGACGCTCGGGTCTTCTTTGCTCGGGTAGCGGATGTGGTCCGGGTTGCGGAGCGGCGTCTCGGGATCGACGAGCTGGTCGGAGCGGGCGCTGAACGCGATCCACTCGCGGTCGGGCTCGACGCCGGCCATAGCGTCGCCCATCGCGCGCCAGGTCGCCTGCACTTCGGCGCTGGTGCGGGCCTGCCAGTCGGCGAACGTGGCCCAGGCGGACTGGAGCGCGCGGACGAGGCCCTCCTCAAAGTGCGCCGAGTTTTGCTGCATGACGATGATCGACTTTTGGAGGGCGTTCTCGGCGTGGACCTGCTTGGTGAGCTGGGCGCGGACGGCGGCGTTGGCGACGTAGGGGTCGGCGCGGGAGGTGACGGAGAGGGGCGTGTTCTTGAAGACGGAGATGGAGGTGGAGAGTTCGCCGACGAGGCGGGCGGAGAGCTCGCGCTCCTTGGCGACGGCGGTGGCGAGCTTGCCGGTGTCGTTCTGGATGTTCTTCACGTGGGCTTTGATCTCGGCGTGGAGCTTGTGGAGGTGCTGGACGATGGAGGAGTCGAGGGTGCGTCCAAGGTTGGCGTGCTGGTCGGCGATGGCGCGCGTCTTGTCGCGGACGGCGTAGAAGACGTCCTGGAGGCCGCCTTCGCCGAGGAACTGGTTGCCGGCGCGGAAAGGGACCTGGATGACGGCGCCGAGCTTGGTGAGCTCCTTGGCGGTGTTGTTCTGGATGTCGGCGATGCCCTGGAGGGGAGAGATATGAGTCGTGCGCGGGGCGTTCGAGGATCTCAGAGCGTACGGACCTCAAAGTAGGCGATGAGCTGCTTGACGATGGCTTTCCATGCGGTGAAGCGCTCGATGAGGACGTCCGAGGGGCGGAGGTCTTGCGGTGCCGTCGCCTTCTGGACGAGGGACTGGGCGCGCGAGCGGGTCGAGCGATGGCTCGTGCGCGATATGGACGTCGCGCGCGACAGCGAGGCAGAGTCGTTGCCGTTCATGTCGATGGGGGTCGTCGTCGTCGTCGTCGTGATTTCGTGGTGGTGGTCGTTGTGCGGGATGACGAGGACAGGGGGAGGCGAGGCGTTTATATGAACAGTTCGGGGGCGGGCGTCGAGCGCGAGCTGATGACGTCGGGGCGCGATCGACGACACGCCGTCTCGGCAGAGCTTCACTCCACTCTTCGTCGTACGTTACTGATATGTTTACATCCGAGTTCCGACACCGTGGATTCGTTACACCGACAGCCTATGCTACGAGTTGACCCGAGGCGACCAACAGCGCGATGCCGACACGTCGAGCACCTCCTGCGGGACTTGTATGCACCAAACGACATGTTACACCGACCGGTCTCATACGGTCACAGGTAGCTCTCGTCCACCCAATCCGCCCATCCATTCCCGAGCGCAAACGTGATGTTATACCTGCTCGCTTCCTATGTCAACATGCGTTTAAATCAGCTGCCTGGCAAGGTCGATTTTGAAAAAATAAAAATAAAAAAATCCACGCACCTCGTCCGTGAGTAACGTCGTAAAGTTCGGCCGCTGCGGGTGCGCGGGCACGCCGGGGCCGTAGGTGTCGTGTTCCGCGAAGAGGACGTGGTCGGTGCGCTCGTCGCCGGGGTGCCACGGGTTCCACATCTTCGGTGCCATCGGCACGGTGACGAACGTCGACTTGAACACCACCCGGGCGTAGTCTGCGCGGCGGGGGGTATCACATAAAAAAAGACGGAAAAGGAGGAAGGAAAAAGAACGGGCGCCGCACCGCCCCACGGTCTGCCAAAGTACACGTTCCCGCTCGTGTTCGCCCACGCGTCGGCCGTCTTGACGAGCGCGTTTCGCTCGAACAGATCTGAGCGGCGATGCCCGATCTCAGAAATTCACAGGGCACGAGGGGCGGAGAGGTACCGGGGGCGCCCGGGCGACTCACATATGCCCGAGTCGTTCGTCTGTCGCCCCGACGCGGTCACGTTCGCGGGCGCGGTGACGGCGATCGTGTTATGCTTGAAATACGCCTGTCCGAGGCGGCCGAACACGAAATCGATGCCGCCCTCGATGCGCGAGCGGAGGTAGACCTGCGCGCCCTGGTTCGCGAGCAGCACGTCCTTAAACCACACCCGTCATTCCCTTTTTTTTTTTTTCGTCCCACACTCTCGCCGTGACGAACCTGATAGCCGTACAGCCCGCATCCGTAGACGCCGACGCGGTCGCCGTAGTTGGAGAGCGCGATGGCCTGGTTGGCCTGGTTGACGCCGCGGGGGAGGCCGAAGGTGTTCCGGACGTCGAGGTTGTAGAGCGCGACGTGCGGGGCCTCGATCCGGAGCGTGCCCGAGAGGTCGTTCGAGCCGGCGGTCGTCGCGTCTTTGTGGTCCGTGAGGGTGACGGTGTTGAGCGCGTAGGTCGCCGTGTCGAGCGTGTAGCCGTATAGCTTGCACCTCCGTCAGGACCGTGGGGTCATGGGGGAGTCGAAGAGAAAGAGAAAGAGCATACCGTGGTCGGCCCACTGCGCGTGATGTTGACTTGCTCGGCGTATGTGCCCGGGTAGATGAATACGCTCTGGGGCGAGGTATCGTTCGAGAGCGCGTTCACGGCCGCGCTGATCGAGGTGAACTCGCCGGGCTGGGTTCCTCTCGGGCGGACGACGAGAGCGCCGCGCGGGGGTGCGATGCGGATCCCCGCTAGGACGAGGTCGGCCGTTAGGAGCACCAGGAGGGCGAGGGCGACCATCTTCGACCTGCACCGAAGGAACCTCACGGTGATTTATACTCCCGTCGTCGGATTCAACACTCGATGTATATGTGGTCGGAAGCACATGATGAAGGCTCGCTGTTGCACGGACGAGGCGGGCCGGCGGGGCAAGGTCATCCACCGAGGTCAGGAGCAGAGACGCGAACGCAAGCTCAGGCACGAGAAGGGACATGGCGCGCTCGAGGACCGAGTACGCTGTTGCGCCGACATATACGCTGAGCTCGTACATCCAACATATCGGCGATACAGCCCTTTATTTTGCCCCAATTGCATCCGTGAAAGGCAGCGTTTCCTCCCAAAACACCGGCGCTTAATCTTTCGCGTCGACGTTCCGCGCTCGCAGCTCGTCCGCCACGTCTTCTGCACCACCTCTGCCCTCCTCCGCTTCTTCTCTCGGCCGTCCACTCCTACCCTCGGCACCATGTCCAACCCGGCCGTCCAGAACCTGGTCATCTCTCTCGTGGTCATGCAAGGTCTGTTGCGCCTCCCGCACCCACTCGTGCGCTAACGCGCCCCTCTCGGTTATCTTTTCTGCAGTCGCCCGGAAGATCGACTTCACGGACCCGCAGGTGCTCACGTACGCCCGGATAGGCTACGTCGCGAGCCAGCTCATCATCCTCGGCACCTACTTCTTCGTCTCGCACAAGGTACGTAACCCTCCGTGACGCGTCCAACTCCACTCGCTCACCTCACCTCACCTCCTCTCCCCACCAGATCACGACGAAGAACGACCAGACCGTTCTCAAATATGGTGACGCATCCCCCGCCTCGCCCTCGCCCTCCGCCGTCCCCCTGCTAAACCCCAACTTTCCTCCCAGTCGAACCCGCGAACCCGATGACCCAAGACGACGGCAAGCTCGTCACCACCACCGTGCGCGACTACGACCTCTCCGAGACCTCCAAGCTCCTCCGCGGCGCCTACATCGGCATCGCCATGATGGCCTTCCTCCACGGCTACCTCGGCTACACCCAGCCGCTCTTCATCCAGGCCCTCATGGGCCTCAAGAACCTCTTTGACGCCAAGCCCGTCGCCATCCACCTCTTCGGAAAGCCCGCGGAGGGCGACCTCAAGCGCCCCTTCAAGGGCGCCGGCGGCATGTTCGGTGGTCAGTCAACGGCCCCCCCCCTTCCCCGCTTTCCATTATTCACACCCAGTTCTCTGTTATTTATCCAGCTGCGGCAGAACCCAAAACCGACGCAGCTTCCATCGCCGAGGCGGAGAAGAAGATCGGCAAGAAGGAGGAGTAGAGAGTTTACATTGCGCAAAACTCACTCCTGTTGTATCCCTGCTCGATGTTATTCTACGCGTCACATAAAAAAAAAACTCTTTATCTCTACTTGCGTGTGATGATCCACGCGCGCGACCTCAGCGATAGTTTCTTCTCTGTTTCGTGCGTGCGGCAGCGAAGGGCAAGCAGCGCATCGACATTATATACTGATGATTACAGGATTGGGTAACGTGTGGCGAACAATACGGCTCTAGGTTATCGACGTGGGGACGGGTGCATGCAAGTTCTAGAAGGCAGATCGCCGCGTGGCCTCGGCGTCGGACGCGGTGGACGCTGATACATGACGAGCCCATTCCTTGACCGCGTCCTCGGCGCGAGCCTTGTCCAGCTGAGCCCGAGTAGACGCGATCAGGGCCATGGACGACTGGACCATGTCGAGCGCGGGGGCGTCCTGTCGACCCGCGCGTTCGGCCTGCAGCCGGCCGCGCGGCTCGGACGCGCCGGACTGGGACGCCAACGCGTCCATAAAACGGACCCATGCTTGGGCCACGTCTTCGGTATAAGCCTCGTCCAGCTGGGCACGCGTCGACGCGATCAGGGCCATGGGCGGCTTGACGATATCCACCGCGGAGGCTTCCTGCGGATGCGCCGCGTACGGCTCCGATACGCTGCTGACGGTGGGCGCCCTATTATTATCTTGGCTCGACGCAGGCTCGGCGGTGAGGACTTTGGCGTAGACCTCGTCCTGTTGCGCGGGAGTCAACGTCGTGCCGACCAGTTCTATGGATCGCTGCACGGCCGGATCGGCGAGTCCCTGACCCGCCTGTCGAGGTGCGTGTTCGCACAGCTCGGACGGACCGATCTGTCCTGTGGAGGACGGCTCTGACGCCGTGGCCACGACTTCGGCGTAGACCTCTTCCAACCCAGCTCGGGTCGTCGCGACGAGGTCCTTAGACCGCTCGACGATAGCTGGAACCTGTATACATGCGTATCTCCGTCAAGACGCCAGGACAAAACCTTGAGACGGACCCGGGACGTATGCGTACTTACGGCCAGAGTCTCTGACGTCTCTGACGTCGACGCGGACGCTCTCCCGTTTTCGAGTTTCTTCTTCTCTCTCGCACCACGCAGGTTGCGCATGCGAGAATGTTTGGCTTTCGACCATTTGCCCATCGCAGCGTGAGCGTTCGGGGCAAAAGTTTTTTTGGGGGCACCGGCCTTTTGGTTTCCTCGCTGCCTTTAGCGCCCAACGGGAGGCGTTCCGATGACGTCGGCCCTTTCACTGTATTGTACGTACTTGCAACATTCTCCTCGCCGGGTCGTGAAGGTTTCGTGGTCACGTCACCAGGCAACATATTGTTAGCCTGGACCTTCTCCGGCCTTCTCGTCAGGCAAATGAAGACTCGCAGACCAGAGAACTTTGACGCACATCTACATTGGATATACAGGCCAGTAGCGCATGGCTATCACAGCTGAACCAGTCGCGTCGAGCTCTCAAAAGTTGGACCTAAAACGGAAGGCTTCACAATATTTTCACATGACTTTGGCATGACTATTCCTAATAAGGCAAACCCCCTTTCTAGGATGGAGCCTGACCTGAGCTGTAATAGCCATGCCTCCTCCCAAAAGAATCTCCTACGTGCGTAATCGTGTCTTCAAGATTGAATGGGCGTCTTTGGATCCATAAGCGTTTGGGCGCGGCTCTCTGTTTGCGTAAACGGGATCGTCCATCAAGGTTCGGTTGGACTATCGCCGTCGCGGTCCTCCTAACGTATCATCTCCATCTCAAACCTCCCGAGCGTGCCGTGATATGGAACTTAGCTCAAACGAACCGTGACTGTGGCTGAGCGCTGAACTTCCGATATGAGTTCTCCGAATGCTACCAAGTGGAGAGGCCCGATCGCGAACATCAGGAAAAGCCCCCTCTGGCAATTTTCTACATATATACATATATGATTTGTGATTTGACTATATTCTGTCTAAAACATCACAAAAAAGCCAAAAAATCCCATAAAACTGTCAAATCATGACAGATGACAGACCATTTAGAGGACTGATTTATAGGTCTGAGGGGTATTCAAACTACTGACATAGAATGTGGTTGCAGTGTCAATAACATAAGAACTAGTTCATGTCCAAGGGGCTTGAAAACCAAATGTAGATATAAGTGTTGGAGTTGGGAATTGATACTTTACTGCTGACACCTCACCCTTGCATGGGCCCCTCTGTAATATCATATCATCCTATATAGTCCTGGCTCATATACACATCCTGCATGCACATCTGAAAAGCTGGAGTTTTCTGTAGCTAACAACACAATTATGTACCCTGGCTAAGTTCACTATTAAGTGATAACTAAACACTGTTGTGATGCTCTATCCTCAGGTAGAGGACTTTTCTTGTATCCCATTCAACTGCCATTGACAACTTCTTGAACTCAAGTATATGTGTATGTCCTGTGGGATTGCTATAGTGGCCAACGCGGACTTAGAGATTCTGCGCGAACTAACGCGTCACGTGACCTGACCGTGAACAGTTTGCCCCTCCGGCTTGTCGTCTCGGCCCACCGCGCTGGCAAGTGCGCCCGGCGCCACGCTTGCAAGTGCGCACAGTATCGTGCAAGTCCCCGTGCCCGCCGTCACACCCCGCCCTGAGGACTCGAAGCGCCCGCCCTGCCGCCCCAGGACTCGAAGTGTCTGCCCCGCCGCCCCCGCCCGCCCTTGCCGTTTGCCCGGCCCCGAGCGCGAGCCGGTTGGCGGCTCGCGCTCGACGCAGCTTCCCCCGCCCGTCCCGACCTGTCGCGCGCCCATTCCAGAGCGCGAGCCGCCAACGCGGTTGCGCTCGACGCCCCGTTCACCCCGCCCCTGCCGTCTGCCCTTCCCCGAGCTTGAGCCGCCAATGCGGTTGAGCTCGGCGCCGCGTCGCCTCCCCCACCCTCCGTTCGCTCAGCCCCGAGCACGAGCCGCGAATGCGGTCGCGCTCGGCGCAGTTACCCCTCCCCTCCCGTTCGCCCAGCCCCGAGCGTAAGCCGGTGTGTTTTGGCTCAGCGTCTCCGTTGCGCCAACTCGCCCACCTCCACTGCGCCAATGGGCCCGACGTCTGCTGCGCCAACGCGCTCGCTCCCGCCCGCGCCCGAACGTTTGTCTCAGACTGCGCCAATGCGCTCGCGCCTGCCTGCGCCTGCTCGCCTGCCCCCGGGTTTGCCATCGCGCCCCACCTCTCCCGCGCCAACCCACCTTGCTCAACTGCGTCAATCCGCAGCACTCGATGGCCAACGCGTCCGCCTTCGCCTGCGCCAACGCGCCCACTTCCGCTGCGGCAACGTGCCCGACGTCCGCTGCGCCAACGCGTTCGCCCTGCTTGTGCTCGCGCGGTTGCGCCTCCCGCCCCTGCCGTTTGCCAGGCCCCGAGCGCGAGCCGCCAACGCGGTCGCGCTCGGCGCAGCTTCCAACCTCCCGCGCTCCCCCGCCCATCCTCGAGTGCAAACCGCCAACGCGGTCGCACTCGGTGCAGTTTCTACCCCAGGCGCTGCCGTTTGCCAGGCCCCGAGCGGGAGCCGCCAACGCGGTCTTGCTCGGCGCCGCTTCCATTCCCCGCCCGCGCGCCCGCTGTTTGCATTACCCCGAGCACGAGCCGTCGCCTCGCCTCCCCGCCCTCTGGCTCGCTCAGAGCGCGAGCCGTCAAGGCCTTGCCTACCGCCCTCTTTCGCTCAGCACCGAGTGCGAGCCGCCAACGCGCTCGCGCTCGCTGTATCTTCCTCTCTCAGCGCTCACCTGTCGCCTGCCCAGCCCCGAGCGGGAGCCGCCAACGCGGTCTCGCTCGGCGCAGCTTCTCCTCCCCTCCCGTTCGCCCAGCCCCGAGCGTGAACCGGCGTGATGTCGCTCTGTGTCTCCATTGCGCCAATGCGCCCGACGTCTGCTTCGCCAACGCGCTCGCTCCTGCCCGCGCCTGATCGTTTGCCCCAGACTGCGCCAACGCGCTCGCGCCTGCTCGCCTAGCTGCAGTTTTGCCATCGCGCCCTGGCTCTCCCGCGCCGACCCACCCTGCTCAACCCGCAGCACTCGATGGTCGACGTGTCAGCCCTCGCCTGTGTCAACGCGCCCACATCCGCTACGCCAACGTGCTCCCTTCTCGCTGTGCCAACCCCTCCATAGACTGCGCCAACGCGCTTGCCCCCGGCTTCGCCAACGCACTCGCTCCCGCCCGCCTCCGCGTATTCGTTCTGGACTGCGCCCACACGCTTGCTCCTGCCTGCCCCCGCGGTCTGCCCCCGGCTTTGCAAACGCGCCCTCGCTTGACTGCGCCAATGTGCTCGCCCTGGACCGCTTGACTGCGCCCCGCCTCCTGTACTTGACCGCTGTTGTGCTCGACCCTGCCCCCTCTCCCGTGGCCTAAGCCGCATGGCTCCCATGATGGAAGGCGCGCGAATCTTGAGCTTCAAGACGTATGTCACTTATGTTTGAAGCTGCCCCGCTCCCGGCATATGGTGACTCCCGGTTTCTTGCATGCTGCAATAGACGACCCCGATTTGATGGCCCAATTGACACCATCCCCGTCCGGGGTGCAGCCAATGAAGCAGACTCGCATACACCATGGCCGACTGAGTATTAACCGTAGAGCTTGTATAATGTCTTGTCTGAAATATCAATGCCATCTGTTGTGGTTCACATGCCCACTTCCACTGAACTTACATGAGATAGGATACAAGATTGAGTCATAGGTATGTGCACAAAATCCTGCACAATGTAACTATTATGCATGAAGAATGGATGGAATGTCCTGTACAATATGACCAAATTGTGGAGACAATTGATGTTACAGATCACCAAAATATGTCCAAAAAGTTCATAAAATTTCACATATTTGTGCACATTTTGCCCAAAATGTGGCAGATGCTAAGGGGGGACCTTCTAGATTTCCTTCTTTTTGGACTTATTTGCTCCTATGTGCTCCTATGTGCTGTAAAAGGCCCCAAAGTAGCTTTATCTGCATGGATAGTCCAGTCATTACTTGACATTTCCCCCCTTTATGATACTAATTTACAGAGGGGGAGTTTCCTGATGAAGACGCATATACTCGACGCTCTGGACGGATGATGTCATAGCTTGGCAGGATGGCATTGGCAAAATATCCTTGTATGACAGTATAAAGCTCGCGACGCGTGGGCGTTCGTCTCCAAAGGAGTTCGTTCCACCCCGGCATATGCGACGAACCGGGCGCTGAGCACGGAACAGACGACCTCCACCACTCGGACCTTGAATCGTCCACGCAATCTCCGTGCGCGCGCGGACTCAACATGGGACGCGTTCAGGAAGGCGAAGCTCTTCCGTAGGGAGGATGCAAAGAAACACTCGGACGCGATCCGTCGACACGCCCTCAACCAGTTCCTGCGGATACGGCGCGAGGAGAAAGATCGCGACAGCGACCCGTTCCGATGGGGCGACGAGGTATGTTGACGAGCATTGTCCCGGTGAAAAGTTCTCATCCCGCTAATGCATACATACCGCTGCATAAGTTGAATGCATGATAGTTGCCCTCGACCACGAACACAGGACCGCTCAACGGTCACTGAGACAAGATGAAGTCCCCAGCAACATTCACGCGACGGAGAAAGCACGCCGGGAACCGTGAGTCACCGGTGTGGGTTGATTGCTGAGCATGCATGATGGACGCGGCTCGTGGGCTGAGGTTCTATCCGGAAGCGGGCGACATATACTCGAGACGACCCCTTCGGACCCCGGGACCTCCACAATCCACGATTTACGCAAGGTCGAGCCTAACGTGCGCCAAAGGTGGATATCGCCGATGCACGAGAAATTTCCTCATGGTCAGCTCACGCAAATCGTAGACGAGTCGTAGCCAAGAGATACCTCAATGAGGACGAGCAGGCTCGTCACTCTGACTTCGTTCCCGCTCATGGGTGCTCCAGGCGCAATCCGCGAACCGCTCCAGTCCAAGGCGTCCATGGGCATGTTCGTCCCCGAGAACGTTCTCAGCGGTGAAGCTCGCTATCAGTAGGTACTGGTCAAAGATAGTGGTTCACGACGACTCAACACACGGGCAGAGCGGCAGCGTCGAACATCCGCGCTAGAAGGGCCGCAAAGCCGGCGATCAACGTCCCAGTCTTTATCGACAAGAACACCGCTCGTGCGTTCACCGACGGAATGCTACCAGAAGACAGAGTGGCTCCAGAACCTGACTCCGGTATACGGCCTTCGTTCCAGACGTCGTTCCTGGCCACGACTGACTGATTTGGAGTCCACCAAGATTGCTTCCCCGAGCCAGATCACATATATCTTGACGTTATGGCATTCGGCATCAGTTGTTGCTGTCTTCAGGTTACCATGCAGGTAAGATTTGGCCGTGCATGAGTACTGTAGCCCCGTGATTGGCATAACACTAGGCCGCCAACCTGTCCGATGCCCGCCGCTTGTACGACATGCTCACACCTGTGGCGCCGATCATGGTAGGCAGAAGTTGCGCGGAGCTTTCCTTGTGTCCTCACCTGTAACACCAGATGGCTCTTACCGCGGCGAGCCCGATCTGGCGCGGCTACCTCACGGATGTTGACTGTCGCTGGGATGTCATAGCCGCGCTCTGCGACGACCGAACGCCCGAAGAACGCGGTATGGCGGTAAGCAGCGCTCAGCAGGCACCGTCTTTTATCGAATTCTGATCCGCATGCTTGCCACTCGGCATCGCAAGACGGTGCCCAGCGGATACCAAAATCCAGATATGAAAGCGTCAGCTTGTATCTTGCCGATGAGCCACCGATAAGACCTGAATATAACGATGTTCACGCGCCGCTCAACCAACCGGTCTACGAGGAGCTGGTCCAACACCGTAAGGTTTTGCCCATCGTGAGGTGGCCGCGAACCATTGGCTGAATCGGTTCATGAATGAGGCGTTGATGAACCGATGGCAAGGCACGTAGCTCATCAGTTCGTTCGTGATTCCGTGATCGCGTACCGGGAGACGCTCGACCAGGATGATGCCATAGACTCGGAGCATTTCGACGTGCGTAGTGTCCGAGACCGCAGTCTATTCGAAGTTCCCCTCCCCCGTTGACTGGGCTTCAGGACGTGCAAGCGTGCAACTGGCAGTCGATGCGGCTCAAGGTGCCCGAATCCGAGACACTCGGTTGGCGCGTGGAGCTTCGTACGATGGAGGTGCAGCCGACCGACTACGGAAACGCGGCCATGACCGTATTCGTCGTGCTCTTGTCCCGCGCAATACTGAGATACAATCTCAGCTTCTACATCCGCATGTCGAAGGTGCGGCTCGCGAGCTTGGCCGATGGGAGGATCCCTGTTGACGTCTAGCTCTGCATATCCAGGTCGACGATAACATGAAGCGGGCGCAGAGACGCGATGCCGCACGTCGAAGCAAATTCTGGTTCAGGAAGCACGTCTTCCCTAAAGAACACGACCCTGCATCCGGAAACAAAGGATCGCGAGATGCGGAACTCGTTCCCCCGGGTGCTTTGCCCGGACTGCCCCAATTCCGCCGACGATGGACTCGAGGAGATGACGATGGACGAGATCGTGAACGGGAAGGTGAGCGCCGTTCGTACTTGTCCCATTCCTGGTGATCCTCACGTCGCGCTATGACAGGGCGATGCCTATCTCGGCTTGGTGGGCCTCGTGGATCTGTACTTTGACAGCCTTGAGATGGATCAATCCACCCTCGATAAATTGCGCGACTACGTTGCTCTCGTGAGGGGGCGTGCAGATGGTGGGTGCTTGTGGTCTGATCTCTGCCTACGCTCGCTCACAAGCCCTGCAAATCCTGGCTCCTGGCTGACTCCAGAGACGTGGATGCGCAAATTCGTCGAGAACCACCCGGCATACCAGTTCGACTCGATCGTGCATTCGGATATAGCGTACGATCTAATCGTAGCCGTGTGGGACCTGTGGGTGAACACGGATTCAGCGACCCCTCGCGCCCATCCGATCCTCCGTAGTGAACAAGGTCTTCGCAAAGAAGCCTGCCTCGTGCCTGCCACGCGTGCCTCAGCCGCAGATGCATGAGATTGCGCACAGATGTGTAGTCCGGCGGCAGTCTCTGTGGGTTCTTTCGGAACAGGGCGGGATGCGTGCACGTCACGTCCGTTCGCGCCCAAAAGTCGCATGACCCTATTCACGCGGCCCATGCGCAGCTTTCATTGTATGCAGAAAAATACCGTAATCAATTGGGCGCCCCCACGTTTATCATCAGGCTATCGCCACCGAGCATCTTCCGGCCGACATGATGGCGAAGGCAACTCGAAAGAAGCGCACCGGAGGTCTATTACGTCAAATGATAGTATGTAGGGCAGCGTCAGCAACGACCGACACAAGTACGTATGTCTCACCAGGATCGAGAGATCTTATAGCGTTCTGGAGTCCGCGTCGAGAGTCGTGGTTCTCTTGGATACGAGGCGGAAATGAGGACGTACTACACATCCTTGCCATACGTTGATTCAGTCCATGCAATCTGCCGACCCGGTCGCCGCGAGTACGTGGGACAGCTTCCACCACGTGGAAGGAGCCCCGATTTCACGGCTCTCCTGACAGAACCACCGTCTCTCGTTCTGTGGGTGGTTCCGGTCCTTACGCAACAGTCGTGATGGCTCCGCCCACTGGCACCGACTCCGGAGCGCCGCCAAGGAGCGCGAGTTGGTGAACTGCGGGCTGGCAACGGCTTTCGATCCAAGTGCACCTTCTGATCTGCGCCTGCAATGAGGCATCGGCCGAGGTTCGCAATTTGCGGATCGTCCCAAAAACTGCCTCAATCGACGCGGGCGACGAGCTCGGCGCCGTTGCTTGTCCGTGAACGCAAATGAGTTTCATCATCCGGAGTCGTGCTGATAGGATTTCGATATGAGGACCGCCCTCGACTCGGCAGGTCTTCTGTTCCACCGTTCATACATATACGGCCTTAGCTTCCCTCCCCCTGCGGAACGTCCCGTACTCACGCTTTCCTTCTTCGCAATCGCCTTTGGGACTTTCTCTGTGCCCGCGACTCCGCCTTTGACTCATTGGTGCCCATCATCTCCTCGTGGCGCCTCAAGGCCGTCATCTTGGCTGGCTGTTCTCTCATCCAATCGGTTCGGCTATCGTCTCGCACACATTTAGTAAAGAAAGGTCCTTCGAGAACGTACGACGGGTGGTGCCACACTCGGGCCGACAACACACAGGTCGAGTGTTGCTGTATAAATTTCCGTCTGACGACGCTCACAATTGTTTTCGTCCCAGGTCCGTTCGTCCCTCTCATCGAAACCCTGTTGTACATAGACTGGCCATGCCTGCCAAGCATGACGTGCTGTCCGAAATGGCAGCTCTGGTCCCTCGAATTCGCGGTTTCAATCTCGCGGTATTGGTGATAACACCCGCGCTCGGGCTGTACGGTCTCTGCACCGTGCCATTCAACCTTGCAACCACTATATTCTCTGCGATATTCTACGTTTTCTCGATGCTCGGTATATTATCTCCCGCGTTCTATGAGCCCCGGGCGCTGAACACTCTTTCTTCCATTCACAGGCATCACAGCCGGCTACCATAGGCTATATTCTCATCGTGCATACTCGGCATCGGTGCCGATTCAGCTCTTCCTCCTTCTGGCTGGAGCCTCAGCCGTTCAGGGGTCTGCCCTCTGGTGGTGCAGAAGCCACCGCTCGCACCATCGATACACCGACACTCCATTGGATCCGTACAACTCTCACCGCGGGCTTCTCTACACCCATATCGGTTGGATGGTCCTGAAACCCGCTCCCTCGCCCGGATCATCAGAGGAGAACCCAGGAACGGGCTCACGCCTCGACGGCAAGCCCGGGAGGTCCAACGATAGCGACCTTCGCAATGACAAGCTGGTCATGTGGCAGCACGTCAACTACTTCCCGATCGCCTTCTTTATGGGGTACTTCCTGCCGTGCTTGGTCGCGGGATGGGGCTGGGGCGACTGGCGAGGGGGCTTGTACTTCGCAGGAATGGTCCGGCTCACGCTCGTACATCATGTAAGTATCCGTCCAGTTTGTTTATCCCTGGCTTGATAATTATCTACCCCTTTGCAGTGCACGTTCTGCGTGAACTCGCTAGCTCATTACCTCGGCACGACCCCATACGATGATAAGCTATCGCCTCGCGATCACATCATCACCGCCATAGTAACCTTGGGCGAAGGTGTGTCCGACATGCTCGATGGTCGGTTGCTCGTTCACAACGTTCCGCAGGACATCATAATTTCCATCACCAATTCCCAACGGCGAGTCCAATGTCAGACTAGTTGAGATGATATTGACTTTCATCGCATTCATAGGACTACCGAAATGCCATAAAATGGTACGCACCATCCACAGTATTTCCTCATACCTCAGAGGAGCTGAACAATCCCATCACCAGGTATCAATGGGACCCGACCAAGGTATGCTCCGTAGTCGACTGAAGGAGGCGATCGTCGCTCATGGTCGAGCAGTGGTTCATTTGGACCTGCAGCAAGCTGGGTCTTGCCTACCACCTGAAGACGTTCCCGTCGAATGAGATCAAAAAGGGGGAGTTGACGATGAAGATGAAACAGCTCAAGCAAGAGCAGGACAGCCTCACATGGCACAAAGAAGTAGCCGATCTGCCCGTGGTTACATGGGAACATTGTAAGTGTACCTATATCTAGCATACATCGGTGTGCTCGTTGTTCACCTCGCGTCCCGCGTTGGAATGCAGTCCAGGATCAGGCCAAGGAACGGACACTCGTTTTGATCGCCGGCTTCATTCACGACTGCACCGCTTTCGCCCAGAACCATCCCGGCGGCGCGATGATCGTCGAGAAGTCATCGGGGAAGGACATGACGGCGGCCTTTTTCGGAGGCATATACAGTCATTCAAATGCAGCCCACAACGTGAGTGCACGACTATTGCTTCCCTTCCGTCCCGGTGGCGAGCTGTGGCGCCCCAAGATCGCCCGGGCCTTTCCCACAATCTTTGTACTGCTTCTATATTTGCGGCGCTCGACAGGATGGCATTGCTGACAATCGGTATATAGCTGCTTTCGATGATGCGTGTCGGCGTCCTCGAGGGCGGGGTGGAGACGACGCACGACGCGCCGCCCGAGCGCGTCGTGGCGAACCTCCGACCCGAGGACATTAATATAGACTTCAGGGTTCCGCCGGCCCGCAAGCTGATGATAGTTGAGGCGACAAAAACCCAGCAGGACCTGCAATAATGGCCCGGTCCAATCTGCGACTTACCGGTGTGCTGACAGGGTGTTGCGGTCTTCCAAACGATCATGAATTCTACGAGAACGACGACACTGTAATAGCGTACACCCATTGAGTGGGGATACTAATGTGTGGCAATGCCCACGTGAAGCACGCGCGTACGAAGTTACGAATCTACATAACTTTGGGTCGTCACTATATTCACTACACCTAATGTTCGTCATGAGCGACAATTCAGGTATTTGGACATCGCACATAGCATCACCAACTCCTGAAACACGTTGCATCGACCGATGACATGGAAAGGCTCGCTAGTAAGCGCAATAGACCAAGGATGGACGTACAGTGCCTCTCACGAGATAAACGCGACAAGCGGACCAAAACGCGGGTTCATGTGAAGACACCTCGCAGCGCAACTAACGTATAGAGTTCAAGGAACAAAGCGACAGATGGGGTTTGAGAGGGGAAAAAGGTGCATCAGGGTCGTCCTATCGATTCTGAAGTCTCAGCCTCAACCCCTTGGACGATCGAGGCTCGTTCCAGACTCCATACCACGCCTTGGATATTTTAGCTGAACCTTAAGGCATGAAACGCGGAGGCTGGTACGCATGCGTTGCACGGAATAGAATAGGGGTAGACAGAACGTCCTAGCACCGCTGCCGTGATCGCGATCGAGTTATGAATGAGGGCACAGTGATGGCTCTAGCAGTATAGGTGGACGAGGGGCATGTGTGGGTAAATAAAGAAGAGCTTGATGCAGAGAAGATCGAGCTGACGGCGACTTTATTGAGCAGAAGGACTTTTACGCTTGGGACGTCACTTGCGTATACGTGCAGCCACATTTCCGCAAGAATATGAACAAGGACTCAGCGATATTACCGGATGGCGGAGGTCGTAAACCAGGGCGACCAAAGAACGTCCAGAGGAATCTCCAGTGCAATATCGAGCGGGAATCGATCTACGAACAAATGTCACTCCACACTAATGGACCTTTTTCGAGCGGACGAGCCGCATTGTTCAGGTGGTTCCGGGGGCTGAGAGCTGACTGACCGTCGATTGGCACACAGGAAGTGACGACGAAACCCAATTTCCTGGCGCGATCCCGATCCCAGCGTCATATCCGTGCTACTGCGATCGTTACGTGTCCATAGACGAATACGTTTGTACGAGGGGTTGCCCAGCAACGAGAACCGGTGACCTCAGCACATTTGAATCTGTAGCCAGGGCGCGTCGTGCCCGTGGTCATGGTCGTTGTCGGAGAAGAAGCGCAAAGAAGAGGAACCGCGTGTTTTCGTCGTGCTCGACAGCCTCGACTGGGGAACCCTTCGGATCAATCGCGCAACGGAGCAGCTCCGAGCCTCCGACGTCCGAGTGTTGACACAAGCGAGATTACTGCAGCCATTCGGTAGCCATTAGATAAAGCATTTGCGATTTTTTGCGCATCCACGAGAGCGTCGAGAGGAGTCAGTGTTACGCATACATCAGCGAAGTCATGTCATCGAAAGGCCCTGAAATTGAACCGGGTGAGAAGCAGAGCGCGAAGATTCCAAGTCGGCGCTCATTGGTACAAAACGAAATGCGGGTGCCCGCCTGGACCCTGGCCCCTGGCGAAAGATCGAACAGTGACTGGGTGACTGGGGCAGAGTCCGCCGTTGTTGCTCGGGATGATGCCATGACCTGTATCCGTTTGGTATCCGTAGGAGACCGCGGACGATTCGGAGAGAGCAACACTGAGCCACATGTGCATGAGTCCACCATCATGCATCATGACTAGGTCCAGCGCGTTTGTCAAGTGATAGCTACGGCAATTACTAGTGTCCAATTCTGATGTTTGTGCCAGATTGCTGTCCTCTCGTGCAAACTAAAATCGCAGAGCTCCCGAGTGATCGCCACCATCGGCATTGATCACGCGAGTTGCATTCTCACATAGAATAAGTAGATTCGGTTGCCCAGCGCCTTTTGAAGTGTGCGATTCAAGGGACATCGGGATTAGTCTGTCGCAGCGGGGATGGACGACGTGGTTAAAGGTGTTTCTCCGAGATGGTGACGCTGTCAACGTCGACGACGTCGTCCTTGAACCAGCGCTCCTCATCGGTGATTTTCACGTCGTTCCCGCTCATCATGCGTTTGCGCATCCGACCATCTGCTGCGAAAGTCCAGTCCTGGGCGGTGTATCAGCATCGGCAACAAGGGGACACGATTCAGGGTTTGCGCACCTCGAGGCCGTAGGTACGGTACCACTGCTTCCCGCCATCCGGCGTGTTCTCGTACCATTCGTAAAAGAACTGTGAAGCGAGAAATGTTCGGAGAAGATGACGTGAAGGTCTGATGCATTCTACGTACCTGCACCGCGATTTTATCGTCAGAAAACGTGAACAGTTCCTTCCTCAGCCTGTATCCAAGTTCTTTCTCCCATTTCTTGGTCAACCACGCCTCGACCTCTTTTCTGCCCTTGAGGAAGTCCGCCCGATTGCGCCAGATCGTCTCTTCCTGGGATATCGAGATGAGCTAATCGCGGCCGAAGTCAGACATGCGGGCGGAAACACGACGAACAGTGTACGCTTGAGCAACGCGAGCAGGATCTTTGGTGTTCCATAGCGCTTGAGCGGCCTTGACCTTCGCATGAGCGGTTTCAGTGGAGAACGGTGGTCGTATGTTGGCCATGCCGTGACTCGAAGTTGAGGCAGCCGTGCCATCCAGCTCAGCTTATAAGAGGCCGGCACGATGGAAGACAAGTCACATGGATCTGATTAAGCAGTACGCATTCGTTCCGACTCGGATGGTGAATGCACGAAGATCGTGTACTGCATCGAGCACAGGGTGTCTACCGCACGTAGAGAAGGCTGCATAGCTCCGCTTGGTTAGAGCGCCATGAGAAAAGGAATGGTGAATGGTGAACCCAGGTGAATCAACTCGTCAGTGATCGTGGGATTCGATAGTCAAGAACACTTCCTGAGCTCCTCGCTTAGCCCGCCCCCCCCCCACCCCGTGGCTACCTACGATTCAGTTCATTCAATGCTCTGCTTGGGCGTCGAGGCTTACGTCCATACTCCATAGTTTCTATGATCATCAGACAGCGCGCAGCCTACTCTGAGGCCCTGTCGGACCATTGAATAACTCCAGTACCCGCACCCTGTCGTTCGTGTGACTCCATCACAGGAGTCAGCGCGGCGAGCGTCTGTATCAGCAGCATCCACATATGTCCAGCCCTCTGCTGCCAGTCCCTCGAAAGGCCCGTCAGTATACTTTGTCTGGCCCATGTTTGCCTGACCTTGACACTAGACACCGGCTTCGCAAAATTGTTCGTCCTCTGCGGTGCCCGTCCCAGTGGCCAAGTCAAGCTTGACGGCTGCCGACAGTACGTGAACCATCCTATGGTCCAGCAACGCCAGACTCAAACAAAGCCGTGCCCCCGGCCCCTTTTTCCTGCATAGATGATGAACTCATCTGTTGATGAGCAGGAGAGGCGCCTCGAGGACATCCAGGCAGACATAGTCTCTTACGAACGCTATGTCTCTAGCCATGCCAATTTGGTGAGTGAACCCAGTCTCGTGCTGGCTCCCAGACTACATGAGTATTCAGACCGACGAACGGGCGCTGGCTGTGATGAACACGTTAGCGACGGCTCTTGTCGAACGATACCAGCGCCTTTCGAACATCGCAGACTTGGACAAGGCATCTCGGCTATGCCGATCTGTCTCCGCACTGACAAAGAAAAACGATATCAACCATTTTCAATCGATAGCAAATCTCGTGGTCATTCTGACTCTCACATTCGAACAAACAAGCGACGTGGTTCATCTAAAGGATGCCGTTACGCTGTCCAAAAAAGCGTTGGACTGTGCGTCCCCCGATCACTATATCAAAGCACTCAACAACTTCGCCGGTGTTACATTCCACCTCGTCAAGCAAACAGGTCGCACAGAACTTCTCGACGAGGCAAGACAACACCTTTTGAACGCCAAAAAACGTGCCTCATCGGCGACGATCGAACCCGCTGATGTCGCTGCAACAATTTCTACCCTCTCGGTTATACATAAAACCGCGTTCGAGCTGCTCGGTATCCTTGACGACTTGAACGAGGCCATCAAATTATCACAGCAATCCCTTGACCTTCGCCCCTCCGGGAGTCCATCTCGGGATATAGCGCTCAATAATCACGCAACTATTCTCATCATGCGTTACGAGAAAACCGGGGACCCTGAAGACCTCAGGCAAGCCATAGATACTTACGAGAGAACGCTCGCACTTCGCCCTGAAGGCCATCCCAATCGCTCTGTTTCTCTAGCCAATCTTGCCGTTGCCATCACTTCCCGATTTCGTGCCCAGGGATCTGCGGATGATATGGACGGCGCGCTGGAGCTTCTCTACCAATCGCTCGAACTTACTCCCGCTCCGCATTCACGACGTCCTTACAGCCTCATGAACATCGCTGTTCTCCTGGTATCACGGTATCATCAATTTCAGGAAGCGCGCGACTTGGACGAATGCGTGCGCCTTTTGGACCAGATGGGCGAACTCTGCGGTGAAGGTCACAGCCTTCGTGTAGCTTATCTCTCAAACCTCGGCTCTGCACTCGAGTTGCAGTATAGACGTTCGAGCGATCTGATTTACTTGAAGCGCGGCATACGATGTTTGCGAGACGCTCTCCGCGTCTGCGGCCCTCGTGACATCAACAAACCAACGCTTCTCCAGAACTTAGGACGCCAATTACGAACCTTATTCCAGAAAAATACAGATATCAATATCCTGCAGGAATCTACTCGCGTGCTAGAGGATGCGCTCACCTTTTATAGCACCGAACACCCACGCCGTCCTCTAGCTCTCCGTAATCTAGCTAGAAATTATGCCATACAAGGTTTTCGCACTGGAGACAAGGATTGGGCAGTTCGTGCCAGGGACCTCCTGCTCGAGGCTCTGAGTCTTCGAGACGTGGGCTACCCCGACCGTGCCGAAGTCATGCTTGAGATCGTAGACCTCCAACTGAAATTCAGACCTCCTGGATTTCCCCGGGACTGCGGAAACGAATTACTCGTGCATGCGCTCAAGGATGACGCGTGCAGTCCTCAGATCCGGTTGCGACTGGTCAACGAACTTCTGCAACGATTTCATCCTCCGTCCGTCCTCGCCTTCTGCAACACGCGCGATTCCCTCCAGCAACTCGTCGATATATTTAGTCTCGCCACACATCTGCTCCCTGAGGTGGCATTTCTTGGACTAGACTCGCAGGCCAGGCTTACTGCGCTAGTGGGCACAGAATCCCTTGGCTTGGAAGCGGCGGGCTATGCTCTCTGTCTTCCGGACTGCGCACGTGCAGTAGAACTTCTTGAGCAAAGTCGGGCGATATTCTGGAGTCAAGCCCTGAAACTGCGGAGTCCTCTCGATGACTTGCCAAAAGACCTGCGCGCCGAGATAACCGAGGTTTGCCAGTGGCTTGAACGAGACTCCTTAACGTGGAGCCGCGAAAGCGAGGCATCGGAGCCTCTAGCTACGCTGACGCATAAAGCAGCGCTTCGCCGTCGGCAAAGCGAAAAGTTGAGCAACCTCTTCCTTCGCGCGCGAGATATTCCTGGACTGGAGAGGTTCATGTTGCATGAACGTTTTGATTCTCTCGCGAGGGCCGCTTCATCTGGCCCGATCATTATCCTTCTTGCGAACAAGGTGGCGTGCTCGGGCATCATGATCAAGCCGTCCGGTCAAGCGGTCCATGTGCCGCTGCCTCAAGTCACCATTGAACGCCTCGGACAGCTTCGCAAAGATTGGCGTAAAGGCCTGTGCAAGCCGAAGAAGCAGCAGAAACAATTTGACGTGCTCGAAGAACTCTGGCGTAATGTCGTTAAACCAATCATCGACGCACTGGAGTTCAAGGCACGCTTGTCTTCTCCTCCCTAGTCTCATCGCTGATGCTTTCCTACAGCCCAAGCAACATGATCGGAAGCTTCGTCCCCGAGTTTGGTGGTGTCCGACAGCAGATTTCATCCATCTCCCTATACATGCCGCTGGAATACATACAAATCCTGCGAATGTATGCCACTCTTACATGGTTTCCTCCTATACACCCACCATTGGCGCGTTACTTGCCGCGAGGCGGGGCTTCAAAGGCGTCGAGATTGGTCAATTACGGATTCTTCTAGGAGCGGTACCAGAGCCCTATGATCTGTCTGAATGGGACAAACTACCCTCTACGGGTGCTGAGGTGTTAGCCGTCGCATGCGTAGACGCTCTGTCTTCGGCAACGTTCCTTCAGCTCCCGCCTGAAGAGGACATATTCACAAAAAAGAAGATCGCCTACAAAGGAATTTCTGCTTCAACGTTATTAAAAACCTTACCCCATGCGGATATCTTACATATTGCATGCCACGGGTACCAGGATTCAACCAATCCGCTAGGAAGTGGTCTTGTGCTTGCGGATAAGCTGGTCACCGTTTCCGACCTGATGCGTCTATCGCTCCCGCGCGCTTCTGTAGCATTTCTCTGCGGATGCGATACGGCGAAGGGTGACGTAAACCAACCGGACCAGGCCGTTCATCTTGCGACAACCATGCTCTTCGTTGGTTTCAGAAGCGTCGTGGCGACTCTTTGGTGAGCTGTGCTCCAGAGGGTGTTTGCTGCCATTATTGATTAATGATATTCCTAAGGTCTATGCAAGATGATGACGGGCCCATTCTTGCTCAAACATTTTATGAAGCACTTCTGAGTACGACAGGACCAACACTGACCATGGACGCTGTCGCATATGCCCTCGATGAAGCTGTTCACAAATTGAGGGACATCAACATGCTACCAAGCACATGGGCTCCGTTTGTACACGTTGGAATGTGAAGGAAAGGGGTTTGAAATCGTTGCGTTACATCTTGGGTCGTTGTACGTTTCAAAGGCGTTGTGCTAGCACTCGACATCCTCCTGTGATGTGGGTGAAAGACGATTGGTCCCGAGAGGCCGATACTCCTTGGGCGCAATCTGAGGGCGAGCCCGGAGGCTCGCCCCGGCTTGCTGGAGGAACATCTTGGTTTCAGCATGTTTTCTCTACAGAATGCTTACAGGATGCGGGCGGGCGGGTGCTGATGCTACTACTCGCTGCACCCTAGCTGCTAGTGGGTCTGAGGGAGCGAGACACGCGTCGGGGTTTCAAGATTCCTCCCTCGAGCCCGAGACGGCGCACCGAGCGAAGCTCGGTGCTCGCTTATTCATATATGTACCCACATCGCGGCTAGTAGGAGCTTCTTGTTTCTACTTGTTTACATGCGACAGGTTACCGGGGTTGTGCGCTTTCACTTTGTCATTCTGTTCCGTGAATACGACCTATATAGAGCCTGGTTCAGCAGGATCCTCGCATTCTGACGCCGTTCTAGATCGGACGCGACCTTTGGGGGGGTTCTTTACCGTCACGCCGACGTCTCCTGCTTCCTCCACATCTTCCTGCGTTTCCAGCACATGCTCGACCTAGTATGCAAAGTGGGGATGGACGCTGGCACACTTCACACCCAGAAAAGCTCGAAGAGCCGGTCGACGAAGATGACATACAACTCCTTGGCGTTTTCCACCACGGAACCTCGTCCATACCTCGTCACCTTCCTGGATGGGCTACCGTCCTTTCGAACGCACATGCTCCTGAACGGGGATTCCGCATAAGCAATCGGCTCCGGTTAATTGTCGTGAAATACCTACTGGGGTATTGTCTGAACGGGTCATCGCTCTTCGCGGGTCTGTTATGAAGTTCAATGTTTCGTGCCCTAGTAATGACGTCATGTTGGGGCGATGCATCATTTGTACAATCGTCTAAGTGTTGCGGGGAGCGTTTGATTCGAAGGCGGGCTGCATTGCATACGACGATATGTCAAGGGTAGAACTAAATCCCAGTAACCAACACATCGAAACTATAACTTGAGTCCGTCCACAGTAGAATGTGTTTTGTATGACCTGTGTCGATAGAGTACTTGAGGGCAGGACGCGCCGTGGGCATCATTTCCGTTGTCTGAACGTGCATTTGAACGGACGCGGCCGTCTGCAAGGGACACGCGTATTATGTGAACAAGGCCCTCGAGTGGGATAAAGTATATAGACACGTACGTGACGAGTTGTGACGCCCCGCATAGGGCAGACCGCATATCAATCGCTTTGCCATCTGTGTCTATAGCGCCTGATATCTCGAAGGCGCTGAGAAGGTTGGCGACCCCCAGCCAAACAGAGGCATCAGCAAGGTATTGGCCAGGACAGATTCTCTGTCAATGATGGATCAGTGATAGTAGGGCCCAAACAAGTGATTCTAACCCGTCCGAAGCCAAATACCCCTGCTTCACGGGGATCTAGTTCTGGTGCATGATCCATATCGTCGAGAAAGCGTTCTGGTCTGAAGGCATACGGATCCTTATAAATTTGCTCGTCGTGTAGTATTGCCCTATGGGTGGGAGATAAGATCGTGATTGACACAGATGGGGGTTGGAGCTCACCATGCGTTTGCAACTATGAGTGCTCCCTTCGGTATGCGATAGCCTTCGTATACATCATCTTGATCCGATAGCAGCATGTGCGGTATACCTAGCTTTCGGGATTAGACTAGTTTCCATGATCGTATGCCGGGGACAAACCCAGTGGGACGGTGGGAAACCACCTCATAACCTCCAACGCGAAGGCATGGACGAAAGGCAATTCGGTTCGGTCTGACAAGCATGGGGTTCGACCAGGTATCAAATGATTATCCAGTTCGGCTTGAGCTTTTCGCTGCGCCTCGGGACACAATGCCGCGGCAAAGATGGCGCAGATTAAGGTGTTGGTCGTCTTTGATTTGTCAGTACAACGGGAAGATGAAGAAATGAGGTCATGCACATCGTACCGTTTCTTGTCCAGCTGGCGACGTGGACACTGAGATGTTGTTCAGAGACTGTATAACCAGTCACGTACCTCGGTACAAGGCCGCCGTCGTCCCTTTGATGTGCCACTCCATTCTGTCAAAATCAACACTGGCAGGGTTCAGCTGAGTTTGCATCAAGTGCGATGCAAACGAGGGAACAGCGTTTCTGTCGTCCTAACATCGCACCAAATCAGTATAGGATAAGTATTCTACAACGGCCAGGCAACTGAGTTTACCATCATCTGCCGTGTTCTCTCGTACGGAATGTCCACGATATTGTGGGCCGCCGCCCTCGACTCCTTTGCAATTTTGTGGAACTGTATGCCCGGGGTCCAATCTGGGAGGTATTTCACTAATCACGGATCAATGCATGAGGCATATCTCGGGTAATGAACACTTACGAAACGGTACTGAATCCACCAACCACATGAACGGTTGGACTCCCAAGCTGAAGTAGTGGTTGTTGAGGTCCGCTGTTTTGACGTACCAGTCGTCTTTATCCTCGTTCAAGTCGAAGCCGTAGCCGATGAAGACAACAATAGAAGCAGCCCACCTATCCCAACCGGCTAATAAGCGACGTACAACATTCAGAGCATAGATCACAGACCGCTTAATATGCGCTTCGAAGCCACCTGGCTCTTGTTTGATGCGTGTCATCAAGTCTTGCGTATATCGCTCCTGAATGGGGGCGTACTGGCTGATCGCGTTTCGATGGAACCGTTCATGGAGCAATTTGCGCTCGATGCGCCAATCCGGGCCATACTGAAGCGGAGTGACACCCCAGTTCTGCCCCATCCTTGATTTCCAGTCGAGGTTACTCGGTGCCATAATCATCAGCCCGGAAGATGCCTACAATTCGTTCATCATGACTTTCTGACGTCGTCCAGAGTAAAGGCCCCCTCGGACGTGCATGAGTTCATTAGCCTCCTTCAATCCGTTGAGGACAATCGTATGCTCGTTGAAAGCGCGGAAGTGAACGATACGCCCTGCACGGGGCTGCTTAGAATTTAAACCAACAAAGTGAAGAAAATACCTACCATATTGTTTGCGCATGCCCGTGAACGCGAGCCACTGGCGCTTCTTTGGCAGATCTAGGACATTTCCGATGAGCCAGCCTATGAGCTTAGGGGTCGGTGGTCCCGGCGGGAGCGGAAGTCGTGATTGCTCGCGACGGACAAGCCAAAATGACAAAATTGCGACGAAGGCAAGCGCAATAGCATCCACCGCAAGCAAAAGCGTAGAAGGCATGAAGATGTACTGAGCTATGAGCGACGGATAAATATATATAGCAAAGCTTGCGTGAGAACATACCTTGATCGAGCATTCAGTCCATGAACGTCCACGTCAAAGGTGCAGTCTTTGAGACTTGGCGTAGGCGCGGAAAAAGCGGACTTATCCCAGTTCTCAACTTGCGGTGAGCATCGAGGATGCAATCCGAGCCACCAATCCCAGGTCTGCCTCTCACGAGCATATCGGGACGGAAACGGTTGATTCACCGGACATACAGATGATTCGGCATAGATAGCTATAAGTACAACCTGATGGGTTGAAGCCACTGCCAGGGTTCCACATTACGAACCCGGTTTGGATTAATTTTTTCACGCCAATCTGCCGTAGATATTGAGACCAAGGACCAAATACAGCTTAGATTGTAACTTGAATTTGTAGTCTATACCGCGTCGGAGTCATGTACGTTACCATAAGAATAAACCCAATGTGGGATTATAAATACCAACTCCATTATGTCCCAAACTCGCACATGACGTATCGACTACAATCTAGACTTATTGGGCGTAAAAAATCCAGAATTGGTTTTAACACAAATGTATACTTGAAATATCGACTGAGGTTTCAACCGGCCCTAGATTTCAAGTCCAGGCGAGTCGCGTGTTCAATTCACGTTGACCGTACACTGACCGAACTAAGTAAGACCGAAGAACGGACGATGACCGACATCTCCGTGCTGTGCCAGAGCCATGTTCGCGCACCGCTGCGAATAAACATAGGCTGTCGCGGGCTGGTAGTGGAGGTTCGGCGCCGACGCGATGCCGCTTCCGGCT